CCCAATGCACCCCTACCTACTACCAGTCCCACTATAAAGGCAGTTACTACGCGCAAGGAGAAATTTCACCGCAAAGTCGGCAGCCTCTGTCAGTTCCCGAATACCTAATGGCTGTTTCGCTACTTAAATGTCAAAGAATCACGTAGTCGCGAGTAACCGGCAGAATTTCGAATCCCTACTCTATCGACTTCCTCGGGACGTTTATGGGACGTGGACGGGAGTAGCTCGTATATCGTCCTTGAAATTATATGTGATACTGTCATTAAAGAGTAATGACAGTCCTGCTGGTACTTTTACTGTAGGTAAAAAAGAATTTCACCGAACACTCCTCTCTTAGAGCTTTCCCAGTATCCCACGTGTCTACACTGACAGATTGACTTTACCAACGACGCTCATCCCCCGTATTGTTTCGTCGATAATGAAATTTCGAAAACTCGTAAAAAAATTGATACGAAAAATTCTAAAAAAATCCTTCAGTCACGTTTATGGGAAAAAAAAACATAATCCATATTGGTCACTTCCTGTATACCATTAAACTTGAAGCTTCGCTTGAAAAGACTTTCAAAATCCATTGGAGTTTTTATGATACGCTTTAAAAGTACACCCGTTACTGTTAGGTTTTAGTGCAAGGTACAAATACATAGTTCCAAATATATTTAACAAAGGTCTTTTAATAAATAGTTCTCGATTTGACTGCCACGATAAACAAATAAAACAGCGACTGATCGCAGCAGTCGTTTAACCTAAGAAACGAAAGTCTATTCCACAAAATGTCCGTGAGCCAATTAAAGTCCAGAGTTTATCGATAAAGAGAAAACGTATCGATAATAAGTGACAAGTCGTATATGTTATAAATAAAAGGGATCAGCAATAATAAATGTCATAATTATTTTATATATAGACATATAGACTTACATATGAGCAACGTGGTATCCAGAGTGGTATTGTTGTTGTCCGCGGGACCTTCTCGTATATATCTATCCACAACGGAACACTTGATCACCGCCTTGTTGTTTTTCTTCTCGAATGCACATACGAACTTGCACGAAGGTAACAATAAATAAAATCTGCACTATGGTCGAGTCCGTCTTGTCCACCAAATAAACAGTGTCCTTTTCTGTTGCGCAGTGTACTACGGGCTGTCGTTGATTCTTCGTTCTTCCTGCTTGTCAATCGGTCTTGTCACAACCGACTGAACCAATTTGCACGGATACAAGAGACGTTGCTAATCAATCTCTTTGACAGTATTTGTTTTACTGTATGAATTTATTTTTTTTACGTTGTTCCTGCGTCTTCCTTTGACTCTTGTAGTACTACGCGAAACGTCCCATGTACACTCGGGTAACCGTGTCGTAGATGATCCCGGTGCCGGGACGCGCTCCAATCATGAAATACGACTGCTGGATAAAGAATTCTTTCTTGAATACTTGGCGATAGTCCTCGCACAATTTCTCCAAGTTTTCATTTGCCGTCTGTCGATGGTCGTCATGGGTCAAAAATTCAATGTATGTGTATACAACTTTTTATTTACGTTCTTTTTTTTTTGTAATTTTCTTCCCAATCAAAGCACTGGTCCTATACGTTGAAGGCAATCCTGGAACTTTATATATCTTCCTGATGTCTTGATTGTCACGCACTTCTATCTCTCTCTCTCTCTCTATTTCTCTTGTGTACAATAAGAGGAAACGAGTAAGTAGAGGAAGAACAGGAAGCGCAGTGAAGAAAACTCAAACACGATTAACACGTTATAAATTTATATGTATTTAAAAAAAAAATATATTTTCTTTTAGCCCCAGACAAATTCAGCCTATCCTCGCACGTGCGGCTTACACATAAAATACGAATATATTTAAAAGAAAAATATAACCAAAACGTATAACGTCGCTGTATCCTCGCGAACCCGGTTGCTGCGGCATGCCTCCTTTTTACCTCGTGATCGACGTGGAGCGCGTCTCGCCTACCGCCGGGGAAATGCGACTAATTTCTAAAAGTAGGCGAAGAAGCGAACTGGATGGCCTGTGGGCCCTTACTGTGAGGGGCCTTACCAGGTTCGAACGGGCAGGGGCCCCTACTCGGTGCCACGCTCTGTACGGACGGACAGCCTGGCCCCCCTCCCCTCTCCATTATCCCCCTTCTCCGCTTCGCCATCGCCACCTCCAGAGACCTTCACCACCTCCAGCAACCTCAGACCACCTCCAAACCCGTCACTTGTACCACCTCCACCGAAGTCACCTCTTCTTGGACACCCTGGATCAGGGTGAAATCATCCCTTCCTAAGACCCATCCAAATGCATTAAATATTGGATTATATCATCTAACCGTGTCTCTCGTCATTTTAGTTTAAATTATTTACAGCGATGTAACTAGTAAAATTATTTAGGAAAATTTATTTAACCGGCTGTATCACTGACCAATCGGATTCCATTATCGTAGATCGATATCGAATGACCCTTTCGACGATTCGAGCGAATCGACACTTTCCACAAATTTCGTAATGTCTATGGACGGGCACACTTCGATTCCAAAGATTTGGTAGTTGCTACAGCAGGAGGGAATGTTGACTCGTATATCCGTTAAACTATGACTGTTGGACATTACTTTTATCTCTGTTGGCTCCCGTGACGTTTGGCCATCCACGTTTACACCAGACACTGCTATGGCTAACCGTATTACTCGCGCACTCGCCATTGTCTATTGCCATCCCGTGTCTCTAACCGTTAAGGAATTTATTTCACCGGTTTATAAGGCTTCGCTGTTGAGACTAATTGAAAAATTTCGTAATTCGGTTATGTCTAACTTCACGGTTTATACTCTGACGTTCTATTGGGCTAATTCGATTTACTTACGTGTATCTAGCGTGGATACTTTTATATACGGACGTGACTATAGACATTTATGTAGAATGCCGTTTATGGCGCCACCGTTCACTTACTTTGGATAGTCTCGATCCCTCGCATAGTCTTTGGTAAAGGGATGTTCATACGCTTTCAGCACATACCTCGTCATGCTCTTTTATCGCAGCTGTTCGACGTTCGTGCTGTGAGCATTGCAAATAACGAATGAATAAAGATGATGGATTCGCATTTTATTATTGTAGGATATGTTGGTACTCGTGTGATTTTAAGTGCTACCAATTTTTTTTTTATTCTTTCTAGCAAGATTTAAGAATCGGAGAAATCCTAAGGATGATTCTAATCTTGGTTTTAGGTTACTCGTTAAAATGTTATGTAATGTTTCAGAAAAAAAAAAACTTTTATTACGTCTATAACAAACCACGTGACGATTTAAACGGATTGTAGACGATGCTGAGATGGTACGGAAAATTGGATTTTGAAAATTGACTATATCTGTTAGTTTGAAAATGACGGTTAGCTTTTTTTTTGGAAAGATCAAAAAGTTAGGTATGCTTTTCGTTTGTCCTGCTATCCTATGTTCCGTTAGTTTGGGAATGCGTGCCAGTCGGTTCGGTGTCAAAAAAAGGAAGAAAGGACGAAGCAAAGATGAAAAAAATAAAACGGTACGGAGAGCGAGATAAAAAAAAAAGGATTCTGTCAGCTTGCAATGCACGGCCAATGCCGTTAACTCCGAAGTATTGAGTCCTTGAAATTTTGGGATTTACGTAAACTTGCCTCTTAAAGAAAAAGGGTTAAAATTCAGGGTGAACGTTAAAAAAAAAAAGTGTAGGTACCGTTCGAAGGCAGTGGGCCGATTGCGGCAATATTCGTTTGGGACTTTTTTTTTCAGTACTAACTCAGGTAACTAACTTTACCAAATAAATCCCTAGGGCCCATATTCGGTGAGAGAAAAATAAAAATAAAAAAAATAGCAGATTCAGAAAAATTTGGATTTTCATGAATTATCATATCTCTCCATTCTTTTTTTGTTTAATCCAACTTTCAATTAATCAAAAGTCATGGTACCTTAGACTCATCGTTATAATTCTGTTTCGAGGAACAGCGCGTAAACTAAGAGGAATAAGGAGGAAAAAGAGGGGAGGGAAGAGGCCCCCCTTTTGATCATCAACTCGGTTACACTTTCATTGTTGCGGCTGGTGGTACCACCTCATAATCATTAAGCCAGAGAGTTGGGAACTGCTGGTAGCCCGAGATCGTGACAGCTAGAAATAATTTTATTATCAGGATATCCTTCGACTCCAGGACGTCGTGCAATTCCGCATGAGCGACGTCCGTCAGGTCGTATCAAATAGAATTTCAATATAGAAGGTTAATAGAAAATAGGGCCCATTTAATGCGGCCTGTTAAATTCACATAAGTCCTTTGAAGTATAGAAACCGACGAGGATCCTGGGACTTAAATATTTTGACACCAAGTTCTTGAAGGTGGGCCCGCGTCAAATTTATGAGCTCCTTTCTCAAGGCCCAATGGGGACTTACCAGTGACCCTTGAATATCGACCGGACCCAAGCTACAGCCGTACTTCGTCAGACCGTTAGGACAACGCGATTGCCTCTGCGCTTTTATTGCTGTCAATAAATGCTCGCTCACAATTTTTGACTTTATAAGCAATATTGACATAGTCCTTCTGCCTCGTTCACAGTCCTGGTTCTTCGTCCTGGTACCCAGGACATTCAGGCCAAGCATCCTGTCACGGTAGCCTAGTGACGGTTAACACAGTAAGTGCGGTCAGTCCGGAAGATCCTTGAAGGGTAACAAATTTTTTTTTTATATTCTAGGTAAAAATATTTTTTTATATATAATTACTATATATTCTCTCACCATATATATATTTTTTAATGAGGTAGATCCGGTTAGTCTGAATTTTCCCGTGTAGCGGTTGCCTTCTCCATAGTTAAAGAGTCACGAGTAAAAGGTACTGGTAGGTATAGGTACAGTGGTAGGTGTATAGATGAAGAAGTCAGTGAGGCCCCACTGGCCCATATCGTGGTGGGCCCTCTTACGGCTTGAGTAAAGCGTGCCGAAAAACATGTGTGGCACAGGAGGTGACGTTATGTAGATACAATCCACTTAGAAATATATATCTATATACACGGTGACCTAGAGAATTTTGGAAATTTACTACAAATTCACGTGTTTATTTCACTTTTGACGTAAAGACACGCTTTTACATTTTCTATAACAATGCCTCGTGTTTCACGTTTTCGACAAATATTTACCCATAGTCTTTGTTCACTCTCGTGACAAGAGAGTCTGACTCGTGGCACGCAGATGCTTCTTCTTACTTCCTGTTACGCATCCAGATGATATATTTTCTGAATTTTCTAAAAGGTTATAAACTGTGCGTGTGCTCATCGTAAATCACGTAAGGCCCGTCGTGTGCCGATGCACCCATACACGTTGTACTATAAATTGTAAATAAGAGTTCTTGAAAAAAATTGAAAGAAAAAAATATAGAAAATGCAACGCAGGAAATTGCCATGGATTTTCCTGATGATCAATAAGCAGAAATCATAAGGAAACAATTAACGCTTATTGTATACATACCATAGGCAGGAAGTCAGAATTACAATTAAATCTGCGGCCATTTTCTCAAGGCGCAAACTATAAAATTTCTAGGTTAGACTACTTGGTCATCGAATCGATGATTCCAATTTTACCGAAGTACACGATGTCTGTATTTGTAAATCATCGTCGGATAACTGTCCCAAAAAAGTCTTTGTGAGGACATGAAAATTAAGGTTAGAATTTCAACGTGGTCGATAAGTCATCGATTCGATGCTCCGATCGGTAAAGGGTATATGTGCCTTAGAATTTTTGTAACTTTCTATACCTTGTGCGAGTGCGAGAGAGAGGGTCTTATGCGTAGTTACGCGTGTAAGACGAAGACAGACGTATCGTTCGTCCGAATCCCTCACTAAATTGGCCTCTCTCGAATTGGCTCTGCCGTTGTTATAACTTTGATCTACGAGATTCTCGACCACCCTGTTGACTGTTTTCACAAAAGGGTATCTTTTTGAAAAAGAAATAGAGACTAAGTGCAACGAACCCTGTCGTGTTTTCCGTAAAGATTTTGAAAACTGGAATAAATCGAGCGAGACAGTTCCGCGTTCCAGAGGTAAAAATATTTGCCGTATAGAATTTTCACGGTCTCGTGTCCCGCCGCTTTCCGGGATAAATATTTGACCGTAGAATCTTTCACGCATGCGCACGTACCGAGTGGACGGCCGCAGGAAAACAAGAAGCAAAGCAGAAAAGTAGGAAAGAAAGAAAGAAAGGGAGAACTTCCGCGTTAGAGATTGCCACACGATTTACGAATTTATTGGCGTGTCTAAAGGAACGGACCCACTTTCGAGGTCCTTTGTCGTCGCGCAACCCGACGACTCTCTGCCCTGAGACACAATATTCTTCCTGGGTCTTCTGCGAAGCCTTCGAAAAATCTTCAGGTACTGAAGAACGAGAGAGAGAGAGAGAGAGAGAGAAAGAGTCAAGAAGCAATAGAGTAACAAGCAGGCGCTATTGCGATAGGTGCATTGCGCCGCAAAACCTGGTCGTAAATAAGTCAAATTCTGAAAGAGTCAAGAAGCAATAGAGTAACAAGGTCTTCTGCGAAGCCTTCGAAAAATCTTCAGGTACTGAAGAACGAGAGAGAGAGAGAGAGAGAGAGAAAGAGTCAAGAAGCAATAGAGTAACAAGCAGGCGCTATTGCGATAGGTGCATTGCGCCGCAAAACCTGGTCGTAAATAAGTCAAATTCTCGCACTTGCTGATGGGACCCTTCGACACTGTCGATTCCTTCCCTTAAAATTGCGAGAGGCATCGCCATTGGCTGTTTATCCTTACAAGAATTTACGGTGGTCCCGTTTGAAAGCAAACCTGCGGGCATCGATGTGGCCACCGATGTAAAATCTCCATTGAAAAATCACTCGGCGTCCTGAGTCTAGCAGCTACCTTTTACGACTTTCCGTTGCACTTTGCGAATTTCTTACTGACCCCTGTGAATCTTCGTAAAACTGCGCAACCACCAAGAAAAGGTAGCGATCCTGTCGTAAATTTGGTAAAACGAAATACGTATTTCAAGACTTCACGAGCCTACATAACCTCTAATGTTACTTCTGTCAATATACGAGAACTTTAATGACAGTAAGACACCGTTTGATTCTCTGATACGTTAACGGAATAAGAGGTAGCCAAGGAGCGATCTTGTGGCAATTGAAAAAGAAAACTAAAAAATGGTAGATGAATCGGTACGGTCTGGGATTGGCCTTGCAAGGCCTTTACTCAGCCGGCCATTCTCCACTGAGGAAACGTAACCTCACGCCGACACACTCTTCGCGTACCGTGAGGACGCGCCTTCTCCTCGCGAAAAGACTCGGCCAATAGCGTCGCGTTTGCTGTGAGTGTGTCGCTCCGGCACAGTCTGTTTTTTTAAAAAGACGTTCGTGGCTTCAGGGACGTGGAAGGAAGACAGGCTGAATACGGGAGCGTATCGGTGTGGCTGGCCGGTTGCGAAAAATCCACTCACGATGCCGTTACACAGGTGAGCATATCGTCATTACATAAACGTAGCCGCCACTAATAATTGGCTTCTGTTTTGTAATTGTTATTAAGGCCATTAGCATATAACAGAAAAAAAATAGGTTGCTCTTCGATTCTTATAGCAAGCCAATTCTTATAGGATTGCCAATCAACGATATTTTAATGTGACTGTCAATTTTATGTATCATCGATAAAACTACTGAGTAATTATTGTAATCTAGGGAAATACAATTCCCACGTAAATTAATTATACAGAAAAAAGAAAGTCATACATAGCAATATACGCACGGTTTCCTTTATACCGTGACTTTTCAGCGTCTCGCCTACTAACGTTTTAAAGGTCCCTGCTTAATGCCCGAACATCCAAGACAGTTACTCGAGGCCCGTTCTTGCGCTACGTTGAGGAAATCACGCGGTCCCTTCGCGGGGACTGATCATGAATCGAGGACATTGCGTGAGATTATTTGTGAGTCTTTAGGAATGAGCCTTAATTACAGATTAGTACATTTAGTTCCGTGCTACTATTGTACATTAAACCGTCTAGAGCTATTTTATCCAGACACTATCCAATTATGAAAAACCCAATCGTTTTGCACCAATTATCCCAATATCCAAAGTCTATCGGTAATGAAGCCGAATCTCATGGCGTTTACTCGGTTTCGGTTTCTGCTCGTAATTCCATAGCGATGATAATATAAAAGTCGAGCATCAATCCTTGCGGCGGTTTTGTCCTGTTTACCAAGTGGGCCAATCGAGATGGAGAGTAAGCGTCTTAGCGTCTCGTAGAGAAGAAGAGAAGGAGGAGAAGGAGGACCAGTCAGGAGAGACCTGTCTCGCTCATCCTGATCCAGTCGCGTGTTCCTCTAACTGCCCCAATGAATCCGTTACGATTCGTCTACGTGTAAAGTCAAGATCCAAGAAACTTAACAGTTTCCACCACTACGAACTTGTCTTCCATGAATCATAGATCAGCCAAATGAATTTGCAAGAGGTTCCAGTCCCTGCCATTAGACCAGATGACGATACCCAGGCGTCTTTCTACATCCTCTCTGAAACAGTACATCATACGAATTCCAAATTGGCATTCCTGAAGCTAACCAATAACGTAATAGTTAAATACCGGATCAACTGGCATGGCATACCGTTATAATTCCCCGAAGGTAATTCCTTTGTAAATATATTTATCTGCCATATATCTTGCATATATCCTGCACAAGTACCTGGATAGGAATACAAAAATTTTTGTGAAATGTACAATGGTAATGCTTTAGGTATATATAAATAAATAGGAAATGTCTAAAATCTTACTTTAGATGGATAAATAGCGATGCGTGATCATGTTACATTGACCATCTTGTGTATCAGGCTTAAAGTACGTATAAGACAGCGACTGGTCGTGTGCGAGCAATCGCGTAGTATAACATAGGTAAGTATGTTTTAAGGTCAGTAGCACAAGCCGCCACAATACACAGCGGCACTTGGCAAAATCGTACATTATAGATCGTGACGTTCATTGTTCCTTGAACTTGTACATATAAGCAGATGAGTCTGTACGGGTAGATGGTACTGGTGAAGGAGTGCGTGCCGTGTTACGGATGTACTTGGTTCTGGAGAGAGTCTTTTTCCTCCTTGCTTTTAGGACATTCATTTCCGGTACTGAAAACAAAAAAAAGTAGATGAGTCAAATTCGTTTATTCATTCAGACTGAATTCATTGAGGATTTTTGAAGATAAAAAATAAAAAGTATATATATGACAAGGCAACTTTGATCTTTCTTGAAATCAAATAGAAATTGTACGTAATGGTTCATGAGAATTAATCAAGTCTCTTAACCTTTGCCAGAATCATGACAGTTGGCTTTGTACAAGTTGCTGCAACAACTTAACTGAAATATATATATAATATATACAGAGTACTACAAAAGTCACGAATGACTTGATCTCAGGTCCATGACCAATAAACTTCTAGATACCTTAAAATAGTACAAATACAAAAATTTTTCCAACTAAATTTATCCCATGAACAATGCTGCTGCCAATGTATCATTACAAGGCCTTTATAAAAATAGTAGGTAACATTTTCCAAACAATGTTACCCTGAGTTCAATGGTACCAGCAGGTAGGATTGGTATACTAGAAGTTTACTGAGCGCAACTCGATCTCGACGTACTGTAAGAATAATCTGGTCAACTACCCAAGAAATGACGCGAGCCACTAACTTTTTGTCGGCAGTGTCGCGCGTAGTTTTGCGGCAATTTTACATAACTCCTAGTTGCCGGTCTCGGGGCCCATTTCGACATCCTGATTCGTTGCCGGAGCATAGCCGTGTCCTAGCTCCGAGTATATAGTAAACGTAAGAGAACCCGTGGCTAGATTCAATTGGTGCTGAAACACAACAATGATTTTTCGCCGATTGTATAACGCGTGGCCAGCGCGTTACTTATTCTCTTACTTGTTCAGCTAGCCACTAACCTCTACGGTATATACTATGTATATATATATAAGGAGTAAGCAAGATACCTACCTATATCTGGAGACCAGGAACATTGGAAACAGACAACACTACTGATACTTATGATACGTAAGCATAGGAGAGCCGCTGGCCCAAGTGTTGAGTTCGTTGCACCGTTGCAACATTAATTACGCGGCTACGTTCTGTAAGTCCTAAGCAAAAATGAGCAATAGGCTACATTCGACACACTGGTATAGCTGGGACATTCTTGCCTAATAATTCCACGGCCAATAACCGATATACACAATATTCGTTGCCCACAAATTTCGTAGCGGCCATACTGGATTTTCGACCCTTACTGCCATCTGGAATAAAATACGTTTGAATGACACTTTTCGTCGGAATCGTAGGAGACTCGATATACATTGAATACTTATGGTTCACTGATATATAAATACGCAACACATGTGTTTAATCTCTAAATTTGACTCCGGTGGAAAACATAGCCAATGGTAATTTACAAATTTATATTGTAACCTTAAATTGTGTATGTGTATCCAGACAGACATTAGTCTCTTTTACGTGCCTTTCTTATCACTTGGCGTATCTGTCTGATTCTTATCGAGACTCGTTCCACTATGAGAAATTTCTTTGATCACTTACTACGTATTTGTACTGTTAACTCGAAGAGGTTAACGGTGTCTTGAAAATTTCGAGCATTTCCTCAAGGCTTGTATCGAACGAATCGTTAGCGCTCGTTACAGCGACTGCCGCTGAAGTTCTTTGAAATGCGAGCGGCGCGCGGGAAATTCGTGTCAAATGCTCGACTTTGACGCTTCTAACCTAAATTGTCGTCGTGTTCCTTGCCGGTTTGTTCGCTTGCACGCTGCTACGTTCCGTATTTTCTCTCTCTCTCGTACTTCTTTGCTCAGTGCTCTTTGCTCGGTATGGCCCGGCTGAGAATAATTGACTTTTACCCAAAACCGCTGGCCCACATTGTTTTGAGAATGGGCGCCAGAAATAAACGTGCATGAGATTCACAAGAAACCAGTCGAATTTTCTCGGGAGATTTTTTAAGAAAGAAACAATAGAACGAATCTTTCTTTTCTTCTTTTTTTTTTAAAGCATTCTACCATTATTCGTGTAATATGTAACCATCCACTTTTTCTCTATTCTAACCTAATGTGACTATCTTATACGTGACAGTGCATTCGTATCGAAATATTAGAAGAATAAGAATATCTAAAGTTAAAGAAATACTCGGACAGGGTATCGATAAAAGGCCGGGCTCCTTTTTTTTGTACAATTTCGAAAGTCGAATTGGCCCTGTCTCAACTTACAAATTTCTTATGGATCCATAGAGCGAGCTACCGGGTTCGCATTGCGTGACTCTTTTCAGTAGCACAACAATCATGCTGCCTACCATAAATAAACGAAACAAAAGTAAAATCTTGTTATTTTTTTGTCACAGAGTCAGTTAATAATTTTAATTATCTTTAGTCTCATCCCGTTGTCTCTGAGATTATTTTAAGCACAGCTGCTACAGGACTCGTGGCACAGATCGGCAAAAGGATGAATCGACGGATAACCGATTGTGAGAGAAGAGTAAAGAGAAGGAGGGGAAGAAGGAATAAGAGTGGGGAGGGTCTCCCGAAGCGAATCAATTGGCACGAATAAATTAGGATATTTACCGTTCTGTCCCTTATCTTGGCTACCGGGAACGATGTCACGATTTCGTACAATTTTTTTATTCCCATCGAATACCCTTCTCTCTCTTTGTTCTCCTCGCCACCGACACCTAAGCAAAGTCTTTGGCATCGCTAGGCAAGGAAAAAGAGTGCGCGGCCACTCGTGTGTGTCCAACCATAACTCACTGTAGCCACTGCATTGCCACTTCGTCACGCCCGTATTTTTACAAAAGCTGCTATCTTTGTCTCTTGGGGAACCACGAGAAGCCAAAATTTGCTCAACCGCTCGAGAGTCTTATCCAAAGTTTGTTGTATCCTAGAAACAATGTGGAGACGGCTGAGTGACGTTGTGGGCTCGGCATTACGGCGAAGCTGAAATATATATAAATAAAATGTTAAAGAGAAAAATAGTCGCGCCGTACGAATCGAAGCGCAAAATGCTTTCTCCTTTTAATTCCGAGTTTTTGCCAGCAAAAAAAGAAACCCGACTATCCGGACGCGTAGACCACGTTATTTTAATATACTACCTTAAGACTGGAACGTGAAGTTGTTACTGAAGATTCATGAAGTAAAACTGAGCCAAAAATCGAAATTCTTATTTCCTCAGGTAACCAGTAGCTTCAGAGACACGAACTGCGATTCTTCGTGGGAATAAGAGAAAAAGATTTACAAGAGCATACCGAATTGTCACAGGTATTTTTCACTCTGAAATATATTTTTGGGTCTTTTTCTTTTAAAGTTTTTCCAAAATTTTGACATATTGGCGACCCGCAATTCTCTTACCTCCTGTGTAAGATGTAAGGGTAGTCGCGCTTTTCACTTCCTCGTCCTATCCTTAACTGAATACCCCCTGGTGAGTTTTCACTGCGGCGACTTTATCCCTCTGGCCGCAAACTACGTAAGGTAGCTTCAGGTTAGCATTGTATTCTTCCAGGTAGGAAGCCACCCTGCGGTACACCTGAATTTCGCAACCGGATCTAATCCTCCAAGAAGTCAAGTAGTTCACCATATTCCGTAAACCAAGATGAATACCTCGTAAAATCAAGAACCTGTACAACAAAGTCCTAACATAACCTATCTTGGTGCAATATTCAGATAAAATTCTAGTCTAGAATAAATTATAAAAATAACTCACGCCAAGATAATGCCCACGGTTTGCCATCAAGTGGAACGCGCTGATTTAAAATGAAAGTGAACGATGAGCAAGCAAAATAATTTTATTGAGCCAAGAGAAATTCCTTGTGACGTACACACCCAATTTTATGATATATTATCAATATATCCATCAATGTACTAATACAGTAAGATCTCACCTCATCGATAATCCATTCCTCTAGCAGTGTGTATCGATTGAGAGCCAGTTCCGAAAATATTTGAGATCTTATAACCTATCTTCCAAACCGGCACAGACATTTCGTATAGAGCAAGACCCGGAAGGATTCGGGCCAGTGTGCCAGACGGTTCTCGGGGCAATTAAAGGAAAGAAAAAATGCGAGAGAAAAAAAGACACGAAGAAAAAGTAAAGAGGTTTAAAAGAAGAAGAGGAAGAAAAGGATCTTCGTGACAGGTATCCTACCCCTTCTCTCTTTCTGGCTCCTTCACGCGTCACACTTCGAGGAATATCCTAACGGCGTCGGTGGCGTCCATGGTGACGCCTCGCGTCGTTCCTCCGAGCGTGCATCTTCACTTTTACCGTGAAACGTAGAAATGACCGGCTCACCGATTTTCGCGTGCTTCCTAGCTTCGGAACATCGTCGAAGCGGCGAGCCTTCGTGTTGTTTTGCTTTCTCTTTCGGGAGTGGCACGCTCTAGTTCACCCGCTCCGCGTACGAAGTTGCTCGAACGTCAATGTGTTCATCCATTGGACTATTAATTTTCAATTTTCTATAGTTGCTTCCAGTGCGAGAGAGAGAGGCTAATGATTATCGAGAAGAGTAAGAGAGAGAGAGAGAGAGAGAGAGAGAGAGAGAGATGTTTATCTGCTGCAAAATAAGCAGCAATGCAACAGCAAGCCTTCTTGTGAATTTACCTACATTTTATGCACGAGTAAAATCTTTAATCAATTTTTAGCTACTGGATTTTCAAGCTTTTTTTATATTTTATCGATAGTACGTCGATCTTTTTAGCGATCTACGTAATGATACTGGTTAGTGCTTTTTTGGTGTCCGGGGGCTTTAGTGAGACTTTCATTCGATTTTGTTTCGTACACTTTGTGGATGTGTTTCCGGTTGCCTATCCTCAGGCGCATTTTATTCAATCGCTATAGGAATTCCACTTTTTGCATTATGTGCATCTCAATTTGCCTATCGGCAGGCGTTTCTTTTTTTCTTATGGTACCGATGCCAGTTGGCGTAGAAAAATAATTGAGTATTTGTAATCTTCGTTTGTTGTTCGTTCTCTTGAGACATTCGATGCATTTATTGGCGGTAGAAAATGTTTACTGATAATTAAAATCGCTTGGTGGAGTTTTAGTTGCCTATTAAATTAGTGAAGTGGAGTGATAGCTGGAAGAGCTCAAGGATGTGGATAATGATAATGAATGTATGTAGACGAATTAACCACATAAAAAATATAATTTATTTATACATATAATATTACATACGGAATTATAATCTTATACCGCAGGCATTCTTTTTGATTTTGTGATAGATTATTTTATTATTTTGGAATTCGCGCATGGATCGCAATTTGATTGCATTGGAAGTCGATAAAAATAGTTTATATTACATAGATAAAAAAGAACATACTTAGATATAAATTGCCTCTGTGCAATTGAGGAAGCAGGTACATCGTGGAAATTGAAAAAATGAGAAACTCGCAACGGTCCTCATCGCTTTTTGTACAATGATTCATTTTTGTTTTTAAATAAGGAATATTTTTTTAACTCGCTTCATATTTTTTTTTTTATTACGAATAATATTTTTTGATCTCACGAAGCAGAGGTGTCTCCGTCAGTTCATTTATTTCTACGAATCTTTTATTTGCACGGCTAAAGTAATAAATGTCACCTGTGTAGATATCGAACCAGAGAGCGTGAATGTGCAGATCGTGTCTTTCCAGCCTCTTTTTTAGGAAACCATAGGAAGCCACATTTTGCAGTTGTTGCAAAGTGTTAATCTGATTAGGGAATAAGATTTGAAAATTATAAAGAGTACTTTTAAATGATTTTAATCGTTTATACTCACTTGAGATAACTTATCCTCTATGGAAAATTTATTTTCTGGATCTATGTATGCGACAAACTTGCGCATAGGCGTCTCTGCTTGAAATAGAATGGGTTCGTGGAATCCAGTAATTTCTAATTGTTGAAATTTTGCCAAACTACTACTTGCATGTGCACAGAGCCATGCACGTAATGGCGATATTCTTCTGTTAGCCTAAATTTTATAATGTCTATTAATACCACACAAATATTTGAGTATCGTTTCTTTTTACCTGTGAAGCAAACTCTTCATCCCTCAGAGCATATAATAGATTCATAGCTTTGCAATCGCTGTGTCCACATACTATGATATGTCTTATGTCATTTACAACACATCCCAGTTCTAAGGCAGCTGGTTCGCACATAGTGAGTTCATCGACAAAGTGTTGCGAATTAGGAACAATATTTCCTGCATTCCTCACTGAAATTATAAAACCATGGAAATACTTTTCAAAGGGTTTATGACATTCAAACTGGCATTGGTAATGGTAGGGTCCTGCAGGAGTTTGAACCATGATGCAGTAAAATTAATTGATCCAGTTAAAACATTTTTGAGAGAATGTAATGCGCGGGTGATAGAGCCTGAGTGAATTCTCATACCCACAAACATGTCCCCAACGTTTGTTTCCGTAAATCTAGTTGGGATCATCCGGGAGTCCATGCAGGTAAAGAACACTGCCTTCGGCTGTGATAAAAGGAACCATAGAATTATATTATTCCATAAAAAAAAAGAATTTGAAAGACATATAAAATCCAAAAACTTGAATGTAATTATTATTTTTCATTCCACATCCTCAATCAGAATATACTCAAGTAACATAAATGACACATTGCTCCTAAAGAAATGATTTTTTCAAAACTAAACAGACTCTTATCGATACCAGGTCAAGGACATGACATTTGGAAAACTAGTATTCCAAGAAACCTACTCCTGCTTGCAAATAATTATTTATCACTTGCAAACTGATCCTACGGAGTCAATTGGACATTCTCCATCGACAAAACAATAATCCATTTGAGTGGGGCATCATTAAGGGTGATCAGCTTTCTAACTTTAATGTTTTAATATCAGTTTAGTCCAACAACACATAGCAGCTTCCATAAGAAAGGGAGAAATGCTAAACGGACCCATTGCCATTAACTTTCGACATTTTCTGGATCACCTTCCAATTTCATTACCTCCGGGTGGTCGCGAACTTGCTGAAACTGCTTGACCATTCCTTCCCTATGGCACTTTCTGTACTTCATCACACCCTTTAATATCCTATCCATTATTCTAAGCACAGTAACTTGACCTTTCACTGATTCTGCCCCACTGACAAGATCATCAACTAGCTGCGTGTTGTGTCTACAGGAAACGATAGTGAAATACCCGTGGCATATACGAGTTACTCAATGTTAAAGACCTATTTCTCAGTCGGTAAAACACAAACGGACATATACAGATAACTGGATATCTGTAACTATTATATTTCATGTATCTTTATAATTCGTATGGTTAAAAAATACATTTTATTTAGTTATACCACAGAATATCTCGCAGGGCGATATACAATAATCATGTAATAGAATCAGCTATGATATATATAATATTTATTGCGCTATTTGTTAACGATTAATTATATTATATACATATATAAACGTTATCGTTATTCAATGCGATACGTTTTAGTCGTTTTCAGAAAATGAAAGGAAAAAAAAAAGGAAAACGCGATCCCACAACTCACACGACTTATTTATAATGTTTACGGTGGTTCGCAAAAATTGTTAATATTTACGTATTACAAGCACATGGACAATGTATAGGAAAGTATATGTACACTTCGGCCGAAACTCAAATTAATGTAAAGATATAGATGCGCGTATAAATTCATGGTCGAGGCAATTTCATTCATATATTCGGCATTAGAAATTCTGATAGAAAATACAACTCTATCTCAATTTCTTATAAAATAGATTAAATTGGTACATGAAAAAAGAAGTGCGAGGTGAAGAGTGCAAAAGTCGTAACGAAGGGACAAGTTGAATGATTGACTGCACGTCATTTTGTACGATTGGGGAGGATATTTTGTATATTTTTCTTTCCACAAGAAAAATTCATATGTGGATTTGTTCCCTTAGGAATTTCAAGGTTTGATGTCACGGATGCTCATATTTTACATCTACGTACTTGCATTGACTTATTGATGCTGCGTACGCACAGAGACAAAGATTCTGTAATGATCTTTGTGTCTCTGCCATTCTATGCTTTAATCTTGCACGGTTTAATTCAGCGCCACGTTTAAGCATCATCCTTGGCACCCTATGATACATCGGATTCTTATTTTTAACAGTGGTTTACTGTTTGGACCCGGGTGACAACGCGCCTGGGTCGAGCCGACTTCTATCTGCTCAATGCTGAACTCTCACTAGCACGTTCGAGTTTTTCAAAATGTTTTCTAGCATTGCGAATATTTATCAGGGTTGCTGCAGAGGCTGAAATCTCAAACTGATTAAATATCTCGCAGCATGTGTTAATTTTTATTTGATAGAATAGAATACTTACGGATAGCTGGATCAGACATGATAACCATCACGTAAGTGTTCGATGTAAATATATCAATAAAAGCTGCAAAGTTTGTATTTCTGACTTCCATACTTTGAAATTGAGCTGCCAGTTTACTGCAGCTTAATTTGAATTGTTTTATTATGTTTGAAACTTTTTCAAAGCGGTGGACATCTCTGTGATCTCTTCTTTGACAATGACTTATTACCAGGAATGTTGCACGCTCAAAGAGCAATACCTCATCGGCGTCTATGATATTGGCAAATAGATTTAAACTTTGTTCTAATTCTTTAACATTTGGGATCAACATATACACGATCGAAGACCATGCTCTATATAATGTCTCGTCCCATATACTAGTCCTGAAGCAAGTACATTCTAATGGCAAACTTAGTCTCTTCAGGTCCTCCTCGCGTTCTCTAAATATCAAATCTCTCTGATCCTCTTGTACTAAATCCATTTTGTGAATCAGACAAAATATCTTTGCATCTCGGCTATTCTGCAAAATTGCCTCCAAGCAACTTTGGTAGTAATGCATATCTTTATCTAATTCCCTTGACTCAACATCAAATACATATATAAGGACTTCAACATTTCTAAAAATGTTGTCACGCTGCGAGGCAAAATAGTTTTCCATGAAAGCTTCTTGTCCACCACAGTCCCATAGGTTGAGCACCAGATTACCCAGAAATCGGACATGACTATGCTCCACGTCAACTATCGTGAAATTAAAAATACATCAGTGATAAGCATTAACTGTGACAGCAATAAAAATCCTTACTTGTAGCGCCTAAACGACGAGTATCTCGAGCAATGTAATTAGCAAAAATGATGCTACGCATACTCGTCTTCCCTGAGCCACTTTTTCCCATAAGCAAAACCTGCAAAAACAAAAAAAAGGTTCATGAAAAATGACAAACAGTGGAGAAAGTGAAGGAGTAACTGTAACAGACAGCCACACAAAAGAATGGCTTTGACGAGAGAGAAAACACGACCTATAAAAACACGAAGCCTAAAAAACTCATTAGTTCCATTCTTACCTTCTTCTTCATGATGAATTGATTGTTCCTCGTAGAAAAATCCCAAAGTAAAAGCTTAAATTGACAACCAGCAGTTAACCCTAGTCAGTCAGCTAAGCTTTGAGGTATACGTCAAGCGATAGCACCTCGAACTAAGAGAGTACTTTAAGTACTACGAATACAATGAACTTTGGATTATTTTTTGTTGGTCTTGCATACAGCAAACGAAAGACTTTTTAATCAAGGTATTATCGAAAAAAACTGCATCGCCCACCACTACGTAAACTTCAATGCAATTTCACGTGTTCTCTCTACGTGCAAAGTACTTCGCCACCTCCAAGCAATCCAAAAACCAACTCACTAAGTAACTGAAAATGGACCAAAGTACTTTGACGTTATGAAAACTGAAAAATATGTCCTACTAAACTATTCCCTCTAATCTCTCCATAAATCTCAATAAATTTTACCAAATATATTTAGAAATTAGTACCCCTCATTTAAAGCAAAGTATCACAAGCTCTAATTGCTTCCCTAGTAGTTTAAAACTTGCATGGAAATCAGACTTAAGATACATCTGATTCGAGCTTTTGTTGAGAACTGTTTGATTTCTTGTATGAATATGGTAATTTATTATTTCTCCGCATCATAGTGCACTTCCAAAGGAAACGGCTATGGAGGATAGGAAGGAATGCTAGCATACGTGGGTGTAAAGTGCATAGAAAGAGTAGCGGTTCGACGCACATAAAGAAAAAAAGTGACAGCGACGACTAGCAGCCATGGCGACCTTAAGGAAGTGAGAGGAGGGCGCAGCTGTAGAACCCGAGGACCGTGGCGACGGCGGTCGGTGAATCAGGCCCTTATCTGCCGCGAAATCATAGTGAAGAAATTGGCGAATTCTCGTAATATAATGAAGTATCGCTGATAGGGACACACCGGGTGCTCCGGCAGACTGCGTTCTCCAGGGCGTTACGGTAATCGGCATCAAGCTGGAGCCAAGCATCGGGAAACGGTGTTTTTTTTGTGCGTGTATCGTGGATGCGGTGGGGTGTCTACTAGCCGTGTGTGAATCACGCTTTCGAAGCGCCCGGCTCTGCAGTTTAACGCGTTGCTCTTCAGCGTCCAGGACTCGTTGACCCAACGGTTCGGTTGAGTGAATTTTTATTCGTCGGACTGGCTTCCAGGGCCTTTCTATTAAATGCTTGCTTCCTGGACCTGAAATCCTTAAGTGACACCCACGAGTCAGGCTGCTCCGTTTTGTTCTCTACTGTCAAGCGTCTCTTGTTATCGTCGCGTCTTCTGTCTACTTTGTTGGAGCAACAATCTAAAAACTGACAGGAATTTGTTAGACTGTCCAGCAACGAGAAAGTCTGATCTGGTGAGATCGGTGTACTCCAAGATTGTTCGTCATCAGATAGATTGGATGGCTCGAGGAAGCACAACTCATACAAGAAGTAGACGGGTGGTTCCAGTGATTTTGGAACTTATTGCTCTACAGAATCTTCTCTACTTGAGATAGCTATTCTCAATTTATTTGAAAAGTAATCTGTACCCTAAATATTTGTTCAATGGTTTTACGGTAGATAAAGTGAAGATAGATTAGGTGAGTGTGTAAAGAGCAGAGCATTTTGTTCTCTGGGTGGAATACGAGCTTCCTACAAGACTACAATATTTCTAACCAGCTAAGGATAGCGGCTTTGGTTTTGGATACTGCAGAAAACATCTAAACAAAACAGTAATAACGCAGCGACGGAGGGCAGATCAGTATCAAAGGGACCGGAGAAGGAGTACAGTCATGTCGGACGAAGAGGACAAACCACCGGCACCACCAGTTCGCCTTACATCGAACAGGTCAGCATATCAAAATCATTACTTTCTCCAAAACAATACCAATACCATATTCAAAAAGTATATCTAAGCTATTACATGAAAGGATAAATCAGATTCAATGCCGACAGTAAGATATTGTAATTAGTTTGAATATATTTGCAATGTATTAACATTTCTTGTTTGCAAAAAATAACTATCCTTTTAACTCCCACACAGCACGCCCACTGAAACTCATGATTATCTTTCACGGCGTCTCACAACTATCTTAACGGGCGTCACATCGAACTACCGTAGAGGACAAAATTAAATCTCCTCTATAATAATTCTATTTTCGTCCTTCGCTTTTGGTCCAGGATAAAGGAAAACGAACAGTACAGCATCCCTGGTTCATGAAAATTTTTGTGCTAAATTGTTCATCTATCAAGAAGCAAATCGGATTAGACGCTCATAAAGCGACGTCCTGGGTAGAGAAATCTCCTCCACCAGGAAGGATCCACATTAGTTTCTTTGCAATATACAGAGAGTGGTCTGAACGTCTCCCAAAAATAGAAGAGAACGGCCACTAATTTAGTGGCTGCTAAAAATAAAATCCCACAGTTCAGACACCATAATATTCCAGGACAGGGAGGAGACGCTACTTAAAAATATGTATATGCAAAACCCAACGTCGCGACGCGCCTCTCCATCCATATACGATTGAACGAACTTCACATAACGTTTCATACCTATAGATAGGCAGGATGCATACCTGTGCCCTGATGCAGTGTCACGATATTACACTATCAGATTATATTCCACTCGACGCGAAATCCGATATATTTGCTTACACCGCAGATAGAAATTGCCAAGCGTTCAATAATAAAACTATTATATCTTATTCTTCGTCAATAACGATAAAATCTTTCATCTTAAATCTCGTACAACGCCACAATACCTACCTACCATCAAACAACCTATGCCAAAAGTAGTTTGGCGAGTTATAGACTGGAATAAAAATATCCTTGTATCCGGTCTGACTTAGTGATCACAATTCCGAGCACGTGCGTTGCTTAGCGACACAGATAATCCTAAGGATAAACTTATAAGAGACATATATTATAATACTAATTATTTTACAGAGGTGAATCCGCGCCCAACTTACCAGTGGACATGCGTCCTCTGCCAAAGGAGCCGGATTCGGATGAGCGCAAGAAGAAGACTCTTAAGGGGAAGATGAAGGTCAAGGAGAATAAGGATAAGCCTAACATCAGCTATCCGACGAATTTCGAGCACACGGTGCACGTCGGTTTTGACGCTGTCACTGGTGAATTCACGGTACGTCCATCAGCTGAGCTGCTGATGTCTTTGAATATCGTTCAAAATGCACTCGCTTGCTGCTTTGCTCTTGCAACGCGATACGGAGGATCCAAAATGTTTTTGATAGTCATGAAAAGTCACTAGAAAATCAAATAGAAAACGTTAAGATAGGCACGTGTATCAGTACCGTTATTTTTATCTGTTTTTACTGAAAATCCCAATAGATATGTAAATACCATAGTTAGGACGTACATGAAGATTTGACTGGATCCTTCGTGTCGTGTTGGAATAAATCAAAATCCAATGACACTTGTTCACATACGTTATGGACATTGTGGGACTGTAATTCGGTAATTGGTCTGACGCTTCTTATACCTATTATTTTTCTCACGTGAAAGACTAACTCGAACACGTATTTCTTTCAAGCTGCCACTAAAAGTAAGTAAACTCAGAAGTGACCACGGAGTTAGTTTGTCTCTGCATTTTGTCTTTTATTATTATACCCACATCCCGTTTTTAAAATTCTGTTTCTGTTGCGGTCGACAGACGTCGAAGTTGTTAACTTTTCGTTGAGAATTTAGAATTTGTCACCAAGGCCTTAGCTGCTTACGTAGACTACTTCACTGTTATTACTTTTTCTATAATATAAAAGCTTCAGTCAACGTTTGCTTACTTCATCGGGTTTCTGCCATTGTTATAATCCTTCGATTATTATTATAACACAAATAGAGTTTCAGCGCCAGTAAATTCGTCCTAGACACAGCCAATCCAGCCGTGCTTACCTAACTTAACAATACCGTGTCTCAATTAGTCATTAATTGAATGATACAGTAAAAAGAGATAGACTTGACATTTACATAAATTGGAAATCCAATAAGATCGCTTCTCCTTGAATATAATAGAAGTTAATGTATTCACTCAGGATGAGAAAATAATAGAGCATCTTCTTAGATCAAAGTAGCACCTCGTCATCCCTGATTATGCTGTTTGATAGTATCTATTAATTTATTAATAAAAACTTCATATAAACCTTGTAGAGATTAATCGTAGAGATACCCATTTAGATGATTTAGCTTAGCCCTAGCCAGCATCGCTGAGTCCTGTCACACCCGAATTTTTCTCTTTATTCAGACACCTCGCTCTCAATGATTCTTTAACGTATTTTTAATCACAGGGTATGCCGGAAGCATGGGCAAGGCTCCTGATGTCGAGCAACATCAGCAAACAGGAGCAGAAGAAAAATCCACAGGCTGTACTAGATGTGCTCAATTGGTATGACAGTAGCAGCAAGGAGGCCAAAGGGTCGAAGTACATGACCACGACCAAGATGGTCGGGGCAGTGGGTGAGTGAGATAATTTTTGTTCTTTGTAAATATAAAGTATAATATTATTACCTAATTGATCTTTACAGCGCCTATAGAGAGAGCTAGCAGTCCTCGCAGCATGGGTATTGGAGTTGGTATAGGTATGGGTAATGTCCGTGGACAAGCAATGTCACAGGCGTCCGGAAGTTCACATTCCCAACACTCATTGAGCAGGTAAAATTTATTGTCTTGTAATAAATGTTTTTATTCGGATATATAGAGTGCCTAGATTGATTAGGACATTTTTTATCTATATCTTTACAGAGTCAGTAGCAGCAGTCCAAGTAGTACGCCGACGGATGCTTGCGCAACGAGTTCGGAACAAGAAGATGAACCACCACCTCCTATTTCCGCACGGCCTGAACGCACGAAATCCATCGTGAGTGTGTCAATTTTATGGAGGGAGGGATAGCGTGATTAGAATCTTAATTAGTTGGTGCTTGAGATGGTGGGGTGATAATAGCACTGTGTCACTCGCCTGCTCCAATGTTTTATTTATTTATTTTTTTTTGGATACGTGGTCTTTTATATTTATGCAATGTAAACCTTGGATATGTTCTGTTCAGTACACCAAGCCTATTGAAGAAGAGCCACCACCGCCATTGCCAACCTCACTGGGTTCCCCTCAACGCAATGGCACACCCCAACAGCAGCAGCAGCAGCAACAGCAGCAACAGCAACAATCTCAATTGGATAGGAATAAAAATCAGGCAATACCCACGTCCACCACCACGGATCAGTCTAGACCCGCTCAAAGCGACAAGGCTAGGAAGAAGAAGATGTCCGACGATGAGATCCTGGAGAAACTCAGAACGATCGTAAGCGTTGGGGATCCGAATAGAAAGTACACAAAAATGGAGAAGATAGGACAAGGGTAAAGATCTTTAATGGAGTTTTTCTAAAACAAATTCTAAAGAATGCTGTTACATTAGTTTCTGCATTTTTCAGAGCTTCCGGAACCGTCTACACGGCGATAGAAACATCTACGGGAATGGAGGTTGCGATAAAACAGATGAATCTCTCGCAGCAGCCTAAGAAAGAGCTCATCATAAACGAGATTTTGGTAATGCGGGAGAACAAGCATCCGAATGTCGTCAACTACCTGGACAGCTACCTCGTGGAGGAGGAATTGTGGGTGGTTATGGAGTACTTACCTGGAGGCAGTTTAACGGACGTCGTCACCGAGACTTGTATGGACGAGGGACAAATAGCCGCGGTTTGTCGGGAGGTTTTACAAGCCCTTGAGTTTCTACACTGTAACCAGGTCATACACAGGGATATAAAGTCGGACAACATCCTCCTGGGTTTGGACGGAGGTGTCAAGCTCACGGATTTTGGTTTCTGCGCTCAAATTTCACCAGAGCAGAGTAAACGAACGACTATGGTTGGTACGCCATATTGGATGGCACCGGAAGTCGTCACGCGGAAGCAATATGGTCCTAAGGTATTTAAAAATACAAAGATTCACCATACAATATTTTTGGCAAACGAAATATCTTAAACTGAAAATAAATTTGATCCACCCACAGGTGGATATATGGTCCCTTGGTATAATGGCTATTGAGATGATCGAAGGTGAACCACCATACTTGAATGAAAATCCCCTAAGAGCACTCTACCTGATCGCCACCAATGGAAAGCCGGAAATCAAGGAAAAAGAAAAGCTTTCCGGCATATTTCAGGACTTCCTGGATCAGTGCTTGGAAGTGGAAGTGGACAAGCGTTCAGCGGCTTCGGAGCTCTTAAAGGTTCATAATTTTTTAAAAACATTTCTCGTAATTCATTTTCAACCAAACTATCCTCGTTATCAATATGTAATCTGACTATTCGATCATCATTACAGCATCCCTTCCTAAAACAATCTAAACCACTGGCATCGTTAACGCCCTTGATAATGGCGGCGAAGGAAGCTGCCAAGGGTCACTGAACGCGCAGAGTGCGAAGGTCGTTCGATGAAAAATGACGAGATCGCAAAAGGCGACGAAGAACAATGGCCTCGGGCGTCGTGAGGTTATCATCAGACACAAGAAGGTTTAAAGAAAACCAGAAGAAGAAGAAAAAAAGAGAACACAGTGAAGCAAAAGTGAAATCACCCTCCCAAAACGGTAACGGCACAATAATTCAATAATATATAATGATTAATGAATAAATAACATATACATAATATAAATATATATATAGACAATAGATAGGTAGAACTTAACCGATGCCAGGCGGGTATCGAGAAATCGATTAAAAGTTTTTAAAAAGCACCAAGCAGGCGATCCAGGTACAATCGCCATGCTGATTGCCAAAATAGAAGGACACGTTCTATCCATAAAACGCCTAGCGAGCCCAAGGAGTCACAGAGAAGGCTCTTGAAGCCGGGGGGCGCTTTTAGAGCTGGCTGTTGTCGAGGACTCTTGATGCGTGCGCGTCTGCAATTGACAGTCTGTGACAAGTCTGCCTGTTGTCTGTGTGTCGGTATATACGTGCCTGTATGGACCGCTGGAAAATATTCCTGAAGAACCCTCGTCAGACAGCGAGAGACAAAGAGAAAAGATCGGAAGTGAAAGAAGAAGATGGAAAAGTGGTAATAAGGGACAGAACGAAGAAGAAGAGAAAAGGAAGAAACGAAAGAGTCCTTGCGCACGAATCTTAAAACGCCGCCGGGCAGCTGGAAGTGCGTGAGCGGCTGTCGATTATTTTCTAAACGCAGCGAGCGGGGGCGGTGTATGAGAAAAAAAAATAATTTAAAAAAAAGTACCCAGAGTGTCACTGACTACGTGGATGTTGGCGGGATGCTAAGGTAGTTGTATTGCAACAATAACAAAAAAAAAACATGAAATAAATTACAAGAGATACACATTCACTTAAAGCAGATACCCTTACTGGGTTGATTGTACCGTGAGCTAGCAGTGAGGGTTATTATTATTATACACAGCATACACATTATAGGAGGACACTTATTCTTATTGATAGCTACCATCATGTTTGATGAAGAAAAGTAGAGGAATGAGAAACGAAGGAAAGACAAAAAAGAAGAAAAAATTTGTCTTTGCTGCGTCTGACTTATATTTTTCGAGCAAGATTACGTGCAGCTGGGGCGCGACTATGTTTGATCTTTTATCATTGGTACTTTTTTTTTTTTCATCCATCTTTGTAGTTTTTCCTCGCCCTCTCAGCCTTCTCTTGTTTCTCTTGCACAGCATCTTTTTCTCTTTTTTTTTCTGATTCATCAAAGTACGCATCTCCCGTTACACATTTGCGAATGTATATGTATACAGTGAGAGGAGACATTTGAAAATTACTGGTAGACTCGAAGGATATTTTTTTTCATGATAAAAAATAGAGAACGTAAACAGAGTGAGAGATGCGAAGATAAAGAATGGAAATTATTGGTGGTTAGCGATCCGTAATTTCTTTTTAATAATGAACCGGGGGACTGGCATTCTATTGCATTGACTTTTTAGAATGATCTATCAGCAGGAGTGCCTGTTCTATTTATTACAAAGATTAAAAGCTACTTAATTTTTGAGACACTGCTCGTCGGCATGTACATAACAATGTGAAGAGAGATACGAGTGATCGAATGAATTTGACGTTTGGCCAATTAGGGTTAAATAAATTAAAAAAAAAAGATATCTTTACGTTTGCGATTGGCGAATTATTGTATAACTTAAAAGAAAGAAGAAGAAGATTGAACGAGAGAGAATGAGAAATGTATTAAAAAAAGAAACGACCATTCGAATTGGAATATTACTTTTAATTTTGAATTGGTTGACTTCAGGACACGTTTTGAATTTTGAATTTCTCACGATTCGGAGAAGTGTTAGTCGTTAAGAACAACTTTTCTGTACGGACCAATTTTTCAGTCTGGTCTTTACTGTGTTCTCTCCAAATCGAAAATTCAAAGTTCAAAGTTCATCGCGTGGCCTTTGGCAATGGCGAACTCCTCGCACGCAGGCGAACGTAATCGATTAAGATTTATTAACGAGACGAGGTTCAGACGTAGAAGCATTTTGTGACACTATAAAGTGCCTGTCATGTCATGTACTAGAGACACGTTGTAAAGTCGGCGCAAGATTTCACATGATCTTGAAAAACCACCGTGGGAAAACTATATAAGTTCAACAATTAATTTAGGACCATCGAAAGCGAACGTATAGACTTACGTTTCATTTAATCGTGTAGTTTCGCAAGGTTTCCAAAAAAAGGGGAAAGAAATAAGAAAGAAAAAAATTGGAGACGATTAGGGTTTTTTTTTCGACGATATATGCGGATAACTCCGTACAGGCTGTACCGCATCTACCGGATATCCTGTGAAGAGGGTTGAAGCAACTTCTTTTTTTTCAATTCTTTTCTCTCAGGAATTATTCAAGCTCTTGTACGTTATTTAAATGCTGCGGTACATCCTGTAATTATATATATATATATTATTATAACTGCGTGAGGCGTCTTTTTCTAAATGTAATATATTTTGGAAATATCGTCAACGCGGGAAACCTTGGCGCTTAGTTCTTAGGGTCATTATAGATTTTTAGATTCGTGTCATTCATACTTTATTTTGACTCTATCGCATTAGGACTTTATCGTACGTAAATTTAACGTCAAAGAAAGATTGCAAGAGGAAAAGAAAGTGAGAAAGAGAAGAAATAATAACATAGATGTGTACCACAGCTATCGCAGGAAAAAAGACAAAGAAAAAGAGTCAACGACATACTTTCTTGTATCGCATACGTGATGGGGTGACACGAGGGTGGATAATTTTGGGCGTTAAATATAAAATTGGCAGATTAATAGGAGAGGCGGAATGAGAAGAAAGAATAAAAAAAGCGAAACAGCCACATATATTATTTGATAAAGACAAATTCATATAACAAGATGTATTTAATGAATTTATTCATAATTATAATTTTACTTTCTCCGGTTTCTATTATAGAACAAATTTATCTGCAAAGCCTGATTAGTTTCATATGATTAACGATAAATATCGAATTATTATAATTAACGAACGAACGAACCAAGGGAATGGCTCATGTCGGTCCTGAGTTTTAGTTTAATTTCGAGACGAACGCTCAATACTTTAAATCAAACTATATTAAATTTTTAAACCCGTGTTACTGTATCTGTCTGCGTACTTTAATCATTAATTAATTAACCTGTCAAAAATTAACTTTATGCATGTAACAGACATTTCAAATCTTGAATAATTTTTTATATCTGTTACACCAGTGTCCTACATGAAATTGTAATTCTTAAGTTTTCATTACTGCCGTTACACTTTATTGATTTTTCTTTATTCCTTACCTCTGTTCTCAATAACTATTTTTTCCAATCAACTTCGGCGTACGCTCTCTTAATTGATCAAAAACTCCTCCATTGGGCCTCAAGTCCCTTTACTGGGATAGGGAAAAAATAATAATGCACGTTTAGTATTAATAACGATATAATTACTGCAAGTGAAGGAACGATTGAGACGAAGAATACAAAGAAGAGCAAACGATTGATGGGATTATGATAAGAATTATAAAGTTATGAAATTCTAACTCCAACAATTATATGGCGTCTGTATTTCTGTATTACTATGAGGATCCAATGCATTTTCACAAATATCTCATATAGAAGGCTTATTTATAATGGATAAACTGCAGCTTGAGTCTTGCGATTTTAATTAGTAAAAAAGTATAAAGCCAATAGTAGCTGCGGCTATCCCTGTAGTGTTAATTTTATTTTGATTACAATGAGCGAAGTTGCGTCGATGCGATAACACTGTGAGATTATATGACTCTGGGCTTTTCTTTCTTTCTTTCTTTTTTTTTTTTTTTTTTTTTTTTTTTTTTTTTTTTTTTTTTTTTTTTTTTTTTTTTTTTTTTTTTTTCATGAAAACGTACTGGAATCTTATACGCGGTGAACAAGTACAAAGAAATTTTTGTACCGCGGCATGCCTTAATATAACTATATAGCCAAGAGACTTGCAATGTATTTCTTTCCTTTGTTTTCTGAGTCAACGCTACATTAGCTTTTTCCTATATCGACAAAACTTCGTTCATCCATCTTCACGTGCATTTAAGTAATCATACGTAAGAGAGGTATTGATAATACATGTGGATTGTCCACATATATTCTTTTTTTTTTTGTGCGAAATAGGTTCCTATTACAGTCTGTAGCAACGAGTGTAAATATTGCGCACGTTTCATTCGTTGCTGTCACTTTACTTTTTTTTTTACTGATGTTTTTGAAAATGCTACCAAAACATGCGGTCTCGGTAGGAAAGCAATGAGAGCAAGAGAGAAAAAGAAAGGAGAATAAGAGCCAGGCCTATAGTGAGGAAGCAAAGCTATTGAAAGCCTTTAAAAAACAAGAAACAAGATTCCTTGGTAATTTCTGTCACAGAGAGACGGGGAATTCTTTGTAAATTTTCCTTTAATTATTCTCGCACAATTAAAAGCCTCCTCGACCAGTGACTCGTTGATGACGATGTCAGGACGAGAATAAGTATGTAACGACCTGATCTCTCAGGAAACGTATACGCCAAGATAATTCACCGATATGTGCGACTAATGGGAATTTCGCGAAGACAGAAAGAGAAACGTGTGAAGCGACAAATTAATGATGAATTATTGTAAATGATAATGCCTAGAGTTTTGCGCGTATATTATATTGTAACTCCTTTCAGTTTGTTTTGAAACGTTATAATATAAGGAAACATTTTATAACAAAGAACTGTGTCTGTGATTCATTGATCCTCTGCAATGGTACGCAACTCAGTTTTGTCCCAACCAGACTACCATGAACTTCCTTCGTAGCCTCTATCGAATTGTTATTTTACATTCTCTTTTATAAGGGTAAGTAACTTATCGAACACTGATGAAATTTCATTATCGCCCTTTATTGCTAATTAACATTTCTTTTTTTGGTGCAACAGGTGGTATCGATCAATAATAACCACTAGAATTATTGATCGTCCCTCTATATATATAATATATATATGTAATAATAAGTTACAATTATTTACACATTATGGCGGCGTAAGTTAGTTGAAAAAATAATAAGACTCTTCCATTACTTATATAAATATTTTCATTTCTTTTCTCATTGTGGTTTATCATTATAAATTCGCAATGCGCCTCTTGTAAAAAACGCTTTCAAAATATCGAGCTTTGAATTCTTAGTCTTAATCAATAAGTTCCTCGCAGTTCTGGCATGTGTGCCAAGTATCTTTAGTTCCTCTTTTTAAATACGGTATTAAAAGTGTCGCAAAAAGTTCAAAGCTGATGGCGCACATAACAGAAGTTATTCATACATTATTCACAGTCAGATTGGAGGATTCCAAAATGATGTAGACTAAACTATAAAGACACATTGGATTCAAATAAATGCCCAACATAAATAACTGTGATTAGCATAAAAGTATGGCCACGTTCTTGTCTCAATGGGTTCGATTGTCAAAATCACAAACGTACGTCTTTCCAAAGGAATAACTCAAAGTGACTCTTACAGTAAGGTAAGTAATAGGTATATCTACCTGAACTCTTCACGTAACGCATATAAAGAAGTGTCTCGGCCTTATAAATAAAAAAAAAAAGAAGTCCCAGAAACTGGACAAATCATAGAAATAGAGAAGCCACAGAGAAACAATATCGAATAAAATTGCATCGACTCAAAAATCCTCATACAACCACTACTAAAGATTCCTTTTTCAGAAGATCCAAGAGAGATGAGGAAAAGAACAAGAAGCAAAAATGGACTCTGACAGTTTTCTTAGTTAGACCAGTTGGTAGGTATGTAAACGTCCTTCTGGTATTTGTCGAGGTTCATCAGGGTGTTAACCTTTCTTCTGATCGCCAGCAGCGTAGAAATTAATGGAGGCTGAGTTGATGCAGAAACGCTTCCTCGTCGGCTTCGGTCCGTCGTTGAAGACATGGCCAAGATGGCTTCCACACTTGGAGCAGGTCACCTCGGTCCGCACCATATCTGGGTTTGCGATCAGCAGTAGTAGATTGCCGCCAACTGTGCGTCGAGTATCCGACGCGGGTTTTTCGTATTCGGTGGTGTGGTGATAGTTCAAGTGGTAGCGGAGAGCGATAGGGGATGAAAGGGAAAGACAGAACAATAGAGTGTGATTAAACGCAGACCGACACCTTTGCTACGAATTTGAAGTGAGAGAAGATTTTACAGGAGCCTCCAAAAGAAAAGTGCTACAACTTTTCGCAACCCCCTCGAAGAGGAGTTTCAACTAGATGAAGAGGAAGCTCCTGATACTTTAACAATAGACAGAGTCAAAGAAGCCAATTAGACTATTCAGAATACAATCTTTTTCCTGGCAGGAAATACAAAGTAAAAAATTTACAAAACGAAAAAATCATCTGACCGTAAAATAGCGAAATTAGACACTGAAGCAGAACGACTCGGCTTTTAATCAGGTCAACAATATATGTATATTTTTATATGATTGTTATAGTATTGCTAATTGTTACCTATCACTTTGCTTTGCCAAGCGCCAAGTTAATAATTTAGACGACAGTGCAACAGCTGATCGAGACTGTTAGCTTACTGTTTTTTGCAAGATGGTAGTCCGTTTAGTATTTATAATAATGGTTATTACTGTTTTATAGAACCATCTCGATTGGATTAAATGCATTAATTGTTCGCTATTATGTACAGCGGATAATTTTAGTCTGATACTAATCAAGTGTAAGTCTATCACAATCACACTCTAAGCGTTGGCATGCAGGATTACTTGGATACGTATGGGAGACTTTTTATAGAAATAATTGCTGCTTCTTGATCACTGTTATCAACCCAGTCGAGACAAAAGAAAAATTGCTGTAGACGCATGACTGTATATCAAATACAAGAAGTTTCGAATAACGATTACTTCGCGAAAATAATAAGTCTGCAAAAAAATTTTCATTCTCTTTGACACGAATATCGAATATGCATGCGTATGACATCCGTTAAATGTTGCACGCACTTGTCGCGAATTGTAGAATAAATATTATCATAAGGCTAAAGAAGCAGCACAAGAGGAAATTTCGGATGAGGATATCCGGTGGACGTTTAAAAGTTTTTTTTTTCTCATTACAGAGAAATATAAAAATTGTAATAAGCTGGCAAACGGGTAAAGACGTCTTGGTACATTGCATACTTTTATCCAGGAAGCTTTACCCACTTACCATTATTAACAAAATTACTCCACGATATAAAAGTACAGTTAAAAAAATTAAAACCACCAATGTCTATAAATAGTATGATACCAGAGCATATTATACATAGATTTACAGAATCAATTAAGAAGATTATCCGTTAATTAAAACTCAAGCCATCTTTATGCTCACCATTAGAGGTGTCTTTGGTCAGCTTTACACGACCTTGATCTAAAACTTCGTTGAACGCCGGCCAACCGCACCCACTGTCGTATTTCGTATCAGATGAAAATAATTCCTGGTCGCAGACGATACATGTGTAAGTTCCCTTATCGTAGAATTTGTTGTAGCATCCAGTAAATGGCCTAGAAACAAGTAAGAGAAATATTAGATAAGAAAGTCACTGACTTATAAAATCAAGAGGAAGTAAACATCCATCCAAGAGCCCTTGCCACTATATTTCTATTTTATTTTTGAAGGACTTGGCTATGAATCACGGTTGAGCGGACGGATACACTTGAAAAAGTTATTTCCGTTCTACTGTCACCTAAAGTTAGATCTTTTTTTTGTTCTTTCCTTTCGTAGAAACTCGCATACCAAAAGAGAATGTGCGCGTATTTAAAGAATACCGTAGAATTGTTACTATACATATATAAGTAGTATGCAAAGCTAACTCATCCTGGAATTCCATTCACGTTTTCTGCCATTCTTATCCTACGTATCTGCACCAGCATTCAAAATTCTGAACATAAATGGACATGAGGATCCGACTAAGCGTATTCATTCTGTCCTGTCGAAGATTGCGAAGAGAAATTCCAATGGTTAAAATAATATTCTAAACAATCTGTTCATTCGATAGAAGGAAATAGCAGCTATTTTTGAAATGCTTCACAAGTCTCCATATCAGCCGGAATTGCTTACGTATTTCCTAAAGGGGAATTTCACTGTATTATATTGTAACAAAAGCGCTGAGTGTATCGTGATTACCGCAGCCATGAAGCAAACAGGAAAATAGCTCAAGGGCTCCTGAATTGGATGATCATCACAAGGTCAGACGGTTTGCGAAATTGCATTACTGATTGTTCGCGTACATACAAAGTTTCTAGATATTACGATGACAATGAATATGCAATTTTTGTCTTCTTTCTTTGCTTCTCACCTTTCTGTACCCTTTTCCTGTGTGACATGCCACTGCAATGGTGTCAACCTCTTCCTTACTTCCTCCTTATCGATCTCACTCGTCATCCTTCTTCTCCAGGAGTCTTCGTTGGAGGCAATAACCGAGAAAAATTACTCGTAAGCCTAGCGAGTGTCAGCGAAAAAATAACCACGAAGAATCCTCCTCCACTATTTCTTGCAGGCAACTGCAGAGACTACTGTCACTCCCCTTCAACTACAGGCTGCTATCGGACTATCATAACCGACTTCTACTTCTACCAGACAGAGTGTTCCATTTTCTTGCCAGCGATATGTCCTTTTGATACTTCGAGTCTTAAGTCTGGTTTATGCTTAAGGTAGTCGAGCTACCATGACCAGTTTATGCTTAGATTCAATTGAAATTCTTTATTAGTAATTTATACTGAGTGATTTTTATGTAATCATACTGTTAAAATACTTGCAGGATATTGTTAGTCGTTTTATTTTCATTATTTATTTATAGAGCTTCGTCTGCTCTGCGGAATTTTGGAACACTCATGTCATTCATGGGATGTACAAAATGGCGAATCGGCGGGAATTGCCATACACGAATTCTTCGGAGGATTTGGATGCCTCTCTTGTAAGTTTAACATTCTCTTTGCCGGCGCCTATGGCTTGAATTTTTTAAGTATGTTAGGTTGACGGGAGTGGGGGTATTTTATAAAGAGGGGGAAGTCTGAAAAGCTTTCCGATTGGTCAATGCAAAGGCATAGGCTTGCTGGGATCGGTAAGCGATTGAAGCGCCCCTCAGTTAAGTACAACAGAGTTTTCTAGCCTAATTTTTTCTCGTTCCAGTTATCAAATTGTTCATTCCAGGTACTTGAAAGGGTGAAAATTATGAGAGGATTTTAGGTATACACTAATTATTTTATATATTCTAATTGTTAAATAGGTTTATGAAGAAATAGAGCATTCACGACGCACCTATTTGAATCGAGGAACGCAGCGTCCCAGTTGATGCAACACGACGAATTACCTGGAATTTCGATAGATTTCTGAAGATAACGTTCATTTTGAAAATTAGATCACGATCTTTTGTCTTGATGCGGACTGCTGGTTGCAACTACACTCAGAACTTTGCACTAGTACATCTGAAAAATCTACTACAAACTTCGAGTACTCCTTGAAGTACTTTATTTCTTCTACGACCAACGAGGTGCATCGTATGTCTGTTGTCTTTTTCTCCCCTCTCGACGCGGCAAGTTGCGGCGTCTAACTTTAGTTTATGTGATATTTTATACGTATCATACAATTAAGAGTTATGTCGTATTAGTCCCATGAAGGTCAGGAACGATGAGCTTCTCCAGCGATGAAGTGAACTTTTTGGTGTACAGATATCTCCAGGAATCCGGTAAAATTTAGAGCGTCTTATAACCTATTCTCAATTTTCTTTAAGCCTTATAGGTTGATTCGCTTGATTTTTCATTTATCTTCAATTACCTAATATTTGTAGTAATTTTATTCATGATTTTTAATAACATTTATAGTTACAGTAGATATGTATGAGGTTATATCTAAATTTATCGTAGAACCTGTATCGTCATATTCATTTATTTTTTTAGTATACATTTACATTTTGATAGGTATTATTTGTCGTTTTGTATTTGAGATTAATTTCGTAATTTTAGAATATTTATTTATTTACAGGTTTTCAACATTCAGCCTATACGTTTGGTATAGAGTCACATATATCGCAGAGTAATATAAATGGCGCGTTAGTACCTCCTGCTGCGCTTCTATCTATTCTTCAAAAGGGTCTTCAGTATACTGAAGCAGAAATTTCTATCGGTGAAGATGGCACTGAACAGAGAATGGTGGAATCCTTGTCTCTCATTGATGCAGTTATGCCAGATGTTGTCGCATCTCGGCAGAACCAGCAGAATCAACAGAAACAACAGGTGAAAACAGAGGTCCAGGATACAAATGGAGAAGAAGGTGATAAATTAATAATCTTATTTAATTATAGCCTGGTACACCCTGGTTCATAAAATATTTAATTTTTCTGAACCTCCTCAATAACCCAGGTAGAACAATGGACCACCTGTGTAAATGAACATACTGTTATTCAGGACTTTCCACTATATCTTTATACAATACAAGCAAATATATTTTTTAATCTTGTTAAAAAATATATTTTCTATTTTATAGTGAAGTAAAGTTCTGAAACTATCTGACAGAATGTTTATTAACTAGAGGCAAACAAATCCCATTGAAATATTTTTTTTTCTTATATTTTCCATTAAGCTCATTTTATTCTATTAAACTTATATTTTACACAGTCGTTACATCAAATGTGGGAGTGGGCGCAAATGAAAGGGGAGGAGATAGGTCAGAGATGGAAGTGGATGAGCAGCAACAAGGAACTGGAGCTGGTGCCAACGCAAGTGCTGTTGAGATACCAGCAAGTAAAGCTACTGTTCTGAGGGGTCATGAATCTGAAGTCTTCATTTGTGCCTGGAACCCAACCACCGACTTACTGGCCTCAGGTTCTGGTGACAGTACAGCTCGAATTTGGGATATGTCAGATAATTCCCAAGCACCAAATCAGCTCGTTCTACGTCATTGTATTCAAAAAGGTGGTACAGAAGTACCAAGTAACAAGGATGTCACTTCCCTGGATTGGAATGTACGTAAAATATTACATATTAATTATATCCAGGTACATACTTGATAAACTGATCTTCTCATAAAATTATTATCCTTACAGTGTGACGGAACTTTACTTGCAACTGGTAGTTACGATGGCTATGCGCGAATTTGGACGACTGACGGACGTTTGGCGTCGACTTTGGGCCAGCATAAGGGACCCATTTTTGCGTTAAAGTGGAATAAACGTGGAAATTATATTCTTAGCGCCGGTGTTGACAAAACTACCATCATTTGGGATGCTGCAAGCGGACAATGTACTCAACAGTTCAGTTTCCACTGTGCTCCAGCTTTGGACGTCGATTGGCAAACGAACACATCTTTTGCCAGCTGTTCGACGGATCAGTGTATCCATGTTTGTAAATTGAACGTGGATAAACCAGTAAAGAGCTTCCAGGGACACACGGTACGCGAAGAACTGATAGCTACTATACAGGGTGTTCGTTATGAACCGCACTGTAGTAACACGTTACATTCCTTTTTAAATTCTAATGAATACGTGTATTTTCATTTTTTATTTCATATATAAAAATTTCGAGATAATCAAATATACACATATTCTTTGGAATTTGACAAGGAATGCAACGATGTTACTACAGTGCATTTCATAACGAACACCCTGTATAAACCAATCATTTAAAACCAGAAACTAACAAGAATATTTTTAAAATTAATAGAATGAGGTAAACGCAATCAAGTGGGATCCTCAGGGAAATTTATTAGCCAGCTGTTCCGACGATATGAGTCTAAAAATCTGGTCTATGAAACAAGACACGTGGGTCCACGATCTTCAGGCACACAGCAAGGAAATTTATACAATTAAGTGGTCTCCGACAGGACCAGGAACCCATAATCCTAATATGAATTTGACTTTAGCTAGTGCTTCCTTTGACTCCACTGTTAGGTTATGGGATGTTGAGAGAGGAGCCTGTATACATACACTGACCAAACACACTGAACCAGTCTACAGCGTAGCATTTAGTCCTGATGGGAAGTTCCTAGCCAGTGGAAGCTTCGACAAGTGTGTTCACATTTGGTCCACTCAGGTAGACCACATTATTTTTTCTCCAGTCATTAGCAGTTGAACAATTTTTAATTACAATTTAACCTGCATTGACTATTCTTACAGAGTGGACAGCTGGTGCATAGCTACAAGGGAACAGGCGGCATCTTCGAGGTCTGCTGGAACAGTCGTGGCGACAAGGTCGGCGCATCTGCGTCAGATGGCAGTGTCTTCGTATTGGATCTTCGTAAACTGTGATCGTCAACGGCTCACTAGAAGTTCTCTGTTTTTATATTTTTGTTCTTTCTTTCTTTTTTTTTTTTCATCATGCATTCATCACAATTTCTGAGTCCTATTCCCGACGTTCTTCATTTGTCCATTCTTTTGTTTCCTTTATTCCGTATCAATTCTTTATTTTACTAGTGGAGGAACTCGGTGTCATAGGAATCAGAGCACTTAAAAAAAATATATGAAAGATGGTGGTCTTCCTTCCACAGCAATTACATAAATTCTTTCACGCATATATAAATTCACTTTACAGAATTCTGCTCGCTGGTTATGACTATCTATTTTCCCTTTCTATTTCGAGTTGCGGCATTTGTGAATTTTACGTAATACGAATTTTGCCACGGATGACGAAAAACGTTAAGTAAAGGCACGTCGAAATATGTCGCGACGCCACGTAATTGCTGGGAAGGAGAGTCTCGTGTTCTATCCTCATTCGCGAGCGTGAATGACGTAGATGTTAATTATAACTGTAATAATAACGATTAGTATTATATTATTATATATCGACTCTAAATGATAAATAAACTTTTTTAAATAATGATTCTAGACGAATAGTAGTGCAGGTGTCATTGCAACAATTAAGTTAGACATCTGATTATTTTTTTTTTTTCAAGCAATCAATTCTATGTTAATATCATGAAACTATCATGAACTTGGTCCATTATACCAGAGCCTTCCTCCCTATACCAGAACATATTCCAAAACTGCAAGTGGTTATTAACTATTTCTGAAAACTACTTGTAAACCACGAGACCCCTAAACTGTGGTTTGTCTGAATTGGGATTTCCCCCTCAAACTGAATTTTGATCTCTATCCGTTCAATTACTTTGAAAATTCATTCATGTTAAGAGAAGTTTCTGTCTTTTCCATTCTCTCCTTTTTCTCTCTACACATACACCTACTCAATCCAAATATGGATTCAAATCCGAACATATCCCTGGAACTCCAATCCTTCAGAATCTGATTTCAAAGAATTTCCAGTGTACGAGGCATCTTTGAAATTCCTCGGAATCCTCATGCAATGCATAAGCAAATAACATCAAAATTTGACACATGACTTATTCCTCTTTTGATATTGGATTATTTACACTTTTATACTTCACATCAATTGGATTTATGTCACATTTGATTTGTAATAACGAATATTCTCATTACAATATGATATCTCCCCACATATGGTGTATTTGAAACATGATAAAGAAAGAGAGAGAGAGAGAGCTAAAAAATAATTACGTTATAATATTACTCGTTATTGTATATATTCTCTTGTACTACGGATATGGATAAGTGGATATGTGATAAAAACATGTGTAATAATAGAACGGGAGCAAGGAAAGCGGCATAGAGCGGTGGTTTTATTTGAAACAAAATTTATTACAACTAATTCAGTCCTATCCGACGTGGCAATTGACCCATATGCGAGAGTGGCGCAACGAGCTAATGAAAGAGACATTAAAAAAAAAATTAAAAAAGATGGAAATAATATATAACAGCGCATCGGGGTCTCAGGCAACCCTGTTAATAAATAAATAATCATCTGGATTAATAAATAAATAAATAACTTAGAGAGTAGAGCGGTATATAAATATAAAAATATCTTATAAACAAATCATTACAATTGCATTTGATAATAAACACTTAAGATATTAGAGCCGTCGATGTAGTATATATATATATACACACACACATATATATATATATATATATATATATATATATATATTACATTACCGGTAAATGAAACGCGAAACCCAATGATAAGGTCCATTCGTTACAGGCGTTTTCTTCGTTTTTTTTTCTTTTATGTCACCTATTATCTAACATCGATGTACGTACATTGTTTAAAGCATTAATTCACGTGTTTCGTCTATTTTTCTTGTATTGTTGTGTCTGTGAACATGTCAGTATCGTGCCTATGTTTAATGTACTTGTCTAATGTTATGTATACCATTATCTTTTCGTTAATTTAGTATTCGTCTGGAAATCTTTTTCTTTTTACCTATTACAGTTAGTCGTTGGTGAAGAATTCAAAGGTGGAGTTAATAGGAGTCAATTGAGAAAAAATAATAGGCTTCACAAGGGAGTCACGTAGCTGGAAGGAAAGTAGATACAAAAAAATAATCGAATACCTCCATTAGGAATTTTTGAAAATTACGTAAGATAAATTGCTTAAACCTTTTACTTTGGTTTCCTTTACGTTGCTTAAAATCGTGCAAGTCCTGATTCCTTTTTTTTTTAGGGGTGGAAGGAGATCCAGGAAGTATAAGGTGGAAGGAAAGTTCAAGTTAAAATTACAATTAATAATACTGCTTTGTTTTATCCGCCGGAACGTGAGAGCCGCAAGAGATATAATAAACGCAGCGAATAAGAATAATAATAAGTGAAGTGATTATCGAAACGGGCTAGGGAAGCAACCCGATCCGCGGTATTCCGCCATTACGACTCGATCTACCGTACAACACGAATCATTTAATACCTATTAACCGAGCGTAACGTGTACCGATATTGAATGAGAAATCATCGATGACGTCGTCGACATTTAAGGGCTGTGAATGAGGAGGCGAAGCTGTTGTTTCTCGGTTCCCTGTTCATCCCTTTGAAAGGCTTCGACGGGTTACAAGAGGTGAAGTTCGTTAGCCATCTGTTGGAAAAACGCCAAACTAATTGCCAATGACTGTTACAGTAGTCTGCTTCTTATATCGCGTGACTGAAGGCAAAAGGGCGAAGGCTTGAAGTCTTTTTGTACGCCCTCTTGATTTTAGTAACGGGATATGTCAGTTTATTGTTATAAGTTTTCTTCAGGACTATCTTACCCTTCGTGTTTCATCATCCTGGCCATCTCTGAGGACAGGACTGTCGCCATTGTTGTACCAATCCTGTGTCCTCTCGGTGTTCCTCTCGACGTGCTGCTCATCGTCCTGAGCAAATTTATCAGCCCTATAATCACGGTACGGATTGAAATCGTTTCTGCCCTTGGCTTCTGACACCTTGGTCACTTCCGGCTCGGGATCTGAACTCGAACGTTTTCCAATGGTCTGTAGGAAACGTCGGTTGGCATCTACCTGCCATTGATCCTGACGCATCTTCCTACGAGCTAATTCCAGGAGGTATCTCTCTCGTAGCACATCCAGAGGATTCACGATTGATAAGGAACCCAATCTCTTTGGACGCAGTAATGGCGAATCGCGACCACTGTTCGAGTCGAACGGCTCCATCTGCAATTGTAGGTTAAGAAGAGGCTTTTTAGTAGAGGCAGTACTTTAATGCTAGAGAACAAAGGACATAAAGAAGTCAAGTTTGCAGGACGATGACGCGTGTGCTGGATACGATAATGTAGAGAATTAAAGGAAGTACTGGGAGTGGCGATGAGGGAAATGCAACTGAAAGGTGTGGAGCTTTACTCTTTTGTCTCAATAATAACGTCGCGACGCTTCTGTCGATTTTATCTTTTTCGCAGTGAATTTCTTTCACTTCTCGTTTCTTTTTTTTAATAGATTTTCTATCCACGCGGGAAGGAACTCAGGATCAGATGTCATTTGAATTATTCCCTTTGTGTCAGGATGCTCTTTTTTTCTCGTAGTCTTTACACGTACTTTCCTTCTCTATGTTTCTTTTCTCTTTATTCTTATTGGGTTTTCGTTTTACTTTCCAGATCGAAATACGAACACGATTCTCATATGGCAAAGGGACAAAGGGTGTCTATTACTTATTAATCTACACGGTGGACGCTTTTTATTCAGATTCTCTTTACACAAAGTACTTTTGATGGGGATTTTTATTTGTGACAAGCCTAAGAATTTACCACGCATCAAGCGGCATTGGATTAGACCATAAGAAGCCGCTGATCGAACTCGCATAATAAATAACGTTAAGATGCGATTTGAGTATCACGATACATCCCAGAAGAAATGATTATATATAATCATATAAAATGGTATATAATCACATCGAAAATTCGTCTATATCTGATTAAATCTACAATTATCGGATTATATGTAATAATTTTTTTCCAGAAACGATATCAGAAGGTGTAAAATCGAAGCAGCACTTACACCTCAGATGCATACTGCATTTGTGGGAAAATTTTATATTCACTGTACAGCACGAAGATGCTTTTAGCGTTTAGTACTTTTTTTTTCCTGGCGTCATTCTATCTTAGTTGTTGAAGGAACAAAAATTAAACTAGCCCAGGGCGCATATGTTTTACCGAAAGACAAAAGAAAAAAGAATGTTAGAGTATTAAAATAGGAAAATTAAAATTGCAGGTAACTCGGTACGTATGAGCCGTTTAAACTTTTATGAGAGAAAAATAAATTACTAAATTGTACCAGAATGCAATATTCGCTGAAATTTCAAGATACGAATCCAGACTCGCTCAACTGTTTCATAAAGAGATCTTTCGGTTACGTAATGAATTCTTATGGGTTACCTGATATCCATCGTAAATTTCTCTTATTTTATCAAAACTTATTTTCTTCTTTCAGAATCCACTACGTTTCCTACCACGCTCAGGGTAATAAGACAGAATGATCTCGTTTATATAGCTATCGCAGTGTATGTACACTACGCTATCGCAATGTTTCCTTCTCCCATTTTCAATTGCGCCCCAAGGAGAAAATATGTTCAGGTTATATCAAGACCATACGTATCCCTATACCGATCGGACTATCATACTTGGCGATAACGTGACTTTTTCCTTATACCCAGCGTAAGGGAGTAAACATTCCATACATAGAATACATACCGTAGAAGAGAAAGCTACGTCTATCCTCGCCCATCGCAATCTAATTATTTTCCAATAGTTTATTTATCAGCCACACTTGGACTTTACGATTCTGTATTTTATTTTCAGATTTACCAATCATAGCAAATGTACATAAAATGAGAAAACGAACGTTGAGTTATAAATAATTTAGGATAAACGAAGCAAAAAGTTTATCGTCAATTTCTTTGGCAATTGTTTTTCATTTGGGAAAACGAGAGGAAGTGAAAATGAAGAAAAATGTTATACTGGTAATTCAACTAAAGTACATATTGTCGGATCTAGTTATTGGAAATTTCACAAAGCCCAATGTCTGACTTGTTCGTGGAATTAAGTAAAGTAAACGTTTTATTTATCAATTTAATGTCTGATAGAAGGATTATAGTTCATTATTGTATGTCTGTCAAGGATCATATTGCTGTTCTTCAATCGTACCTCCAATCCTGGGATTTGATTCAAGAGGAGCAGAAGCTCTGGACGATCCGCCATTTGAAGTTCCCGCCTACGATACGTCGGATAGGAAAGTGGCGTTGATTCTGCAAGACTGATTATGGCTGTTGTTGCCAAGACGCTAACGAGGATCATCCTTGCAAGTTGTTGAGTACTTGAGTGACTCGTTTTTCTTTTCTGAAAATCAAAATGATGCACCAACGTTAACACAGAATGCAAGATTACTACGGTTTATAAGGAATTTAACTTGAATGAAATTCAGAGTGAGGCTTGTTTGTTTTATGATAAAAAAGAGAAACGTCCCAAGGTTCCTTGTTATGCTTCTAGGATCTACCTAGAGTGATCTGTATTATTCCATTATGTAAAAAAATGATTGATCCACTCACAATTCCTTCATAGTTGATCGACGATCCTAACCTCAAATGGATTTTTCTATTCAATCTAGAATACAATTACTTATTTTTATACTTAGACGATTTTGCTTTCCATGCAGATTATTATTATAAAAACGACAAATATTCTCTTGCAATATACATGGAAATACGTTATCAGGTAATCACTCCTATATCTATTTCCTGGTTAGCGTTATTGTCAATAATCAACGCTCCAATATCAGGGGGGTTAATAAGTGATCTGGTATTCGATATGCAAACTACGCCGGTTTGGGTGATTGAAAATTTGCTAATCGAAAAATTAAAAACCAAGGTAAACAGAGTGCAATTAATTTGCAAGAATTAATTACAGATTCAGTGCTTGTTTCAAAATTACTTATGAGCAATGTTAATGAATTGAAATTGACGATAGATAATTAATTGTGCATTGGTGTTTCAAAACTTGACCAGGTACTTCTGGCATTAATGCGTTACTGGGGATAGAGCATAAAGGATTCTGACATGGGTGTGAAAATGGCGTTATTCAAATGGACCAGCTGGAATAGATTTTGAGGTTCTCGCGGTGCTCAAGAAATTTGATCCTAAGACGACTCCTCTTCATCCTTCTCCTCGTCATCCAGTATTCTCAGCGATCAAGTTCCCGTTCATTTGCATACATAGATACGGCAAGATTCTATTACGTCATTCATCATATTCTGTAATGAATTTTATAAGGTATGGCTATGAACCTTTCTCTGTTTGACTTATATCTTGGATTTTCTCTATGTCTGAAAACTTGATAGAACTGTCAAAATTTTTGATAGGACAAGCTTTGAAGATAAGTCTTATCAATTGTCCGTCGTTCGGACTACGTTTTTTTCTGTGGATAACCTAAAATATTTTTTTTATTCAAAATTCTCTATGTCGGTTACGGAGAGTTATTTTGCAAAAGTTACACCACCTTTCAGACGGTAATATATTTGTGTGCAGAGAAACATATGGAAGATGATAGCAGGATTCAATGAAGAAGTGAAGTAATAATATGGGAAATAAAAAATGTTCATTTCGAAACACATAAACGGCTGGCAACGTTGCGGAGGCCGTTAAGGATTATGACGGTTGTAAAAGTTAGTATCGGATAATGGGAAGCGTCGATCCAAACAGATTTACGAAGAGTAAGCGGAATCCAACGAACAGCCTAACGAAACCTGAAGCGTCGCGACGCTATGTATCATGACGCTACGATAATTCATTACTTTGATATCTGGTAGAGTCGGCTAACTCGAGCCGAAATCAAAGAGCCAATTATCAAGTCAAAGGCGAATCAAAGTCTCGATCAATATTTAAAAAGGATGGTTGAATTTATCAAAATGGATAATTTCGACGATTACATTCCCAAATGAATGGTAAATCGTCCACGCGCATCTCGCATTGCGCATTACGCGTTGAACCGCAAACCAGGTAAACGTAAAAACTTCAATTATTGCTTTAAAATTCATTAAGGCTGCTTTCTTGTATCACGATTATTTTACAGGCTTCAACTTCTGTTTCTGCTTTTCAATTAACAAGGCACACCTGCCAGTACGACGGGTTGTCATTCTGCGAGGGGTGATTATACTTTTTCACTTTTAAAAGCAATGCGCTCTCGACCTACACCCTCCAACCTACGGAGAGGAGGGGAGCCAATGTTGAATTAATTAATGGATAGCAGAAGGTGGGGGGTGTTATGGTGGAAAATTACATCTCCGATGGAACTTTCGTTCTTGTCCAAGAAAAAAAATAAGAAGGAAACTGTCAAAACGTTCTCAATTAGCGAAAAGGATAGGTCTGTGCATGTCCCTTAAGTTCTGTACAAAGAAAATATCTTCAGGGGATTGATATAATAATATTCAAAGAAAATTATACTCTTGGTAATTACTCTGCTAAATCTCTAAGAAAAAAATTTAAAAAAAGAAATACGTTATATATTTGCAACGAGGAACATGACGATAAAGTTCGATTTTTCTAATCATTACTTGGAACAATGGCTTATTTATTAAATAAAATTTTGCTTTATTACCGGTGTTAGATTAATGCTCGGCAACGGAAACGAATAGCGATGTGGCTATCGGTCATATCGTATCCGATTATTTTTCACTCTGTGTACAAAATTAGAGTGGGTGGTTTGACAAGTGGCAATGGCGTCTGCTGATAAAGTAATTATTTCATAAACCAGGTTATAAATCAGATGGGCTTATATCTGCCGGTTATAGCCCCAAATTTCGATGCTTGATGTATTGGCCTTTCATTCCATGAAAATATACAGATTGCCTATGAACATATATATAGAAGACACATAAAGAGCATATAGGTCTAGAATTAAAAATAAAATCCATAAATGGTTTAACGGCTCTCAGAGTAAACTTAGCGAGTAATCTATTGCCTCCTACTACTTATATATTAATATTTGTTTGTATATATGTTACATAGGTATACACATTTACTCCTGATTACGGCTCTTCACTGGATGTCATTAAGGCGTGAATAAGTTCCAGAATACTGAAGCCTATAGAAATTCAATGCCCAACGACTTGGTATACTCGAAATGAATGTCTAACATTTCATCAGTAATTCTGGTTGCCACAAACAAATGTGAAAACTTCATTAACTTATAATTACGCTGCCCTGCAACAATCACGTGACATGTATTGGAAGCAACAGGCGGTAAAAGTTTTTTTAAATTTCTTAAAAGCCACGTGTCTTTCATTGAAAGGGTGAAGACGCATGGAATTTTTGGCCAAAAATAGATGCCTCCCTATCTGCTAATTAACCACCAAGTACAATTACTGCCTTTCGGAAAACGTCTACAAAAGGATATTTGGCAGCAAGATTGATCATCCCTGGTTCAGCTGTTGAGGGAATATTCATTCAAGCTTGAAGAGTACTGCCGGTGGCGGGCATTGTTTAACATTGAAGTACCTTATAATAACGTTATCAGATTTATTAATTAAGTCATTAGTATTAAGATTCTTATATAATCGTAAAAGGAAAATTTCCGTGGAAGAATTTTTGTCAGTCATTATTACCCTTAAAGGATAAGAAGGATTGGTTTAAGCTGCCTTTACATTAGCGAAAGAATCGTTCTTATCCGATAATATTTTTTTATACGTATATTCTATATACACATATAGTCCAGTCGGAATAGACATGCGACTTATTCAAAGACCCCACCACAGCGCCAATTTTTTCGGAGGTTGTTTGGACCTATAGGAACATGCCCTCAAGTTTTCGTAAAAATCTTAGTTGCATTGTAACAAATAATAATTATTAAAAATTAAAAAGTCGAGTTTTTTCCGTAATTTTTTTGTTATGCATTTTATCGAAAAATAGTTTTTTCCGATTTTTTTATCGAAAAATGCATAACAAAAAAAAAAGCGAAAAAAAATCGACTTTTTAATTTTTAATAATTATTATTTGTTAAAATGCAACTGGGATTTTAACGAAAACTTGAGGGCATGTTCCTATAGGTTCAAACAACCTCCGAAAAAATTGGCGCTGTGGTGGGGTCTTTGAATAGAAGTCGGTCCAAATTTCGGCTATTCCGACTGGACTAATATACTTATCTATAATCCATATCGAATTAGATATAAAATAGTATTTATTGAGTCAACGTGCTATGTAAATTCAGTTTTCCCATGGATATAGTAAATAGCCTAGCTGAACACTCGAGGGTTTATTCGTGCGAAAACTCGTGTTCGACGTCCAAGTGCTATAGAAACTCGGCAGGTCGTGCCCTCTGGTAAATACTCATGGACCAGGTTAATCTTATCACGCAGTGAACTTCTACCACTAAGCGTTAAAGTCGTTCAAACTTTTCAAGCGTTCACGTTTAATTTCCGATAGCCATTGAAGATTGTTATTGACTGAATCCTCCAGAGCGACTAGAGGTTTGCAATTGACAATACAAATTAGTAGATGAATTTCATCAATTAGAACCATACTCTGATAGGAGAATCAGAATCTACCCAAACCCTATATATAATTATTTATTATAAATCATCCAAAGATCATTAAAGACTGTAGACGCGGTATCAAACTTTCTTTATCCAAAGTATTGTTCGTCTTCTCTCTTTTCTCAATTCCGCTACAGAAAGTGCGTCGTTAGTAGAATTTCCATAAAATGTACTAAAGGATTCATTTCGATTATGCAAAGTTTTGGATATCATTTAAACTGTATTTATATATACAGTGGGAATTATAATGCGCGAGAGCTCAGGAGTTTATATTTTGCTTAAGTCTTCAAAAACCGTGGATACCGTACAGGTGGCTGGAATTATGAAAGAAGGAAAAAAAGGGCTGAGGGTTAGCCAAAAAAAAAATTAAGAAAAAATATTTGTTATCGTTTGTCCGTTATCTATTTCTTTTTTTATCTGTTTTTTCATGTTTTCTTTTATTACGTTCTTCTACTGTATGACTCTCTTACCTATATACGGGACTCTATTTGATATCCCTATGAGATGTATTTCAACATTTGATTCGAAGCGACGTTCATCGATACAAGCCAATGCACTTACTCGGTATTGATTCTATCGAGGTTCAATTTGCATTTGCAATTTCCCATCTTCCGTCGTGCGTAACGCAAAATTAAAAGACAGTACATTTCTGGATACCCTTGTTCCTCCTACTCTATCCTTATTCGTATATGTTTATATATGTATTTCAGTTTGTTATCGAGTAGAAAATAATCGGCAGACTATCAACCGTCACAGGTAGTACCAATTGTCATTTTAATTTCTCTCGATAAATAACGAGCAAAGCAATTAATCGCAAATTCCCTTTGGCATTTATTAGTATACAGACCTGTCACGCCGAGGCTTATTGAGCATATGGTCGAAACAAGTGTACACTTAAAAACCAAGGGAGATCAAAACAACATTTTTCTGTATTACAGTGACAAGCCACATGGCCGTGAAACAGTAAAAGAATACGTAAAATTTGTAATCAAATCTGCCAAATTGATTCAGTTAATCTTCAGTGTGAACCACCCTTATTGATTCTTGCCGGGAATTTAGTTAAATACTTTTAGAAGTTGGTATAATTCACTTGTTAGGGACTGTAAGTCCTGGACAAGATGGCTGAATATTTTACAGTCTGAATCCCTTGCTTTCAGCGGATGTGTTGATTGTGATTTGTATTGTAGCTAATTAAGTTGGATGAAACTCGTGGATCGTTTGCGTTAGTTCTTTTGAGGTTAAGCGACAAAGACTTGCTACGTGGTAGAAGTTGATAGGTATGTACTACAATTAGTTGCACTTTAAGGTTACGTGTATGCGAGAACCTTTTTTCCTTGATTCATACATTGCTTTTGTAACGTGTTATATTATTCTATGTTTTATTTGTAGATATTATATTACAAGTCATTCCACGCTTGTCTTTTTTGATTCGTCCACTCGAGTATAGAATTCCTAATGGAATTGTCTGATACTAGTAATCAGTCAGGATTGAAAGAGAAAGGTTTTAGGTGATTCAGTTTATCAAAAAGCTGATTGCTTGGTTGGCTGGTATGTTTGCGTTTATTATGCTCATGATCGTTGATTTTATGCCCATAAGTTTACGACGTGGAAAACAAGATCAACCGCTTGTTCGTAAGTTCGCCGCTTTTCCGAGGCGGTCAGAGCTGGTGGAATGGTAAAGGGAAATAAATAAAGAAAATAAAAAGTGAAATGAAGGAGGGTAAGTTGTAACAATAATTTTAACATTCCAAACAAGTAAGTGCGCCGTTTTCATGCTTCGTTTGATCTTACATTTATAAGGGCGTTTTTCTTCACGTTTCATCTTTGTACATGTATTTATGTCATCATTTTAAATTATGATTTCCGCTAGAGACCCTACTTTCTGCCTGCTGCTCTCTTTTTAAATTTATTATGACGTATCTTCACGCATGTGAAGGATTAACGATCGAGCGGAAATGTCTGAAAATAAGGAGACGGAAATCACCTAGTTACGTCTTAATGTAAGCAGGAATTAAATAGATGTGACAATCAAATATCAAAACCTTAAACAATCCTTATGAAGAGAAACTCCAAGAAAACTTTATTAAGCTTGTTTCCAGTGACAGCCAAAAACTAGCTACAGTATTTTGTGACGTTTCTTCAATTGATTTTGCAAATTTAAAATCTGACGTTACTTCAGTCCTTTATTTTACATGCTGTCAGTATCCAAGAATTTCACCTTTAAGGTTAGGGTTCCACCCATCTTCAAATGCAGTATTTCAGCTATACGTTTATTCCGCGACGGTATTAACACACTTTATGCATTTTGAGTGGATGTCTCGTTGAGTGACTGGTTGACTACTTTAACCCTCCAACAGTCACGTGGGGGCTTAAAGGACCCCAGATCACTGAATAATTTTTTTTTCAAAATTCCTATGACGTCACGGCCGGTCGTTTTCATTTAAAATATTAAATCCCTTTAAACTCACTCTCTCTTTTTTATTATTGCTTGATGTACCGTTCGGCCCAGAAAAAGAATTGCATGGTTATTCAAATATATGTTTCCACCCTTACGGTAATGGTGCTCTAGGGTGGGTCAGGGGTGCACTTGTTGAACCGTTGGCTCACTCGTTAAATCCTTCGTAAAATCGGCCCGTTTGCTACCTAATGTCGTATATAGATATTCATAAGTTCTTCTCCGTGACAAACTACCCTTAACTAACCTATAAAAATCTCCTCCCCCATTGTACGGTATATGCTCGTGCGCTCGTGTATGCATACAAGGTGGACGAAACTTTAGATTTAATTTTTGGGAAAATATTAACTGTCTCATTCAGAATACCCCTAGATGAAAATTAATCTAGTGAATAACTGTTTAACGACGAGATATTATCGTGTTAATCCCTTTTTTCTCCTATTTCTTTACATTCAATGATCTTCGTACAATAGACAGTTACATAAAATACAGTTAACTGCCACTGCCAATTTTTAAAAATGGGTTTTACGTGAAATTTAATAAAAAAAGTTCGCGGATATGGTAAATCCGTTGGATTCTTTTTTATCATATTTTTTTATATAACTTTCAGCTAAAATGGCGTTCTGTTACACGGTCGATACTTTTCGTATTTCATGAACCAACTAGCTTCTATATTATTATATATCATATAATTTTAACCCAGTTTCCGTTCTCGCTCCAGGTATCACTTTATCCGTACAGCTGTAGGGAATTTTGCGAATTTCAAAATCCTTTATTAATATTCAACAGTTTCAACAGTGGATTAAGTAAATGTGATTCAAAAAATACAATTGCACCAAATCCAAATCCGTAAATTTTCACTTATCAGACGCAACAGCATAGTTTGGTTTGAAAAAATGTACCTTTGGAAAGTCACAATTATTTTTTTTAACAAATTTCAATTAATCGCATACTAAATTTAATTGGGCGATCGAAATATGATATTTTGGAACGACAAGGGCTCGAGCGATTTACATTTTGCAAATCAGGCTTAAGCTAAAATTTTATTTTGAAAACTATTGTACCAATTATTTGTACATGTCACTATTCATTATTCATAATAGCCGTTTAATGTTCTATTGTGAATGCAGCTTAAGCATTGTCTGCATAGCTCTACCGATGAAGTGGAGCACTCAGCATGGGAGAATGGAACTCGAATGCAATTCTCTATGGGATCAATGGGATCGAGCTTCTGATTTGCACCGCTATTCAGATTAGTGTGAATTTTGATTAAATCGACGATAACTGAGTAGAAATCAATAAACCAGGTGAAATTTGTCACCGTCGAAAAGATAACAATGATAATTAAGAAAAAGGTAAGAAAGTTCGTTTCGTTATCCATTACCGAATGAATAATTTTGGCACAGCCTCATTTTCGCGAATCATCATTTTTCCAAAAATTCATACTTCGGAATAATTAATTTTGGCGTAGCCTCATTTTCCCAAAAAATCCTGCATTAGCAACTTCACGCGGCAAAATTTGAAATTTCGAGATAACGGGAATATAATAATTTAAAAAATATATGTACACCAAATTTTGGCTTTTGAGAACTAACCAAAAATTTTTTTTCGTTTCGCATACGCCCATTTTGAATTTCCTCGTACACTTCACTGAAATTATTTGTAGCTCCTTTCAAAGGAAAGGAGTTAGGAATTTCTCATGGAAAATATCAGCCAATTTTATATACAATTTTATTTCAGATTCTTCGCGCTCGATTCTCATAATATTTCCTGCCTTGAAATTTATTTCTTTTGCAGTCGACCAGCACCTGGAGGCTACTGATAGTTTCAAAAAATTATTTCAAGAGAAAATCGATACTGCATATACCTGTAGGAGTTCGATTTTTCATAAAGGAAGAGCTCGAGAGGAATAAGTTAATATCACAGAACAGACGGCTACTGCATCAAAAATAAGCAGTAAAAAGAAAGGGTATCTTATACAGGCTTTTTCATTTTCTGTCGTAATAAATCAAAGAAGAGTCGAAAGGAAATACGTCCTTAAGAAATTTCAACTTCTCTTCCATTTCAAACGAAACGCTTGTGTAAGCTTACATATAAGTCACTATCAGCGCCCCTAGAAATTGTCAGAGCTACCAATGTAAAATTTCAATAATTTTTAAAATAATTTCCAAAATTATTAATCATACTTTCGTTCTTTACGTATTAAGTAATTCAACTGCTATTAAAAAATAATGTGTCCAGGTCGCCATAGTTAATTCTCAATATGTCTACGAGCTTCCAAAGTACTATTAATCGTTCTCAATTAATTTCATTCAATTTATTTTTACTCCTCGACATTTCCTCAGATTTTTGCGGTACTCGCCACCTTCTACTTTCTCTTCGTTCGTGCTTTCTCAATTAACCTCACGGAATTACCCATTTAATGAACTCCACCTTTCAGACGCTTTAGCAACCTCGCGAAACCTCGCACCTTTTCCAACCCTCGCTCTCTACCCTTATCATTGCCGCTTTAATATTCAGCTGGCGATTTTACCAGCACGCAAACCAAACAGGTTATTAACGTATATTGCGAGAGGTATCAGAATCAAAATACCCTTTTCATTTTCTTTTTCTTTTTTATCTCAAGCGTTACGTAACCTCAATTGCGTCATATAGTATTTCGTAGCTACGACCAGTGGGATCCGTGTAGGACTTTTGTTTATTACCGCAGTAATGACGATGTACAATTTTTAGAGATTTCACATAAAATCTGCGACTATCTATAATCTCCTCGCTATGTTAAATTCTGCAATCCACGTGGGTGCTCTGTGTTTACGGATCTGTAATTATGTGTATCCTGGATTTACTATATTTAGCAATCTGACAAAATCATATTGGCAAAATTAACTTTGGCACCCCTCGTAGACAAGCTTTATATTGTTATTAAATTTTCAAAGAATACAATCTTTGTGTATTTATCTTATCATAATAATTACTCTATAGCAAAACTTTAGATTGGCATTGAATCTAATAAGGGAGTTTGACTGTTTTTCATATTTCATTTTGTAACAATATATATTAATATATATATATTGAAAACTTCAAGATCTCTGGTTTTGCTTTTATGAACACAGATCAAAGTACCAAAATGACAAAATCAATCTTTTGTAATTTTCAACTGTCAAGCATGACCATCACTATGAGATGTAATAGAAAATTTGTAAAATTTTTCATTTTTTATTTATTTTATACTTTTCCAGGATACACAAACACCTTCAATTTACTTGATGTCGCTCATATCCCATGTCAAAGGGTATCGAGTTCTTGTTCAACCTCAAAAGAGAAAATTTAGCGGGAACGACTTGAAGTTCAAGTATAAAATGGATGATTGAAAACACTCTAAAGAGCCTCCAAGCAAGGTTACCCCTTCCCACTCCTCTAACAATAATAATGGGGAGTCGATTTGAAAAATAATGGGAGAAAAAGGAGAAAAAAAAACAGGGAATAAGTTAAAAAAGTTTCATGCTACGAGGAATCAGAATCGAGATATAATGAGGCTGCTCCTTTTTATCCCCATCAAGAAGAAGGTACGTTCTCATTTAATATGATAAAACCTGGCTGGTGATTTAATGTTGTATTTTGTGTTACAGAAATCGCACCGTAATGAATAATGATTCTTCTTCTTGTTCTTTCTCAAAATAATCATGACCATCCAGCGATTAAGATACCTTGATAAGAGGATGATGTAAACGGAATGACGACGGGAAAGTTGGATAAAAATTCTACAACAAATCCCCTAGCAGTTTGCAATTCGTAACATCAATTTGATATTTGCACAAGCATGACTCATCGCCGATCACTCATCATACGCGAATTCCATCATTATATAGGTATTGCAATTTCATTTTACTTACTCAAAAAAGACGAGAGATCTCCCCTGGGACAAATTCTCTCCTGGACCGTCCCCGGACTTTCACAGAAAAGCAACGATAACAACCCTCTCTCCTCGGTACTCAAAGCACTCTCGCTCCCTTATACCAACCGTTGTAAACGGATCTACAATAATTTTCCGGCTTTCCTTCCAACCCCCGATACAAATTTTGTAAAATCCGCGAGGATCACCCTTAAAACAAAAAATTAGCAAAACTTTTCCAGAACAGATATTGCCGATCACTGCTAAAGTAACAGTTTTAGATTTAAAAAATTAAAAATGTACTATTCAACAGTCGCAATTCGCGAGACAAATCCCAGCCAGCTGAATTTCACGTTTTGGTTATCCCTTATGACTTTTTTATACTTTCTCTCAGCCTCTTCTTTTTTTACTTTCCTACCCACGATCTTTCCTACGCTGATTCTTTACACGCAAACTGGCGGATGCGTGTATCGAATAAATAACGAAGGGCTCCTCGACTCGCGGTTTTTGTTCCAGAGAAATCTGGGGGTTCTTTACTGTTCAGTGTACTACCGGCGTATGACGTTCTCCCAGCGGTGCGAGAGAGCTTTTATAGCCGCCTGGTAACACTGGCTGCCTCACTATCCTCACGGCGACTCCTACCCTGCTGCCGAATCACCACGATAACCACCCCGGCACTGGGCACCCTTTAGGAGCACCCTCACCCTCCTACGCCAAGCACCTGTTAACCGGATGATAGCTCAAACAAAACGTTTCAACAAAATTATAAGGCTGGCACTAGTGCACTTCATAGCTTCATGCCTTCGCGCCAACAATGGAATCTTATTAAGGGATAATGTGAATATTGTTCAAATTTAATTATTCAGCGAAACTTTTCGGTTTTATTATACTTCAGAAATTCTCAAGCATCGTTAAACACTTTGCTTTTGTTTATTAATGACAGTCTCTGATGACACTGAAGCTTTTTGTCACAATAATATATCTTGTACTTCTAAGCTCACGTGTGAGCTATGTGCAGGTCGTTTCATTAGAGTCAAAGTTCATTCATTACGTTAGAACTAGCTGTCGTACCATGGCTGCCATATATATATTCATGTATACACTACATGTGTATAAGAAATTAACAAGGTTTTGTCATTCATACCATACGTGAGTTATATGTATATACTAGATGTCTTGTACTACCTTCTTATTTAGAGTCTGTCCTGTTCTTAAGGCTCAAAGGGAAATACGTTGTGAGACGTCGACCTAGTTTGAACCTTCTAGGTGACCGCAACATAGTGGCCGAACGCAGGAGCTTTTGATTTAATGACTTCAGACCACTCAGATAGATGTATGCTCAGCCTCTATCTGGATCAATTTAACGGATCCTATCCTGGTGCATAGTTACCATTGGAGTAACACTGCCATATGTATTCTCCTCTAATTGTAATAATAGCTGGCAATAGAATTCCTATAAAATTCATTTATCAGGTATACCTGTCAGCAGTGTGTGTTATTTTATTATTTCCAAGATTGTTAAGGTTCCACAGGATAATATATATTTTTAGGTATTTTTCTATGAGTAGAACCAGAACAGATTGTATCATTGCCACCACCCATTCACATCGGTTCTGATCGATTAACTCAGTGGAGGGATTAGGAAGTTTCATCATAAAGAAATTTCCCTTTTTTTTTCTTCCTCCAAGGAAAACCGAAAAGGGTTAAGTTTGATCCATTACGATTCTTCGTCGGCACCCACCAAGTTCAGTCTTCTTTTATTCAGATAATCAATCTACTTGCATTAGATTTTATCTCTGTATTGGTTTTAACCCTTTTTTTTTGTTTAAGGTAAGTTCATATTCGATCACGACCTATTGTTAGCTTCGTGGATTCCTTGCGAAACTTTAGAATTTCTCGTTTGCTCAGTTCTCATCTCAATAAAGAACTTTCAGTTTGATATCTTCCTAGGTATTGGCTACCGCAAAAGAGATTGGTCTGGAAAATAAGCAAGAGAACAGAGACGTTAAACTTTAACGCATTGCTCACTCGACGCCGTTGGCTCCTCTTGCATTAGAAAAATCATAAAAGGTAATTACGTTATTCACTGACACTGCGTCTCTTAGCATCTGCACAGCCTCCATTAGTGTACCAGATACCATGCTTGGTCGAGATGATTGTCTTTTGGATTCATATATGTCAAGTGGCACGCGACAGCAGAACCATATCTCCTACAGAAAATTCCTAACAATAAAATTACTAAATCAAACAGTCATGTTGTACAGCTGCGTATTCTACTACACACATAGCTAAGATAGTCGCATATATGATAGTCACATGTGAGTATGCATACAATGATTATACAGAATCTGGTAGTAGGAAGTTTGCATCGTAAAGGTAACATCGCGTTGGGCCAGTCAGGTTAGGTTATCCAGACTGTAAAGCATTTATGGTCGTGAGAAGAATTCTAGAAGAAATTTTACATACGTAATTTTCCACTGGGACCTAAATTTTGTTAAGTAAAATCAGAGACTGAAGTTTTCCCTTGTTCCTGTGTAACATTGAGAAATAACGATAATCCAGCTCACTTCTATTAATAATGACAACGTACATTTCTGCGACAGTTACGATATACTGACGTACGCAGCTCGGGTACCTGGCCGACTCCATGCTTTATGAAAATCAAATATGAAAACAATTAGGACCGTAATCGTCATTTCAAACAAGCTAAACGCGGATGACTAATGGAGTCTAAGTAAGTTCCGAGAAACAAGAGCTCTAGGCAACGTGGCTCTTGGATAAAGTTGGATTAATATTTTCTTTTTTCGAAATGTATTTGCCAAGCCTAACCTCACTGGTGATTTTGGTAAAATACTCTCTCGTTAGCCTCGCGTCATGATTCTGAATCCGAATTGTAATTTGATTGCTATGTCGCTGCTGATTCTTTTTGAAATTTGAATTTTTAGATTTCTTTCAACAATACGATATTCAACCAGGTGGACGCGTGTACGGAGTCCTTGGATTTTGTAGGATGTTTCGCACTGGTATTTATTAACATAAATACTTATACAGAGTTTTACGTAGAGAGTTGGTAATCTAGCATTTGCATAACACAGAAACGTACTGGCAGTGGGACAGCCATTTTTCTTGTAGCTAAGTGATGAAATAAGTTGGCACAACTTTTTCTTAGTGTTTTACATTTTGAGTGGGTGAGTCGTTATGCGTTATATCTTCTGTTTTATTCCTTCTCATTGTTACAGCCTCCTTTTATTTCCTGTGGGACTTTGCATCCGTTTCTTCGTCCCGTTCTTCATGCTGCGAATGCATATGATCCCTCTGTAACTTCCGGTATGAAAAATATTTTTTTATAGGGTCAGATTGAACGGATTGAACCGAGGATAATTCGTAACATGGTTGATTATTAATTTTCGAAAGCTCTTTCGAGCTTGAAATTGATATTATGAAATTCCTACGTGGAATTGGTCAGCTTGCAATGTGCACTCTCGTATGTATATATGCAGATTAATTGGCACGGATAGCTGGACGTTTTAATGAATTATCTTTTTATTTTCTTTTTTAATGTATATGCTAGATACAATATAGTAATCAGATTGCAATAGACCCACGTGTCGTTTTTACTATCATTACATTTTTTCAATGTTTTGCTACGTTATACGAATCCTATTGTACGATAGTGAATGGGAAATCGGTGATTTAGTCATTCGACTGACGTCGATTCGCACGTGCGTGTATGCTTTGTACATATAGAAACTTTGAGTTTACGTAGTTTGGCAGATAACAGGTTTTACAGCTTTATCCAATGTGACTCTAAACTTTATTAATAGTCTAAAGGTTGTTCATTGTAAATAGAAACTTGCGTTTGTCGTTACAATTAATAATTGTAGAATTATTCTTGTTTTAGGTCTAAAAACATTTTGGATACTCTTTTGAGAGATTTATGCAAGATTTTCAAAGTCACGTGTTGATTAAACAATGGATATTAATCCCTAAAACCCATTGTTTGATAACGTGATACTTTTGGCAGTTTTTCTGGTGCCAATAAACACGTTTTCTTTGGCTGACACAATTCCCAGTACAATTCCAAGACTATTGCAATTACAGTCAACAAAGTTGGTACCACTTCCTGGAGACACCGTGATCCCTGCTTCTATTGACAGAGCCTGGGATCTCAAGTAAATTCTTCTCCTGGCAATCCCTTAAGTGTGGAACTTGAAAAATGACAAATAGCCATAAGAAGCCTGTACTGGATAAATTACAAGAGGAATTAGTAAGCTTTGACAAATCTGTAGAATCTAACAGATACCAAAATCTGAATTTAAAGTTGACAAAGATATTTTTATTGAATGCAAAAGATGTATTATGAATTTTTATTTTTATCTGTTACATCATTAATTTAAATTCTCATATTACTTTTTATCTTCTCAGGTACTCCCAATTATGATCAGTCTCCTTGCAGAGGAAGTACTTACTCTAGATGAACGTTTCACCCTGTGTAACTGAACTGGACTTGTAACCCATGATCAAGGTTCAGGTTTGTTTGTAGAACTACCCCTAGAATATAGGGTCAATATTGATTTCCAGTTGAGGAGAGAAAAGTACCTAGGGGTGAGTCTTAGCAAAGTGAAGAAAGTATTCCTTTTCTTGATTTCCTCTCTCTCACTATTCTTGACTCTAGTATTTTTTGTTGATAATGCAGATAAAGTCAAAGATAGCCAAGAGTAGAAGGCATTTGAAGGAAACACGAGCGCCAGGAGAACCAGTACTCTCTTTAATCTCATAATCTGGAAAAAGGGTCAGGGAATACAGGTCGACTCAACAAGGTATCAATATAGAAACATATATTTTCCCTCACTTGAAATTCTCCCGATCCAATCTTCCCAGTGCTTGACATCTTGATCCTGTATAAATTCAAAATTTACCACGTCAAAAAGCTCTTGAGCTCCTCATAATCCTAACTCTTCGCCCTAACCGCAAGGTTTTCTTGGGCTCGTACCCTTACACCGTGTAAACGTTCTACCAATTTTGGAGGTTTGAGAAAAAAAGGCAATTGAGCATTATGAAAAATTGTACTTTTTAATAAATTCGACATTTTAACTGTTTAATTCCCACCGCTCAACGACTAATCCAATGCGAAAGTTGCTATAAAATTTTATTTAAACAATCGCATTACCTTTATCGCATCCAATTGTCGAAGCTTTAATCCTTTTTAAACTGCATGAGGTTAATTCCCGTTTTTTATGCGTAGCGAATATTTTTCATCCACAGGAATGGTGGATAGTCATTTATATGGAAATATTCCTGGGATATAGAAGGCGTCTATGACACCATACGTGATGGAATTGACGTACGCACCTATCCATCCATACATGGGTTACCTAGAAACGTATGTACCTAGATATTCAGATCAGTAAACGAGTCAACGACCATGATACATGAGTACTAACGATACTTAGACATGTAAATCATAAATTTATAGAAAATAAGCCCAAAAAAATATTCTCTCGAATCAATCAAGCATTATTTTGCTTCTCATCGACAGTATATAAAAAAGTGTAATTTTTTCTCATTCAACTTTTTTTTACAGATCCAATACGTCACTCAGGCTCAATAATACAATTAGGTCGATCCTAGTAAAATTTCATTAAATCAATCAGAAATTCAAACTCGTCCCTAACTCAGTTGCCAATGATGAAATTTTCATGCTGTCCAATATATCTTCGGCTTTGTAAAGGTTAATGCATCTCTTTTGTATGTTAAAGTATATTATATGGTTCTATTAGTGTCCTAGTATCAGGACTGGATAAGCTCCATGTCCAATAGAAGCTTACAGAGACATTTGTATACCTATCCTACCGTTAATGGCAGGACTTAGATTAGTAACGAGCGCGTTTCCCGGTTAGTAAACAGCAAACACGTCTAGTGTTGTCCTGGAGGTCGTCATCGTCGTAATCATCCTGAGGAAATTATGGTCTTACTAATTTCTATGGTCCTTGTACCTATGCCTAAATGCGTATGTGCATTATAGTACATAGTTGATGTTCCTGTTTTATATGTATGATATTCCTTATGTGTTATATGCGTCAGAACTGTATCGAGAGCGTGGGTGTGCTGTAACGACACGGTATAAACCAAATGTACAATTTAGAGGTTAGTTTGTTACGAGAAGGTGAATTCGACTGTCAGGAAAGCCTGTAGGTTTGGGATGAGCTTTAGAAATTTTCCTCTTACATAACGATGGCTCCTTAGGATAAATTTTGAAGCGATGGTTAGTCGGTGACGCAAGGGTCCAAAAGTGGTCCTGAGAAGTTTTAAATCCCTGCGTGGATCCTTAAGTCTTTTACCTAAAGGTTTCTTTTAAAGTCGGTGACGGGCTGTGAATCTGTAATGACGATATTTTAAATTCGAATACGTAACGAGTTACAAGATGGCTGTTCTTTGTGTGCAGACTATTTGTGTTGCCGTTAACAACATCTTAGTATAGATTTTAATACAATCTGGATATCCGGGATGTTTCGTATTAGACGTGGGATAAACGTTGAGACAATTTTTGTTTAGATGAAAGTTTTTCAATGGACGTTTTCGAAAAGTGCAAACGAAACCTAAAAAGTCTGTACGCCATTACTGAATTTCTGGAAAGAGACACACAGGTATAAGGCGAATACCGACGGCGGGTTTAATATTCATGAGTATTAAAATACTTTTCCAACAGTATTCATGGAAACTGGAGATACGAGATTGGATAACTCCAGCTTTATATTATTTCTTCTTTTTCAGCATCTTCTGTTCTTCTTGCACGTGTCACACTGTCTGCCATGTTTTTTTTTTGCTATTAGGTATTGTTGCCTACGTAGTTACTGCTTTGACTCGTGTTAAGTAATTAAATATCTGCAAATCAAAAATTTTCTTTTCGCCTTTCTTGCCCTATTTAATCTTCTTTATTTTCTCTTACTTCCAACTTTCCTTGATGTAATTTCCTTCATCTGCTTCATTTCGCCACGAGCTGCCATATCTCATCGCGCAATTATATCTATGCGGAATAATTGGTTGCCTTTTTAATTTACTAATTACAAGGCGGAGGGCTCTGTCTTTTCTTCGGTCCTTCTCTACCGACCGCCACTAACCCCATCCTGGTGCTTTTATTTCCGCCAGGAAGAGAAATGAATGGCATTCCTAGTAATCCAAAGTTTTCTTTGACTGGCCTAATCAATTCACCAGTTATTACTTTATTCATGACGAATTCTAACCTGTAAATAATATTAACACACTATATTCATTATTATGGGTTTTCTCCCAATGCATTTAATTTTTATGAATATAGGTCATAGAATTTAGAAGGAAACAACCTTGAATTGCATCATTCAGAATAGACAGGTCGAGGAATGTTTTTATATTTCCAGACAACTTTTAAAGTCGTTGAATAATCTGTATACGTAAGAGATCCCCACGTCTTCATCGACGCGTAGAATTGTTGAACGTCGCTATGAAATTGCAACTTTCCAAGTCATGTCGTCATCTTTATGACTTATTTTTAGTCGCGTCACTTTGTTATTTCATCTGACGTATAATAGGTGGATATTTTTAGAATCATTATGTCAGTTGTGTACTTTCCACGTCGTTGATTCACGCGCTCATATTCGCCTTTGATTTTTTTTTATTTCAGATGAAATTAAAAGGAATGTCAGGAGGATTACGGATATTGAATATTTTCGGAATACTTTTCGGTTGAATTCCCTTCAAGAGGGGCTTTTAATTTGACTTTATGGTATGTTCAACATATATACTGCTTTCTTGGAAATTAAAACGTATTACAGTAGTAGTCAGTCTCACATCTTGGCGGTAGAATGTTCATTTGAATTTCGTACGTTGCGTGTTACGCTCGAACGATAAAAAGGAAATCTATTTTATCATATGAACCAAGGTTCGGCTGATAACGTAGAGATCAAACTATCTTATATTCATATAACCTGTGGTGGAGGCAGTAACGTTGATTTTCTGTCATGGCACAGTCAGACGGATTGCAAGATAGTCCTGTCGACAGGCAGAATTTATCAGAATTAGAGGAAAAGCAACGGATTATTGACAGAGCTCCGTTTCGTAAGCTTAAGATAGACGATGCCAGTATTCTCGATAGCATCGAAGGTCGTGAAATCTGTGGAACATGTTACAAATCACGAAAGTTCTTTTGTTACACTTGTTACACGCCGGTTATCGACCGCAATTATATTCCTCGAGTAAAGGTGCGATCTTTGGTTAACGTTAATAAGTAAGCCGAACGTATATTGTTTCTATTTAATTAATATAAAATCTTTCGATATCGTACAGTGGATACTTTTTACAATAATCATTGGATATGTAAAGTTACTAGAGCAGACTACCTAAGTAATTCTGATATGAACACATAGATGGCATTGATGTAGCTGATGTTATTAATTACATTTTTTAAATTTTAGTTACCTATCAAAATTGACATAATCAAACATGCCAGGGAAATAGATGGCAAAAGTACAGCCATTCATGCGGCAGTTCTTGCACCTGATGACGTTAGAATTTATACTTACCCAGAATTTCCTGCAATATCTAAAAATGACAAAGTACGTATATTCTCGGTATAACTTATCGAATTTGGTTTCTTGTCATTCAATATATAAATAACAGAGGACTTGGTTTATGCAGGTTGTTTTAATCTTTCCAAGTAAAACGGCAACGTCGGTGGAAGCTCTGTTCGCGAAAGAAGTTATAAATGGAGATGAAGTTTCATTCAAAAGAATAAGCAATGAATTACCTGTGGACAGAGCCATTTTTATTGATAGTACCTGGCATCAGACTAAGGCAATCTATAAGGATACAAGATTGCGGGGTATAAGAAACGTTGTACAAATATTTTTATAAATTTTTCAATAACTAGTGTTATAGGACTGTACTTTTTTTTAGATTTACCATGCGTAGTGCTTAGATCACGTATTTCTCAGTTTTGGAGACACCAAAAGAAAAGTCCACGATGGTACTTGGCTACCGTCGAGGCGATTCATCAGTTCTTAGTTGAATTACACACGAGTGCTTATGGTGCAAGTGAGGATTACACGGTAACCGAGAAAACTGCCATTGATTATTCATCGAACTCTACGAACGGCGTTCATTCTGTTTATTGCGGTCAATATGATAATCTGTTATATTTTTTTAAGTATATGTACGAAAAAATACATACGATATACGACCATGAAAAATTGTGGGCGTACAAGAGACCCTTAATATAATGTTGTATTAGGCGTAAAATATTTTTATTTTCTAATTTGCCGTACCTGATGCGTGATTTTTTGAAGTATGTAAATATTAACTGTGTTGGGATGAATATAAGGTATATTTTGATATTTAAAGTCTTATTTCATTTCGTTAGGTTTACTGCTTGAAGCACGATATCTTTTATTTTGTTTGCGGAGATTAATTTTCAGTGGCAGTCATTAAATTTTGACTTCCTGTGACGTCAGTGGTTCCTGAACTGTTTGAACGAAGCGGTCGGTAATTCCTGTTTGCTTTGCAGGAGAGTTGACGTCCATATTTACATTGATAATTGCTTCTAACCTGAAAAATAATATTCTTTTGCTGTATAAAGTGTATTTGGAAAATTAACATTCGTCACTTTTAAGGATAAGTTAAAGGTAAATAATTGTATCATGAAAATAAGTGAAAACTTTATAAAATTTTATCAACTTAATAGATTTTCTGTGTTGCACGTGTGCTACACAGTGGACACTATGCCGCACGTGGGATTTTGAAGAAAAGTATATGTATTAGTATTTCTTATGTTCACAGAACATTTTAAAAATGCAGGACCCAAGTGACGATTATTCTAGAAGGTTGTACGTTCGTGTACCGTTTACTATAAAAAATGATAATCAAATAAAAGAACTCTTTTTGGGAGATGTAAAAGTCAAGCTTCCTAGACAGTCTGCTAGATTTTGCCATGTTGTATTTCCTGATATCGACCAGACAATAAAGAATTTGAAAATGATTAAAAAGAAGACACTGAATGGGAAACATATAATTGCTTATATCCCCAAACCGAGGCCTGTCGATGAGAGAAAAGAAAGGAACAAGAAGCGTAGGAAGGTTACTGTTCCTGTACCAAAACCTGAACCTAAAGCTACTCGATCGTAAGTATTTAGTAAGAGTATATATAACCAACAAATTGTAAATAATAAAGTGTCCAATTCTTAATTAACAGATTGTTCATCTCGAATATAAAACCCGGCACAAAGATGCATGAGATCAAGGAAGCATTCACTGGTTGCTTAGCAGTTAAATTTCTAAAAATGAATGCATCAAAGTTAATGTAAGAACATAAAAGCACTTATTATGATTAATAAAATAATTTTTAAAAATAATACCTAATTTTATCTTCAGGAGTGCCATCATTAAAATGGAGGACTTTCAAGTAGCCGCACAATATATAAAGAAGGAACGTGAATGGCCAATTGTGAATGGCAATAAATTATATGTACATGCTGATACAAGAAAGCGTAAAAAGTCTAATATAAAACAAGATAAGCCCTTCAAGATATACAATAGCAAACCTGAGAGTCCAATGAAAAACAATTTGAATGAAAGCACAACCGATGAAACCGAGGAAGAAGAAAATAGTGGGACTGAGTCAGAATCAAGTTTGGAAGAATGACATTAGACCTATTTAGACAATTAGATTATCTTAAAAATAATTTTATATTTATAAATTGTGCATAGAATTACTGGCTATTGTGTATACAATTTCATATTTAAAATAAATAATTCATTTATCTTTTTTTACATAAATCACTTGATTCTATGGGTGTTCATTCCGCACGACTTTCCGAATGAAGTGACACAAAAAATAGAAAATCTCAATAACCGAGATGAAGCTGCATCCTAGAAACAGACTAAACACTCCGCCCAAAGATGCTGCAAGTAAAGAAGCCTCGAATAAGTATGACTAATCGCACCAGTATTGTTACAAATTATATTATCAAAAAAGACAACATACAAAGAAGATTAATCCACGAGAGTACCAATTCCCGACGTTGTAACGTTGCACTCTGTTTACCAAATGTAATATGTAATATAGTAACAGTCGGATCATCCATAGTTTTTCTACTGCAATCAAAAGTATACAGTGTTTATTTTTCTAATTTTTAAAAGCAGTGAACAAAATTAAACTTACTAAAGTTCACTCGGCTGATACTGTACAGCATTCAATGGCAATGCTGTTACGCCTATATTATACATAGTGTCCTCACAATTAGGTAAACACTGACAATCCGTCATTTTAAGAGCATAAGTGTCTGGCAAACTTCTCGCCAAACACGCGGTATGTGTGAAATTGCAAATAGAATCATTTTTCTGTATTATAGATGCAAAAAATGGCAGACATCCGCAAACCTGCTGCAGCCTCCTTTCTCGACACTGGACATAACAATTATTTGATCTGTACGTCTCCAAACTGCGAAGGTCGCAATTTCTCTCCGCCGTCGATATCCTAAGGACTTCCTTACTGCTGCTCAATTGATCTACATATAAATGTGCTACAGTCTCGTATCCAGCAGCCGCAACAAATTCCACGGCTGATGGACCAGGATATGAAAATCTCTCATGGACTAAAATCCGAATGCCTTCACCGACTAAAGTGGAAGCCACATGATCATTCGTATAGGATCTCATTACCACCGACAGTATAGATCCTGGTCCTAAGTTCAAAGCCTTGTACTCTTTTGTCTCTTCTCTGTAAGGAATCACTCCAGCATAATTAGATTCATAAATTTGCAAGGATGCGTGCCGTAGGATGATATTGCAGAATGATGGTAAAATTATACAGTGCAAACTCCAATGTTGAAAGAAACAAGAAAAACTGCTACATACAATCATAAAATGGACAACACAGTTGTCCAACTTGATTTTTATTCAGCGCAAAACTTTCTGATGGTAATCATTATTTAAATTAATCATCATAAAGTCTCTGTGGTCAAGGCAGATATCTTTTGGTTGATACAACGCTTATGCTTTGTACACCAGTCGCCATTTGAACGTAGTGCAGTGCAGTTCTAGGTTCTTTTAAACTTTCTTTGTCATCTCTCGTGCCAATAACCTGTTTCTTCATTATTGACTTTCCGTTACCTTTTTATTCCTTTAGCCATTTTAATCGGTGGTTCGTACGCGTAATTGAAGGAACAACAAATTCCATAATACGTTAAAGTCATCTTAATCAGTGTTTCGCAAGGTGTTATTTTGTTCTCAAATCTACATGTCAACATATAGTCACTGCAATTTGGACTGACTTTTTCAAAAAGTTGACGCACCGTCATCACGTTCGCTGCCAGAACTGACTGCAGCTTTCCTGTTTCCTCTCCGAATCGATGCGAAGGATATAAGGCTTCTCGGATATATTCTACAGAATTTATAAAAGTTGACTCATTCATCCCATAAGGGAAATATCTATAAAGAAATTCCCGAGTCGTGTATTATTTTTCTAAACATTGATACGTTTTAAGAGATAATTTTAATTCAACTTACAAAGGACTCTCCGGATCATTTATAAGAGATTTTACTTTTTCCATTGTTACCAATCTCCCGTGGCAAAACGTCACTGCCGGCAATGGTAGTTTCCACAAAGGATATTGATCATTCGCTATCAAAGTTTTTATACTGGCAGTTTGATGTCTTTCGTAAAACTTACTGGCCAATATACCAGCACATACTATCGAGACAATTACAACCAGTAGCCAAAGAACTCTAAAATTTGAAAAATTTATTTTAAAAAATCCCGCGCTACCGATCAGACCTATTTTTAAATGTTTAAACCGACAGAAGCCTACCTTTCCAAAATGGAGTTTCTTTGAGTAGTATACTTGATACCGTGCACAGTAGATTCTGCCGAATACTCATGATATGTTTGTACGAGCGCAGACCACAAACTTTTTTTTTCCAACGGTCGATTTACACTTTCTTCTAAATCTCTTCGGCGCATAATTACTACAAAGCGAAGACTTGTACTCCTTTCCCTTTCTACTTTGTACTGTTGTCCCTTGAAATGCTCCAAGGGAATCGATAGAACTACGATATCGTTACAACCAGGACAATTTACATTATCGTTATCAGCTCTAAGCATCGTTCTATAGCCACGGCCGTTCGAAACGTACATAAATTATAAATATAGACATGCGCGAGATTTCCGCACGGCCCATCCTTACTGCGATATATTAAAAATAATAATAAAACGTAATAGTGCGTAAAGGACGTGGCAATGTCATTAACATATATAAGCACATACTTACGAAACAAAAATTGATCGAATAAACAGTTATATTTTAAAGCCAAGATGGAAATTACAAGAGTGACTTATGTTTGACACATGTTTGTTTCAGCAAAGCCATAAGAGCATGCTCTACGTATTTCCTTTAACGAAAGCAAAATAATAAATATAAATCAGCTTTTATTACAATGTTCAGATAAAACGTGAAAATTGAAACTATCGTACGATTTGGAAACATTAAGATTACGTAAACCGCGAGTAGTACCCGTGCGTGATTAATAGCGACGCCCACATGTTTGAAGCGACGGGAAAGTTAGTTGCTTCATTGTCCGCCAGGTGGCTGCTGTGAGCACGTCAGCTTCTACATATACGTACGACATTGGTATGACATATGCAATTTACAGGCAGAGTCGCCGTGACAGAAACTATGGTTAAGCGTAAGAGAATAACCAAAAAGTGATTTGTTAATTTAAACTGTTTTCGCAGAGCTTTGCATAACTTGTGTGTCCTACTTTTTTTTAAGTACATAAATTATTTGTTACTCCGTGGGCATGCTATGATTTCGCGCCTCTTGGCTACCGTTTCGCATTGATTACGCGCGCGCTATTCATTCGCTCCGGAAAATGTGCACGGGCGTGATCGAGCCGGGTTCCCTGGCAAAGGTCGTTTCATTCGAAACTAACCTAACAAGCTCATCGTGCGGTACCAAGTGCAAAGATTGAAGATAAACAGAGATGATCACTAGTAACGATACAAGAGATCACTGTGATATGTTGAGTTGCGGATGAGAAGGTGCATCGGTAGACGGGAGCCATTGAATTGCGACTTCCTTCTTTTTTTTGTATTACATTTTTTTCTTTTTTTATTATACGTTCGTTGCTCCGTTTCCTTATCAGTGTTGTGTATTTGTTATTGGTTTTGTCGGATTGTCACCGATTATTACTCACTGATAGATCTTTGGATAGTATTCTGTATAAGGATGTATTTTGTTCTTTGATTTTTAATGGGATTTTGTGTGGTGCTCTTCAGGATGGAAATGTCATAAAGTTTGATTAGATTGATGTGTCAATTTTTAATTTTCAATGATTTCTGGTTTTTTATTAAGTGATTCTTCTCATATTTTATTTTAAAGCTCTGTCCATCGTTCTATTTAAGGCCACTGCCAAGGTTGAGAATGTGAATTTGATACGTGATTAACTTTGTGACTACGTTGAGATAATGGTCATTAAATACTCATCAATCATTAATTGTAATAGTAAATCTTGTGAGAGATGATAAGATTTGAATTTTATTGGCAGCTAATGTCTAGTTTCGTAATCAGATCTTGTGCTGCAATATATAATATGTAGGATTGTAATATTTGCACAATTGTATACATATAGTTGAATTTTTTAATGTTTATTGGTTGGACTTCTGCCATTTAAATACCTCTGATGTATTGTGGCATTGTAAGGTACAGTTTTTAATACTGTTGCTTGCAGAACTTTGGGTAATTTACATACATTATAGATGAGTGCATGTCATCACATAAAACGCTGCAGGTTATGCTTAAAACTTTCTGAAGGTCACATAAATTAAAATTAGAAATCATTGGTGTCATTATACTTTATTCACATTCAAGAGTTCAATATGACTACCGATAAGCAATAATACTTGGCAAGTGCTGCATATCCGATAGATGTTTCAAGATTTTATTTTGTAATAAACTGACAGTGATAATTTTGATCTATCCATAACTGTCTTTCCTTTTACAGTGATATTTTTTCAATGGCACCCCTTTTATTGTAAAATAATACTGTCGTGAACAGTGTTAATTGGTGCGTGTTATTACAATGCGCCTTCGACAGAGAAGAAAAACTTTTACCTCAAGAGACAATGTTTAATACCTGTGAGCATCCTTATTTAAGCTGAGTGTGTTAACAATGCAAGCCAAGAAACGCTATTTACTGCTCTTTGTAACGTGCGCGTTTCTTGGCTACTGCTACTTTGGTGGATATCGGTTAAAAAGTGAAAAGTGGACAGGCAGAACGCAGCTGCCATACGAGCGTCTACCATCATACTTAAGTCTCAATGAAGAGTTCTACGATAAGGATCTCAGGACATCCAATGGCAATATCCACGTATCCCAACATACAAGACAATGTCGTATGGAGAGTTGCTTTGATTTTACCAAGTGTAAACAGGGCTTTACTGTTTACGTCTACCCAGTAGAAGATGTCATAAGTCCACTTTACCAAAAAATTCTCAATGTAATTACTGAATCCAGATACTACACAACAGATCCAGCAAAGGCATGTTTATTTGTACTAGCCCTAGATACCTTGGATAGGGATCCGCTCTCTACAGAATTTGTACACAATCTACCTTCAAAGCTATTACGACTTCCTTACTGGAATAATGGTCGTAACCACCTTGTCTTCAATCTTTATTCTGGTACGTGGCCCGACTATGCCGAGGAGTCATTGGCCTTTGACCTGGGCTACGCAATCCTGGCGAAAGCCAGTATGTCCATCTTTAGACTACGGCCAAACTTTGACGTCTCCATACCTCTCTTTGGCAAGCAGCATCCTGAGCGTGGTGGTGAACCCGGTCAGGCACCAGAAAATAATTTTCCTAGCAATAAAAAATACGTAGCAGCATTTAAAGGGAAGAGATACGTACATGGTATAGGATCTGAAACCAGGAACGCCTTGTATCATCTTCACAATGCCAAGGATCTCGTTTTCGTGACAACTTGCCGTCACGGCAAGGCTTGGCGAGAGCTACAGGATGAGCACTGTCAGCAGGATAACCAGGAATATGATACGTAAGTTCAAAGAAATTATAAGCGAAAATTTAGGGCTTAAAATACACAATTGAAAGATCAGTCAGGATCCATGATGTACGAGTCATTACTTTCTTCCAGGTATGACTATGAGATTTTACTAATGAACGCTACGTTCTGCCTTGTACCTCGTGGCAGAAGACTGGGCAGCTTTCGGTTCCTGGAGGCTCTTAGAGCTGGCTGTATACCAGTCATTTTGAGCAATGGCTGGGCACTGCCGTTTCATGAGCGCATCGATTGGAATCAGGCTGTTATATTTTCTGATGAAAGACTATTGCTCCAGGTTAGTTTTTAGTAAATTCTTTCGTCACCCTAGTTCATTTAAATGGAACAACTGTGATATCGATTTATCGGAATAGATTCCAGACATAGTGAGATCTGTTTCCAACACGCAAATACTAAAGTTACGGCAGCAAACCCAATTCCTATGGGACCGATATTTCTCCTCTATCGAAAAAATAATATTCACTGTGTTCGAGGTGAGTTTTTTTAATCCTTCCACCATGTATGAGCCTAGAGAAACCTGGAGTAGAAGTCATCCAAATGATATTCTATCTAAATCTAGACAATTAGAGAACGACTGCCCTGGGAGGGTACACGGGAAGGGATAATCTGGAACACGAGTCCTGGTGCTCTGGCAATCCTACCCCAATTCGCAGACAGCCAACAGGAGTTACCTTTCTCGAACAGCAACCCTGGTAATACTTTCACTGCCATCATCTACTCCCAACTGGGTTCAACCGCCGTACTTTATCGACTACTAAGAAGCGTCGCCAAGAGTAAATATTTAGATAAGGTAAGAGACACGATCATTGATTTCTGCTGGTCAAAGGTGTATCTCAAGGAAGCTCGTTAATAGTAACGATAGAGATAAACGAATGTAAAGAAGAAAATTAAGTAAATTAACCAATTCTGAAAATCAACCACAGATAATCCTAATGTGGAACTCGGACATTCCTCTGCCAAGGAGGCCGCGCTGGCAAGGAATAAAGGCATCCATACACGTCATCCCTGCGGATGGAATTTCACATCGTTTCTATCCTCATCCGCTAATCAGAACCAGTGCCATATTATCTTTAGACGAAGACGCCACACTGAACACCGACGAGATTGATTTTGCCTTCACCGTCTGGTCCTCGTTCCCGGAGAGGATCGTCGGCTACCCGGCGCGGTCCCACTACTGGGATGACTCCAAGGTAAAAATTACTCACCTTACCAGAATCAATCCTTCTCTCATCGTCCTAGTCTCCATCACGGATTCATAAAATTTCAGCGCTCCTGGGGTTATACCAGTAAGTGGACTAACGACTACAGCATCGTCCTTACCGGGGCCGCCTTTTATCATCGTTACTACAATACTCTCTACACCGAACTCCTAAGCTCGACGCTCCACAAGACCGTGGAGCAGTCACAGAACTGCGAGGATATTCTTATGAATTTTTTAGTCAGCCACGTCACACGTCGACCGCCCATCAAGGTTACCCAGCGCAAGCTTTATAAGGACACGTCTCTAGCCGGGATTAGGTAATTGTAACAAAATTCTTATACTTTTTGCTTTCCTTCTTCTACTCGTTATCCTTTTCGGAGGATACAGGAAATACCGTTATTCATATCATTTCAGATCTCCATGGAACGATCCAGATCATTTTATACAGCGACAAAGCTGCATGAATACGTTCGTCGCTGTTTTCGGCTACATGCCATTACTACGTTCCAACACGAGACTGGATCCTGTTCTGTTCAAAGACTCCGTGAGCAACCTGCGCAAAAAGTATAGGCAAATTGAATTAGTTAGTAATTAGAGTTCTATACGATATTTTACGAATTATCATAAATTGTTTAATTGATAAAGCGCGTGTATAGACATTATACATTGGAGCGTCCAGAGGTTTAAGGGAGGGAGGGGGGCGTTGGTTCCACCCACTCTTCTTGCTTCCTCCTTACCCATGTCGATTCACGACGAGTTAGACTCGTCACATAAACGACAAATCGAGAGAGGCTATCGCAAGTATCGTGACGTTAACGATTTTTCGTCGATCAAATGAAAATAATATAAGAGTGGAAGAAAAGATTGGAAGACAATGATAAAGAATTCATAAGAACGAGACAGTTATTAACGTTAATCGACAGGGTTTTCGCTGTGACCTTGGTATTTGAATCTGTGCCATATCCATCTTCTGTTACGAAGGACGGTCCATACGAAGGTCATAAGGTCAATATTAACAAATCCTTGTTATCTTATCATAATGCAGTCCGCGACTATCTGCCATGCCGCATTGCTATTTATGTACATAAAAAATCGTTTCATAGAGATTAATAAAAAAAAACATTATTTAACAAGTAATCCACGCAAGGACTTCCTGTTTTTATCGTGCTTCTTCTTTCTTATTTATTTATATCGCAAGTTTCTCCGTTTTAAAAAGTTGTCGCGTGCTCAATTTGTCACGCTGTTTCTTTACCCAACGACGCGACCACGAAGACAAGTATTTGCAGTAAATTCGATAGTCGAATAGTCGCCCACCATGATCGACCATCCGGATGTATTATGAGACCAGGTAGAGAGTCATGGAAATTCGGGGTAACGGCTTCGCAGACCGCAAGAACCGCAGGCTGAAGAACTTTTTCGAAAAGACTGGCTAGAGGAGTATTGTGGAAAAGAAAGAAAAAAAAAGGAAGCGGACTTGTTAACCAAGAGTTTATGGAGCGACAATCACGTCATTATAAATTCTCCCAGACTCCTGGTCCAGGTGTTGGATACGACTTTTATTAAAATAACCGGACGTCATTTACCTTGATGAACTAAAAAAATGAAAGTTTCAATGATTTTCAGGGACGCGCGGGTGGCATTAATTTGTGAACTTCAACAAAAATATCTACCAGAGCTATCACCACCCACGTTACTCACAGATGAGACGCTCGTGAAGTACATTCAGGAAAGGAGGACACGTGCCGAAAACGCCACAAAATAATACCCGTTAAGTCCTCAGGCGCCGAAATGCAGAACGTCCTTAATAGACTCTTCCCGCTGTAGGTGTAAGGTATATTTTTTTATTTATCTCTTCCACCCTCTGGCTATTGCAGGGACAATCAATCACAGTCGAAACGTTCGGCTACAATGGAGCAGAGATAAAGCGTAACGTCTAGCGAGTCTACAATTATGCAAATAATTGACAATTTATTTCGCTCAGCCTTGAATCGCACTTCGACTTCCTAGACGTGAAGAATTGAACCTCGTCCCGACCTGGTAAACAAAATATTATATTTGAAACTCATTACAAACACTTGAGCAAAATCAAGCAAACTTCCTGTATGGAAAAATCTCTTTCACAGTATTTCTGCATCGTGGAACAAGGGGACATATGTTTTTTTTCTTGCTGCCGTTTATTCAGTTTTTATAATCAAGAGGATAAGAAGAAAACAAACTGAATATCGTAGTCGCGTAACAACCAACGTCTACGTGGCTATCTGGTGGACGGTGTCGAATGGCAGCTGATTTCTTGCAAAAGTCAAAGAGCAACAAGAAGTAAGATTTCCTTTAAGCACGTTGTACGCATACAAGAAGAAGTAATTGCTCCCGTTCAGTTGGGCTGATCTGAGGATAACGTCTGAGAGGGATAGGCGTGTTTCAGGGTCGTGACGTATTGTTTCACAGACTGTAAGCAAAGGTGGATAAGAAGTTTTAAAATAACTAACGTCGATACCTTCGCTGTTCTGTATCTCTCTTGCTCCTCCACTCATTGCTACTTTCTTTCCTTCATTTGCCTCCTTACTCCTCAAAGCTATTACATAGCTCCCAGCTATTGCAAATTACGAAACTTCAATACTTTGGCTAAGATTTTATTGCTCCAAGCAGAAATCTTTTGTAGTGGCTCCATTCTCTTCCAAAATCTTCTCCACGTGGGTTCAACTAGACAGGCAGACCTGTCGGCTGTATTTTCTTTTTACTTATCTTAGTTTGTGGCGAAGAACTTTATTAGTTGTGAGAAAGAGCGACAGGACACGCCAAACGTAACAGCCGGATTGCTTAATTAGGATGAACATTAGTTTTAAAGAGTAAGAACGAGACTTTTCCTGGATACTTGTAATTATTTCTATTCTTTTTTCTTTGTTTCCTTCAGGCGATTCATTAAGAGAAGTCACTCCGGTAAGGAGTCCTGTGAAATACCTTCTAGGAACTTTCAGTCGTTTCTCATTTATCTATAAATTCCTAAATTGAAATCGAGAGGGCATGGTTACACCGGTATCCCTTCTCTCTGTACAAGCATGTAACATTCCACGAAATCCAGAGACTTGTCCCAATCGATTTACAAGCACGTTTCTCAAGGTGAAAAGAAAGGTTTATAATACCGTGGGTAAAGCAATGTTCTTGCAGGATATAGCATACAAACAATCTTAGATACACCCAGTAACCGGATGCGAAATACCGACAGTGTCTCCTATATTCCACTCTCAATTAAAGCTTCTATATATAGATCAAAAACGTCCAATAAAACTAATTAGTAATTGTAAAAAACAGCAGCGTTACAAAAAATGTCCCCAAGACATTCTGCAGGAAGTAACAAAATGCATAAACACTAAATTCCAATTGTAAAGTATCATGAACAAAAAGTAATGATTCAAGATCTATGATTATCCTGTTATGGATTAATTTAAATAAAATACAGTATCTAATGTCAAAAGATTTTTTTTCTTTTCCCTAGAATCGAACTACGTTCCCAATGGTTCTGGTAAGTCGAGAACCCTTTCAGGGTTAATATGGACCAAGTATCTAAGACGGATTAAACAAGACGGCGAGCACTCCAGAAAGTGGCTCCATAATGCTGATGGAGAACGTTTCTTGGAGTTGGAGCTGGTGATGGTGGTGGTGGTGGTTGGTCAGGATAATCCAAGTGGTGGTGGAATATCTAGCAATGATTGCGGCGGTGGTGGTGGTGGTGTTGATGGTGGTGGTGGTGGCAGAACCGTCTCTCCTCGTATAGTTAACACTCCCTTCTTTGTTGCAGCTTTGCTAGAAAGGTGACTATGCCAAGAAGACAGGAGGTATTGAGCACGCCTTGCGTATCCCCAGTCACCTTTCTCTCTTCGTGACCGTAGCATATGTTTTGCGACGTCTGATGGCGCTCTCGTGCTTTTGAACGTCGCTCCGTGATAAGCTGGATCCGGAGAGCCAAATCTTAAAGGATAGTTTATTATTTTGCAAAATCTTATAGGAGCGCGAAACTTTTGACGTACGAGAGAGAAGTGGACTCTGAATTAAAGTGCGGGGTTTATACAAGCGAGAGAGAGAGAGAGAGAGAGAGAGAGAGATAAATAGAATTGTTGAAAATTAAAAAATTTTGTTTTCTCTCTGATGCCCTTAATTTGAATCACACAATTAACGTGGAGACTTTACAAAGGATATTAAAAGTCCTGTCAGTCGATAGTATCTCTTATCACTGTCGACAAGGAATTTTTATATTAAAAAATGTTAATCCTCAAGAGCGTGATACTCGTACTGGCGGTCATATCCAGCGGGGGTGAGTTTCCTTTTGTTTTTTTCTTCTTCTTAATTTTCTTGCAATAAGTAACGTCTTGAATTTTTAACGGCTGGGTAACTAACAAAGCGTGCTGCTTCGTTTTTAATGCTTGAAAGGAGTCGCTGTACGATCCAGGATGAGTTTCCACTTTTACGACACCGACCTTTATGATTATCGACGGTTCTTCCACTCTGCTGTGGAAAATGTTAGGCCTTTCGGAGATACCATTTATAGAAGAGACTGGATGTGCACAAAGCGCAGACACATAATGACTATACATATTTTATAATAGTTATTCATTTAACACACAAGCAATTTCATTATTTTGTATTTACCATTTAAAGGCTTCCTCATTTCTTTACTAAAGTTCAAAGGAACCGGAAGTCTTGAACATTTTTATAAAATACACTCACCGAACGAGGTATCCACGTAACACCTAGTTTCTTTTGGAAAATTTCAGGCAGCCTGTTTTTTTTTCCTTACAATCATTCTCACGGGTACCTCAAGATTTTTGACATTGATAGTAAAGCCAAAGCGTTACGCGATAGTTCCTTTCACGGACGATCGGATTCCTTTACCGCAGTAGAAATCGATCAGAAAATATACAAGCCGCTTGATTCTCCTTTAACAGTCAATTATAATTAAATTCATTCTAACAGTTAGCAAATGTATATTGCTACAAATTTAACCCACTAGACTGTGAAACGTATATGCAAGATAAATACGTACGAAACTCGTAGCCGTCTTACTGTACTACGTGATCCATGAAAATGTCAGTAGAGTATAAATTGCGTAAGAGGGACCGTTGAATAACCGGTGCACGCGGAAATGGACAGAAATATATATATATAAACTACATCCTGTGCATATACCTGAGGTACGTCCGAGGGTGTTAAGTCACTGAAAAAAAAAAAGAAAAGTACAAATATTTTACTGTCCACAAGACGGTAATATTTCAATTTCATTATCTGAACATACTCAGTCATTTTATTATATAAATTATTGTACCTCCATTGCATCAATTTCTTCTTCTTGTTACATTCTGCATTTTAGCTGTAAGCTATTATTTATCCAGACTCCTGTAGCGAAGATCTCGCAATGTCTCACGTAGTCGTTTTGTGTGCAGGAAAAAAAGGTTTGTCGCTTTACGAAATCCTTACTGCTGGTATTACAAATATCTGTTTACCGGTTAAGCCAGGATTGTAGGTAGATAGGGTACGTACCAACGGTCTCGCTAAGGAATACCAACTGTAACAACTATTCAAATTCTAATATCAAGCCGGATCCTGTGTAGCGTAGGCGCCATAACGATAATAATAAACACTTACCTTACAGTTTTTCAAGTCCTGGTAAATTCAAACCTCAGCAGATTATCCTTCTTGGCAATAATCCTTTTTTGCCAATTATCAAGAAAAGGGTTACTGGATTTTATCCAGCAGTAACGTAGGTCAGGTATTCCTACCCGTTCTTCAATTATTCTCATCCTTACTCCATGGCTAACTTAGCTACACGTATCTGCGGTATCCTGATATCTTCTGATTGCCTTTAAGATTAAAGTTGAGCGAGCCTGATTCACCATTTACCAGGCGATGCATTTTCTCCAACCTAGTTTTTTTTTCATTTCGTCCTTATCTCTCTTCTTCGCGTAGATACGAATCTCACAGAGGCTGTCGGTCAGTAAACCTTTGAAAAAGGAAAAGAGCAAGAGTGATTTTCATGAGTTACGCCACGACGCCAGGGGCTATTCTTTATTGATATATTATTACCCTCTAGGAATGCTGGAAAAAAAGTATATATATGTAACTACAATTAATCTTGTATACCTTTCATACCGGTTGGCAAGTTTTACTGTTTCTCGTAAAATGTTTGTCACTCTCGTTACGGAGCGTTTGAATTTTTTAAAACTATTTTCAATATGGCATTCTATAATATGTCTACCCGGTATCATTGCGAGGAAACGTAAGGTGAAACCTTCGTTGCGCTCAGCGAAATCAACGACTTACGCCACTTTCGCACGTGCGCGAAGAAAACGGTCACAGGGAATATCGTGCGGACGCTTGATTACACGAAGCCGCACAGCGCTGTTTTCAGAGTTTGGTAGGGTTAATTTAATACCGTCACCTTCCACCTACTGTATCTCTATTCTATGTACGTACTGTATACTCTATGGTCTAATGCGCCATCTATTAAATCCCATGGGAAAAATGTACGTTGCGAAAGAACCCGGGACGATTTGAAATTCCGTTCGAAATATAACTTGCGCAAGTGTTATTAAAGCTGATGAACATTTACCTTTTCGTTATATATATTATATCGTTTTTATTTTTCTCCCTAGTAATTGTCCTTGGATAGTTTTTTCTTTAATTTATCATTTTTCCCACATACGATCATACCTGTACTTTTACTCTGGCTCGTACTATGGGAAACGGATGCTACTTGCTCTTTCACCGTGGATTGGTTAACTGGAAAAGGGAAGGCGTTCAGTTGAAATAGCCAAGCAGCAACCATTGTCCGACTGGATGCCCTATTACGTCAGTAGGCGAGAAATTTATGAAAAAAAAAAATAACCACTGCATAAGTGACGCCGGTAACGCAATCCAATGGCTGCTCCCACTCGTATAATCTCATAGGGAAGCTCTGGCTGGATTATAGGTGATATTTGAATTCTCTTTCTTCTTTCAGAATTTTAACTGTGTCCACGTTCTTTTTCCTCCTTCTTTTTTCCAAGAGTACGATATTCCTGTGTTAGGGAAAAAGAATCAGATTCTCATCTATGCAGATGGGCACCTATACTCAGTGGGCTGAATATAGGCTCCTAGTAATTAGCAGGCATTCGTAATCAGTATTCTACTGCTGAATTAGCATAGATGGGAAATCACGAGATGCCTATGGGATTGGAGTTCACTTTCGTTTTAATGAAAAAAGAAAAGTAGATAGAACAAAAAGTAGACTTCAACACTTACACTACAGACTTGTATGATTTTTATTTATACCTGGTGCATTTTTTATTTAAGAATACTAATCAAGGATTCGATTCTGATGTTCTTATATCGGTTGCATCCTCTGTGGGCTTGGTCGTTGGATGAATCATTAGCGTCTTCATCCATGGATCCTCTTCTTACATATTATTTTTGTATTACCATTGTTTAGGGAATTTTGTATTCTTTTGAAATGATTTTTTTGTCACTAGGAAATATGTAATTTGTATTATGAACGTTATGGAGCCTTAAGCGGCAACTAAAAGCCGCTCAGATATCCATGTCCCACTATAATGACTTGAGTCTGTAAAGATACAAAATACAAGAGTCATAGTATATTCGGTACAAAAAAATTCTTTATGATGATTACTGATTACCGTTAAGTAACTTTTTATGATTGACGCATCTATTTGAATACGACCGATTACCCAATTGAATCTCGCGGGTTTAAATCAAGGTATACACACACACACACACACACATATATATATATAGTATATAACATCGTCTTAATTCCTTTGAAATTCTTTGATGATCTCTAACGTTACTTTCTGGCATAATCGATGAAGGATTCATAGAGAGAGAATAGAATTATGAACAAACTAAAAAAAAATTTTCAAGTGCACGTCGAACGTTTGAATTTCCCGGTCAATGGCACAAGACCCGATTATCCTAATTGCTCGAGTGTTAAATTGAAAAAAAAAATTAATTACTACCAGAGCAAAAATGTGGGTTTTTCATTAAAATCCGTAAGCCAGCAAAGTGATGTCCGTAATTACGAAATAGTTGAAATTGTATCCTTAAGGCGGACTCTCGTAGACGTCATGAGAGGAAAAAACAGTCGAACTCGTTGTCAAATATATTTTTCCTTTCGATCGTGTCTCCCTATTAGAAATCAATACGGACGAGCCGGACACACCTACGTGATCATCATCGTCCAGTGAAAGTTTACTATAGAAAGAAGACTCGTGACCGAATTTGGCGGTTATTATTTAAATGTCGCGCGTCGTTAGTCCAGCAAATCGTTTCAAGCCAGGATTATACATTAGAAGCCAGAACTATATACACGTGACTCTATCAAGAAACTTGTTAATGTTCAATGAACTCTTAATTCGCCAGGAACCCCATTTATTGGTATTTATTTTCATGTTTATTTAAATAATATTCCCTTTCCCTCTATCGCCTTTATACGAAAGAAATGAAATTCAGTAAATTCCCGAGAAAGCTGTTACAGGATCGAATTTTGAATTCTCGACGAAACGCTCGGGTGATATTTTATTATTATTCATTTTTTATATATCTCTATCCATCCATCTCTCTTTTATACCCTTCCCCAATTTCGAGTCGCCATTACTTGGATGATATTTCGCGAGAAAGCCGGATCCAACTAATGACGGACATTCATCATCCTGTTTGAAATCGTCTTCACGTTTCGACTGCGTCAGGTCACGAAGGACCTTCGATTTTTATGAAAAATTCAACAAAATTATATTTACGCGAATATAAAAATAATCTCGTTAATTTACGAATCTTTACGAATATACATGCATTCAAGTATTGAGGTTGGTAACAATTCTTTGTCCTCTTTCTGTTTTTATTTCCAAAATTTTCATTAGATTCTCGCGTATCGTGGTTTTAATGTTTGATAAACACATGGAGCCAATATGTGTCCTCGAAGATGCGTCACATTATGTAACAACAAATATCTCGGCTAGGATGATGAAATTATTAAAAATGCCAATAGTCAAAGTTTCTCAACGCTTGAGAATAGTCATGGACCACAGTCGTGATCATATCTATTGCATTTGGTTTCTGAGAATAACGATAATAACGTCTAATGCTAATAACACCTTAAGGACGTGTTAGACTGTTGAACGAGCGTAGCATTTAACGTGTAACACGTTATCATAACGTATAAATTAGCATGTAAAAATTTTGATTAAATTTCATAATAATGTTTCTCTATTTTCACCACCCTAAAAATATAGAAATTCGTTAAAACAAAAAAAATATTTCACAACGAAACGCCAATAATCGCGGGTAACCAAAAAATAAGTTTAAAAATAGCATCGTTTCTTTTTTATTTTTAATCTCCTCAACTAACCCATTTACACAACTTTCAGTAAAATACAGTAAAATTCAATACCACGCGAGATCCTAATACATACACAAAATGCCGGTCTTTTCGATAAAATCACATTGAAGCGGATCTCAATCAAGGTGATGTGGTATGCTAAGAAATAACAGTAACAATAATGATGCGGATTTAATTTCTATCGAGATATATCGATACAATATCGTCAACTCGAAGAATTTAAACGGCTGGTAAAATTGATGGTGAATAAAAAAAATACGAACGTATCCATTCCAGGAAGCGATTCGACCTTACTCTCTTAATCGATGTTCGACCTTACTTCCGCCAATGTTTCACAGAGCATTTAGTAATGGCGTCCAGTAAAAGGAACGGGCTTGGCTGCCTTTCCCGTGGTCGATCCAGAAAGTAACGTAAAGCCTTGATCGATCCGTGGGATCGGTTGAAGTACCACAGACCCGTGGAAACCTTATCGTTAATCGTACACAGTCGAAACATATATAACCCTGTATCAATAAAGAGTATTATTGCTTCTGAACAATCTGCTGTATCCATATTGAACGAACTTAACCTAACCAGCAGTCACTGTATGAATTTTTCAAATTTAGCATTCGAGTCAAAGATTTTTCAAAGTTGCTATACCTGCCGTGAGTGCGAGAAAGACGGTCCTATGCGCGACCACGTGCGCCAGACGAGGACAGAAATACTTGTCGAGTCAAATTCATGACCAAATACCTTTCTCAAAATTTTCAAGCATCGTCTGGACAATCATTGGTATTATACGAAGATCAGCAACGTATCTTTTATTCCTACTGTAGATTCTAGTAAAATGGTGGACAGTTCCATATATTAATTCAATGTCGCTTGCAGTGGATAATGACATGTATTAGATTGACCTACCTTTTTTCTCTTGTCTCTCTCGCTCTCCTTTAACATCTATTAGGCATATTTTCTCGTTGTTTTCTATCGCCAGGTCTTGTAACTGTCTGTCATAACGCTTATTGTTGTACGAGTTTCTCTCTTTAGTGCGTCGACAGGATCTGCAAACATATAACGAAGCCCTGTACGCATTTATATTGGACAATATCAGGCGTTACGTGCAATAATAAGTCCAGTGGTTTCGTGGGTGAAGGTACAGAACTCGTATGTGCCAATGAACAGTTGATATATGTTGTTTCACCATATATATATATATTTACTGGTAACGCCTCAATATTCTTATACGTATGTACATGCCTAGCCTTGACTTGGCACTCTAACGCCTTTCCCTGGATCTCAGGAACGAGTCGAATTACCTGATAATCGAATCTGGACTTTGGCAATATTGACAGACCTACTAACGATACAGTAGAAAGTGATGCTGTGATCGTAAATCATATTTTTGAATCTTGTAGAATAATAAACAGTGGCTGGTCACACTTTGGTTGATGTATGGATGTATGGTAATGGCTGACAAGAGTGGTTTGTTTTAATTGAGAAATTGGAGCAACGTAACGCTTGCTCTCCAGTGTACTGAGGAGTGCTGTGATTGCTGAGAGTCATTGGTCAAGGCTGATTTTTGAACGGGCGTGGTGCAACATTCTTGACAGCCCGAAAATGTCTAATGACTTGCTCTTATTCCACCAGTGACCCTGCCATTAATTTGAACCGGGACTGGGGGTCAACTGGCACGTGTATATAGATATATAAAGTTTGTAAAATTCTTGAAGAAATTTTTCGACCATATTTTATATTAACTTCTTGTTCTTTAATTCATTTTCATTTAAGTAGATACTTACTCTGTGTGACATGACTCGCTTGGCAGTCTGTCAGCTGATTGTGGAATTCCGTGATTGAGGATTCAAGGACGCATTTCTCTATAGGTTAACTCATGACGTCCCGATGCCAAAGCGTCGATCGTCGTGATACTCCGTAACTATTGCGATACTCCTTTTGCGGGAGAGTCGCGTTCCAGTCTGTGATGTAAACTTACATAAAATGGAGTCCACTCCTGTCGCCGAATTGATAATATAAGTTACGTGAAGCATGACGGGCGGGGCAGCGGGACAAAATGTTTTGCGTAATCGTTGACAGGATAAAAATTACGCGAGAACCGAGCACGAGATCATTATCGATTAATGTGGATTGGTCGAAGAGAGCTGACAAAAAATAATAATCGATAGCGACAGAACATTTTCAGAGAGGTAAGAGTTTGGTGAAAGAATTCTAAAAAGATTGACAGACGAAACGGTCGGCTGGATAGGTAAGGAAGAAAAAGACAGCGACACCTGTCCGCCTATCGTCGGCAATTACCGACAGAAGAAAAAAATGATTAGTAACAACCGCAGATATTCGTTTACATCCGTTCAGTAATTTCTTTATGCTTTGTATGCCCATTCATGTTTTGTAAACGTATACGAGTGATATAGTAATTTGTACTGTTTACACGCTGTACATACTGAATTGTAATTGTGAATTGAGTACACGACTCTTGGTGAATTAGTACAGAAGCAATTGCCAAATCCACCTGAATTAGATATCTGTGAAGTCGGCAAAGTGGCCTGGGTATTTTAAATCTAAATGTTGCTCAATGACAAGGAGAATGAAAAATAAATGCCATGGAAGGAGCCTGGTCAATAATACATTGAGCAATCCGTGTATACGATTTCAGAGTAGGATACCGTGTGACAATCACCATGGATATATATAGTATACAATCTCAGACCGTGATTAAGAATACCTCTGCGTCTTTCTTGTAATTCTAAGCAGTCTTCCAAGAACGGAAGTATTTTCTCAAGAGTTCCCCGGTGCAATCTCAAGAGTCAGAAGTCAGCGTGAAGAATTATTAAAACCAGCAAGGACATTCGATTGTATTTCCATATTCAGCATGTCTTTTAAAACTCCTACAAGAATCACCAGGTATATATATATAGAGCACGTAGATGCATGCCCTTTTATTGCACCAGAGTAAAATAACCTGGTACCTCCACCTTCGCAGAACTGGCTCTAGGTAAAGAATAGGAAACAGTGCACGTGGGAGGAGTTGCATTCTCAGTGTCTGGAGTCTCAGTACTTACCTCAGTATAGAGATCCACGTATACAGCTCTACAAGAGGCTGTTTATCGCCACGTAATAATATATACGCTTCCAAGTATATATACCTCCTATCCTGACTGGGCAATTCACTATACATATATAGATAGCAAAGGTGAGATACGGAGATTGGCAAAGCACTGATTTCAGAGCCTGAAGCACTGTAATATGGCGCAGTGCAGTGCAGTACAGTGCAGCCTTCTTTTACGGTCCAATATCTTTCCATTCCCACCATTTCGTAGACTTGCGACCGGTTCGCCGGTCTAGGCTCGTTAGAAGGGACGCCATTATTCCTACGTATCTATATAGCCATTGTCTAGATGGATTCGGTGTGCGCAACGTGCAGCGTAGACACTCTGCGAACGATCCCCGCCCTGCATTAACAGCATACTATTGCTATTGGCTTTTGAAAGGACTTTTCCTATTTATTCCAAGACTCTCGTGACTTCCAAGCACTCTGGAGGCCTTGTCGAGGATCGTGAGATCAAATATCAAATACCGTCCAGGTCGAGATCTCTGTAGTAACAGGGGGATTCCTGAGAGGGCGTTACTGTTGCGTTCTGTAACATAATCAATGCAATTCACGATCGGCATTAACGCATCATATTTATTTTAGAGAATTTCAAATGGCAGCAGTGCTTCGGATAGTCGATGTGGAAATTCTTCAGGAGTTTCGTTAGATCGTGGATGTCGACCTGCTCCAGATTTCAGTGCTGATCAAACACAATGACTCTCCAGGGGGTTTGCATTGCGTTATCAAAAGATCGGAAGCGATTGGTCCGAGGTCATTTCATAGTGGTGAATGCGAGATAACAGAACTATTGTTCTGGCCAAGGAACGTCCTTGATATGGAAGTAACAGTGGCGCACCTTACTTAACGAAGTTATCCTAACCTCCAAACGGATTCCCGTTTCGCATAATTTCCATTGTGGCACAACCGTGCGACGTAGCAGACTGAAGTTGGCTGCAGAACGTGGTTGCGTATCAACATCTGTTAAGGCGCGATTAGAAATTAAAATCCGCCTCGTTCCCAATTCCCTGGCAGGCAAGGCTTCATCCATTGCAACCGTTAAGCAAGTCCTGTTAATAATGCAATGTACAAAATAACAGAACCGAGAGCGTTGTACTTCTGGTGACCAGTGAGCGTGCAAGGGAATAATTCTTTTCTCGATTCTCCCGTGTTCGCTTTCGTTAAACGATAACGGCTGATAAAGTCCAGCTCGTGAATAATATTTGTGCAATATCAAACCTCTGAATTTATATTATTCCTTCTTTTTTTTTTTTGTTTACTTACAAATGTCCACGAGGCGTATTCACGTTACGGGACTCTTAAACTGTTCAAACTGTCCGATATTATGCAAGCCATGCTCCAGTTTCTGAAACCCCGACTTCGGTATTCCGACTCACTTTCACTCATTCACTCGACGACTCTTTTATCCTGGGCTCTCTCTATCATTCGCATGACTTTCACTTCTCCCGCCTTGCTAAATTCTCCCTTGCACTGCCTTACGGTTCCGCCTTATCTTACCTTACCTAACCTTACCCTGGCTTACGTTTCTTATATATGGTATACACAAGTAACACGCGGCCATTGACGTTCGCTGTACAAATTTACATTATTTCTCACGAACAAAATAAAGATCTCGCATTAACTTCCGTCAATACGAGTGTCCTCGGTTGAGGAATTTTTGAAAAATTTATTTACACAAAAAAAACTGCTTAGACAAGACATTTTTTTAAATGTCACACTCGCCAGTCTATCGCTAGTAGAAATCATAACGTGATATCTATCGTCGCGAATGACGTCTTAGTGAATAATTAAATAATTAACTGTCTAAATAATTTCCTGATTATCCTTCAACTTTGGCATTACCATCTGACAAAGACGAACGAGTCTGAATGACAAAGATGAGCGAGAGAGAGATAGCGATAGACACAGCCAATGTCGCCAGGAAATCAACTGGACTTCATTTTATGCACTTATTACCGCTCTGCCGCTATTAACTTCTATCGCTGTATACATTATGCATAGGCGTAACAGCATCGATTATTTCCTCAGTCTTTCCTCAATTCTGAATCGCAAGCTGAGCGTGCTGACAATAATAGCGATCTAATTGTTCTTGCTCCGCAACATAAACCACAGACTCCAGAGACTCGTCCTGTATTGCCTTTGGCTCTGGGTTCCACGCAGATTCATTATGTCCGTTATTAGGCAGTAACTCGGTGACTCCGTAACGTTCGTAACGATTACGTAACGGTTTTGTCTCGTATTCTCTCTGCACGGAGCATGGGAACAGACACGCGAGTTAACACTGGAATTAGTTGCAGTTTGAGGCAAGAAGCAATTTGGTAGTTTGACATAACAAACTTACGTGGAATTTAAGTAGGCTCTTTATATCTGTTCTTTTATTTAAATTCCCATTAATTTTTATTCTTCAATTAATCCAAACGCTCCCAGTCCCGCTGTAGATCCTTTGTATTGTTCGTCAAGAGAAATATAATACATGACATAACCTATCATCGGCGTTGCGTTTCGCGTGCGCCTGGGATTTATTATCGACGCCGTGGAACGAATTAACGTTTTTCTTAACGATCCTTCGTAATTAAGGGAACAGCAGTAGGTTAATTCGGTTGCGCCAATCCGTATTGTGCCAGTAGACTTTGATTGCTTTCCGTAACAATGTGGTTAACTGGAAAAGGAAAGAAAAAAATTTGTATTCCATTTTATAACAAAATTACGATCTAGCATAACGACTGGATTCTCATTATAAAATTGTATTACCAGCACGTGTAATTCTCCGGTTCTTCCAATTATTTTTCCGTTAACCGATCTGAACTGCGTCCTTAATTAATTTACTTGACTAACGATCTCCGACTTTTTCAATTACTATATTCTAATCAGACGTTGTCGCTGCTTGCAGATTCTCAGCGTAACACGCCCAGGAGTACACGTGCCAGTCGGAACGATGCTGCTCTGGATTTTGAATGCCCCGAAGAATTCGGCTACTATCCTCATCCACGTGATTGCACTCAGTACTACGTCTGCGTCTTCGGGGGTGCGCTTCTGGAATCATGCACAGGGGGTCTCATGTACAGGTCAGTTGATTAAATTATTGGATTCTCAATGACTGATCTACTCACTGGGATGTTCCTGAACGGTCGGCTGAACGAAAGAGAAAATGAGAAAACAGAAGTGAACCGGATGACATCACGAGTATCGTACAACTGTCAGTTGGTAGCAGTGACCACGAGTCGCCAGCTAGCTCGATCGATAATTAGTATGCTAGCTGGTGTAGAGGAATGATTGGTTCCTTGGAGATTATCATCTTGAAGATCAATGGATCCCACCGATCAATTCTAAACGGTGCATCAGTAACCAAGACGATGACTCCGAGCGACGATCCGATGATTCATCGACCTTCCATTTACATAAGCCATACACCAGCTATCGGTAGATCGGTATTGCAGGTCTCTCTGACAGTTTGGAGTATCTTGCATATCCACCTTAGAAAGGATCATCGCTGATGAAGCAGAGCCTGAGCGTGTTTAACGCCATTAATTACTGGATAATTAGTACGGGTTTTAATGCTAACGTTAATTTGCTGATGTAAATGGTAATGCAGAAGGCTCGTTACACGAGAAAAATTGTATGCGAATAGTCAAAGATGGCGGAGGAAAAAAAAGTAGTCGAGAAAGCAATACGGAAAAATATCGTGTACCTATTCCTGGTGAATAGAAGAGACGTAGCTTCCCGACGCGTCCGTTCCCATGGATTATGTAAAAGAGTATCGCGAAATCGAGAAAAATGTTATTCTTCAAAGAAGAAGGCAGTGTATCCATGTGCGAGTACCTAGATGCTTTCAAAGTACGCTTCGAGTCTGGGAGTACGATACTCGTGGTAAAAGGAGTTTGTCTAGGCTGTGTATTACCTTGTGTAATACATATGCAGCTACATAACCTGAAATTGATATAAAATGTAATCATCAAATTTAACTGCTACACCTGCCTAACTTGTATACCTGTATTTATCCTTTTTACTGTATCCATATATCATTCAGTCATGTACGTGGATATCGTGCAAGACCAGTTTCAAGGTACCTGGGTACCTTTGGTAGGTATGTAGACGTAGGTATAGGTTACCTTAAATTGGTAACTTCCTAATGGAAGTGGCGCAAACCTGATTCAATTACCAGCAAATACCGCGGTGCCAAATATGTATCGATCCTTGAGAAATTAAACTGCTGGGGGCAACTGGATTAGCCGGAGTTTACTGGAGATACCTTGGGGAGACAATTAATTCGTTAGGATAGAATTTCGAGACTAATTTATTTAATTTCCACCTTTCTACTTGCAGCCATGAACTCCAGACCTGCGACTGGCCCCGCAACGTCGGCTGTCTCGAGGATGACAGTTCGTCAAGGGAGACCGAGGCTGATCCTCTTTTGGAAAGGTGAGCCCGATATCCTATAATATTTTCAAGTAAAATCTAGAGCGGAATAAGGTGCAAGAAGTCCAGGGAGAACAGTCGCCAGGAATTCGATCTGGTCCACCTGAAATACACCTGGTGAATTAACAGCGTCGAATCCGTGGAACGCGGACGTCTCCATTGATCCGTGAAAGAGCCGATCGGCTGTCCGTGAAACGAATCCAAGAGAGAGAGACCAGGTTATAAAAGTGACAAGTTTACTGCTAAAATTTCTCCCTGGTTGTGAAATTCTCCAAGAATTCGTGCCCGTGACGTTAGCTATTAATCTAGACAAGCGTGCTAGGTCTGTACCGAGGTCGTTTTATCGTTAAGGACAAAACCAGCTCGCAAGGAACCTTCGTTCACTTGGAAATTTGTATGATTTTTCAGGTCCGTCAAGGTTCAGCCAGTACAGCGACAGCGACAGCAGCAGCAGCAACAACAGCAACAACAGCAACAACAACAGTCCCAGAGAACAGTTCAGAGGCAGCAAGTTCTCGTGACCACCTCAAGTCCTGCCGTGACTCCAATCACCGACAGACCCGTCCGTCAGCGACATCAGCAGCAACAGCAGCGACAGAGGACCTACTCCGAGGATGAGTACGGACCCGCCTCTGAAATTGAGAATGATAGGCAGCAGCGGGTCTATCGAGGTCAACCATCGACGATCGGCCAGGTTCAACGCGATAGAGACGGTCTACGTCGCAACATAATATCCGTGAGTCTCACCGGCCCTGACTTTCCCCCATTTTTACTGGCTCCCTCGTTGGCCTTGTCCACGTGTCCACTCTCTCCGTAATTTCAGGAACGGGAGAAGGACAGTTTGGTCAATTCTCGCGCTCAGACTGAAGAATCCCAGTATAGGTAAAATTATATTATTTTCTCTCTCTCTCTCTCTCACTCTTTTCTTCCTGCTTCCCTATGGAATCACCGAAGCACGTTTTCTCTATGTCTCCAGGAGCGTTCCCTCGGAATCGCCAAGGATTGCGAAAACAAGCGTTTCCACAGAGGCCCCTGTAATTTCGAAAGCTTACTACAGCGATTCTGACAGTTATCCTTATTACACGATCTACGACGATGATGTTTCCATCTACAAGGACGACGGTTGGTAGACGTGGATGTCATTGCTTATTACATCTGTCGTATTTTTAAGTAGACAAACGGCTTAAGATATTTCTCTCTCTCTCTCTTTCTCTCTCTCTCTCGTGAATCATTAAGAGTCATTAAAGAATTCGTTTTTTTGTTAATTTTCTCACAGATTATAATCAATATACGATCAATCAAACTGTACCGATTCAACAAGAAAACATAAGGATACCTGAGGTCGTCACCAGCTCGAAACAATATACGCAGAAACCGAAAAAGGTCACGGTTAATGATAATGACAAATACAACCTTAATCAGGACGTGACTGTCCAGGATTACGACATCTATGATAATCAGGTAATATTACTTTGAGACATCCAAGAACCATCCGAATCTCATTCGTTGATTATTCTCTAATCCTTTCTGCTTTATTGTCCCGTCCAGGCGCAATTGAACAAAAATAAATTCCGCATCAACGACGGTCAGCAGCAATCAATAAGGTGAGTCTGTTGTGTTTAAAAATATGTAAAATAATGTAAAGGAGATTCCATGCAAAGATAAAAGACTATCCTTTGGCTGCGTTCGGTATCAGCGTTAAAAATAATAATTGTGCGAGCGTCCATCCGCAGTTGAGTCACTGCTGATCCATCTGGTTGCAGACGATGGTTAATACGTAGTATCAGCATTGATCCAGCAGCATCCATGCTCTGTCTTCTTTGTTCAGAATGCAGATAGCTTCGATGCTAATCAACATAAAAATATCTCATTAATAATGAATATGTGAAAAATCTATTTTTAATCGTTATGAGTTGTCTCTGGAATCTTGTAGTTAATTAATTTATTTTGCATCTACAGGACTAATACACTGAGCCATCCAAATGTTCATGTCACTACTCCAAACGTTGTTGTGGATACTTTTGTACCTTTGACTACAACGGCACCAGTTGCACCAAGTACAACCTCACGTCCATACACGGTTACTGCTCCAAGGTGCGTACGCATGAAAGGAATCTAGAGGAATGAAAAAAAGAAATTGGTAGAGGTCCGGCATAACGTTTAAATGGAATTAACTCCAATTGACAAGTAGGAACGAATTTACATCGGCCAAGACCCAATTTCTCTGCGACCTCTTTGACTTCTCTTGAACACCCAATGGCACTTGCATGTAGCTCTCCTTATTTCTTTGCCGTACCACTGGCTTCCGACTGGTTCTTCAAACACGTCGCTCCATGCTGTGTAGGCTTCACGAATCAAAGCTTGCTCTTACTTTCTCCATAAAGACAGTGTCCGCGTCCATACAGCTTATATAGCTATGACCAATCGGACTCTTGAGTTTATTAAGCTGGTACAAGTCAACTGGTCGAATCGCATTGGATGATTTTTCTCTTTCAATTTACAGCCGAGGACGTCCACAAGTCAATCGTGGTACAGCACCTCCGTGAGTATCTGTTAATTAATTATTTATTATTTGTCTTATTTTTACTACGTGCCTTAATTCACTGGAAAATCTTACTGGTTACCTTTGGACTTTATTTTTTTTTATATAAAGAAACTACTCTTCCTTCCAGACGGTCCAGACCCACTTTGAAACCGTCGACTGAGATCGTTTCCAAGGCTCAGGAATTCGTTGATATCTACAAGTTCCCTCCTTCAAGACCAGCACCCATTTACCCGACGCCCCAGGTCGACAAACCTGCAGCCAAGTGTAGAAAAGATGTCTGCCTACTTCCTGATTGTAACTGTGGCGGCTCTGACATACCTGGTACGTGTTTTTGGCTTTATTTATGCATTTTTTGACTATCTTTATTATTCCTAATTTTTTTTAATTTCATTCTATTATACGTCTGGTATCGTTTATACTCGGTATACAAATCGTGCCTTCGACTTTGTGCTACCTTTTTGTCCAATGTCTCGTCCGAACTGTTTATGGGCGTCGCGACGACGTGACGCAACCTCTTCCACCACCTTCGGTGCACATGGTTCGCGCTCCGAATGTTGATTTTTACCATTGACTTGCTCGATCCCAACCGACTGAATCACTTTCTCCGATTCTAACGTTACACACACGTTACGCGGGACACTCGAAAGTGAAATAGATCCTGTCGATCTTGGGTGCGCACGAGTGCGTCTTTGATCATGACGAATCTTTAAGGCGATGCTCGGAAATCGTTTCTCTACGTATTTACGCAATTCTAAACTCCATTCTTATTTAGAGTACAACTTAAAATTCAATGCGTGACAGAGAGAAATAAAGGAACGCGTGTAGTTTAAAATATTGGTAGACTCGAGAAAACAAAAAAAAATAAGAAAACATTTTTTGCCAACGTGGGAAACAGTCTCAGACGTTTACTGACGGAGCGGAGAGAAAATGCCAAAAGAATTTTAATTCCCATCGGTCACGCTAAGCTCTATAGGATAATCATCACTGATTACAATGATTACTCTGTTGCGCATTGATCATCGATCCAACGATCACGACGTAGCGACCTTTGCTATTAGAAATACAGTATCCGACAGTGCACGATCTCGTATCAGCATTTAACAAAGGCGTGTGAAGTCGATGTGGTACGATATGGTGTTGTCAGCCATCTTGAGTTGAGCCTTTGATAAATTAATCCAGGTGGCATCCCCGTCGACAAGACGCCGCAGATTGTTCTGCTTACGTTTGACGACGCAGTTAACGATCTTAACAAACCCTTGTACGAGGATCTATTTGAAAAGGGAAGAAAGAATCCTAACGGGTGTCCCATTACGGCCACCTTCTATGTCTCCCACGAGTGGAGCGATTATAGCCAGGTGCAAAATCTCTATGCAGTCGGCCACGAGATGGCGTCTCATACAGTCTCGTAAGTCATCATTGAGATTTAGAAGAAAAAAAAACGGAAACGATCTGCTGCCACAGCTTCCGGACGTTCTGAAATTCTGCATTTTTGGATCACGAATCATACGATCGACGTGTCAGGGCATATGCGTTGATTTCTCGGGAATTCATTAATTTCTCAGTGATAACGGTTTCTCCTTGTTCTTCTGATTTCTCTGTCGCTGCTCTCACCGTGCAACAAACTCACTCAGACTGAATTTTGTTGCACAACAAATATCCACGAGCCGTACGATTCTTCTGTAAATCTGTGTTAAGAAAAATATATTAGGAAATTATCCAAGAATTTATATATATATATACACACCGAGTTACCTTTTTCTCCGTTCCTTTTTTCTTCTGCTATTGCAATGAATTAAATTCCTTTACATTTGAATCGTACGACTCGTATTGAATCGAGGCGTTTCTGAAAAAGAGAAGGCCGTTTACTAATACTGCATACTAATATGTGGTTTCTTTTTCTTTCTTTCTTTCTTTCTTCTCTCTCTCTCTCTCTCTCTCTCACACGTCACTCAAACTCTGGCTCACACAACTCTATTTACTCTCAATCATGGCATACAATGACATAACGACAAAAAAACAATCCCTAAAAAACTTAATCACTGGACATATTGCATTGTGACCAACAAAAAAAAATTTATACCTGTTGGAACAATATCCGTGAAACACTTACATATTTCCACATTCCTTCCTGTCCTGTACAATCCTTTGAATAATACAGGAGACTACTTGCCCGAGGAGATACCGCAAATCGTACTCCTTACCTTCGACGATTCCGTGAACGACCTGAACAAGGGTCTGTACGCTGACCTCTTTGAGAAAGGACGCAAAAATCCAAACGGATGTCCCATCTCGGCTACCTTCTACGTGTCGCATGAATGGACCGACTACAGCCAGGTTCAAAATCTCTATGCTTCCGGTCACGAAATAGCCTCCCATACGGTCTCGTAAGTACCAATCACCCAAAGACGGTAGACCTAAAAAGAATATTATATAAAAATTTTAATTAGGCAAAATTCAATTTTTTCCGTCAGAGGCGGATGTACATAAGACACAATGGCTCTACTGTATATATAATTTATATGAGTGCACAGTAGGCGGATATAATATTAGACAACATCCGTATTTGTCACAATCGCTTACGTGATTATTGAACAGACCATATCATTTTTTGCCATGATCCTTTTTCGTATACGACCATTATCGTTGCCTGTGGCGGAAGACACGGGACTAGGAAATCTGAAACAAATGCAAAAAATGTTTACTAAAAGGTAACGGCTGATTAACGACAGGCGTGTCCTCAATATTGAAACGTGGGAGTTCGATAAGGAAGAAAAAAAATGTATTGTCAGTCGATTTCGAGCGGACCCCCATACCGGGATCGGTATCTACTTGACCTTTTAGATAATCCAAGGACAGTCACGTACGTGCGTTCCGGACAGGATAGATAAACTCTGATCATGCGGTCTGTACAGGAATATGTCGTAACGATATCGCGTGGTCTAGTGAGAGTTTCATTTTTTTTACCTCTTTCTTCTCCTCCTTGAATCGAGTTGCTATACAGAGTGTGACAATTCTTTTTTTCGCTCATGTTCTTCATTATCGACGTATGATCATTGATACACTAACATACTATTTCATCAGCTGGCAATTATGGACACGCTATATTGTGTTGCAATCAGTAAAGACTAGGTCGATCGGGCCATTCACACGGTGTATCGTAATGAATTTGATATCAATCTAAAAAAAGAAAAGACTAATATTCGCTTTTGAACTAAGCATATAAACACATGGAGATTCGTTGCATCTTTTCATTTGGTTATTAATGATTCCGTCATTCATTTGCTTCGAAGATCATTCGCTTGCTCGCGCTATACGGAAATGATTGATTGGATTTGATTAATGGATTATTTGTGTAATAATTAGGCACAGTTTCGGTGAGCAATTCTCTCACCGGAAGTGGGCTCGCGAGGTTGCTGGACAACGAGAAATCTTGTCTGCCTATGGTGGCGTCAAGTTGGAAGATGTCAGAGGAATGAGAGCGCCCTTCCTTTCGGTAATATTCAGTTCCTTTTAATTAGAGTCGATTGATTTAGGATGAAATTATTTAGGCTGACGTTTCTTACTTACGGTTTATCAGGTCGGTGGTAACAACATGTTCAAAATGCTTTGGGACACCAACTTCACCTACGATTCTTCCATGCCAATTTATGAGAACAGACCACCCAGCTGGCCTTACACTCTGGATTACAAACTTTTCCATGACTGTATGATCCCGCCTTGTCCCACCAGATCATATCCGGGACTCTGGGAAGTTCCTATGGTCATGTGGCAAGATCTTAACGGTGGTAGATGTTCCATGGGAGATGCTTGCAGCAATCCACCAACTGCTGATGGGGTTTACAAGATGCTTATTAAGAACTTTGAAAGGCACTACACAACCAACAGGTAGATAACCTCGGAACTGTCACGTTTGAACATTACATTTACGTTGCTTTATGTATATTTAGAGCGCCGTTTGGACTCTTCTATCACGCTGCCTGGTTCACTCAAGCTCATCACAAGGAAGGTTTCATCTCCTTCCTGGATACTATCGTCTCCATGGAAGATGTCTGGGTGGTCACCAACTGGCAGGCGCTTCAGTGGGTACGAAATCCGACGCCGTCCTCTTTGATGGGCAATTTCGAACCTTTTGGATGCAACTATCAGGTAGTGTTGATAAAGACGGTTTATATTTTAAAATAAATATCTTTTGGTTCATTCTTTATTTACTAATGCGATGGGGCTTTTCGTTTGTATGAGCACAGGATAGACCGAAGAAGTGCAACAACCCCAAGGTCTGCAATCTCTGGCACAAGAGTGGCGTCCGGTACATGAAAACGTGCCAAGCATGTCCTGACATCTATCCGTGGACGGGCAAAACTGGTATTCGCAGTAGCCGTATAGACAACGACGTCGACAATCACGAATGAAATAGGCCACGGCCAATCAAAAAAACCCACCAGCGATCAATTACGCGATAATCATTCTTCAATTAAGATTAATACTCGTTAGAATCGAAAGGCTGGCGCGTGTCGCCATAACGAGCGCGATCCTCCTGTTTCGAGACGGGGTTTTTCTTGCCACAATCTTCTGAAAGAGTTCTTTACGTTCAAGGACGTCTTCGGGAGGCTTAACTGGATAAATGACACTTCAATTTTTGGACAAGATGAATCGAACACCCGTTAACCATTTCTTCCGTCTCCTGCCCCTTATAATTCTTCAAATAATTTCACCAGCTTTCTTTATTCGTAAGTGAAACAACAAGTTCTAAGTAAATTTAATATTACCACGTCAAAAGTAGAGAATCGCTGTTGCGGTAACAGTTAGACAAATTTTCGATTGTACATTTCTATGGAATATTTAATGGAATATTAGATGTAGGATATAGGGCTCAGGGCTGGTGAGCCTTGTTCAGGACGAACGACAGCCAATTTGAAATAGAGAAATAAAAATATTAATACCACGAAGGTTTGCGAAGAATCTTTCCGGAGAATTTATAATCGTAAGCGTTCTTATCTTGATTTTCGAAACTCCGGAATGACGCATTGGGCGAGTGACGGTATGAGACTCTTGAAAAATCGACGCCTGGCGTCGGTCGAGCGTCATCATTGATTGATTGTTAACGAGTCGACCTCAAGATTTCTCATTCCTCAGCGAACAGAAAGCTCGAGACGCGAGGAGGATCGTTCCGTGAAGATTAAATTAATTGCCACGTACAGTCAGTACGATTCACAGATGGGAGAATCTGTCGTGTTACCTCCTAGGTACTTAGAGATATAATAATTCGTTTAATAAATAAACTTTTCGGTACAACGTCCATATTTATATTTATAATATTTATTACACCTATATAATATTCCATTTTCTATCCGTTATACTTATTGCTAGATTTATTATTAGAAATGTTTCTCGGGTATTGGCAGCTGATACAATATGGCCGACCAGTCGCCAATATTGAAATTGTAAATCTGGTGCGAGTCAAATGTCTTCCCGAAACCGACTTGTTCTACCCAAACTTGAGATAAAACGTCACGTCTGTGTTGCCATGTCTGAAAGATAAACAAAAATGTTACTTGTGCTGTTTTTAAATTAGATATTTATCTATTACGTCTATTCACAAGGTACCAAAGTATTTTGTTTGATCCACGCTGTCATCATTTGATTCTCCTGAAGGAGCGCATACTTTTTGCCTTTCGATAAATATATTCTTACAGTCGTGTCGCACCCGCGAATTGCTGCCAGATAGGATTTCAATAAGTATAGTCGTGGTTTCACGAAACTCGATACTTTTGAAATACCATTCAGCTGTCTTATCAGTAAATTGATACCAGTGCGTAATTCCATAAGGATTGCTGCTTTTTTCATATTTATACAACGTGTCACGACTATCAGATAACATTCCAGGACCTGAAAGATTCAGGTATTTATGCTTGCTTTTTCTTTTATTCAAATTTCTATTTACTTTGCACACTGTAAGAATTCGACTGAAGTTATGATGTTTCATATCCTTTAAATAAGATTCTGGATAGTACACGATGTCATCGATGACTAGTTTACCCCTAATAGAAAAAGAAGATTAAAAAAAATATATAAATAATTACGTTATACATACATTCTAAGCTGCCAGGACCAAAGTCCTGTTAATAACCGTTTCAAACTGTCAGGATCTCGTGCTGTGTAACATCCCGAATTTGATTCTTCTAGAATATATGTATAATGAGATAATTTATTGAGACAGATTAAATATTATACTTAGAAGTTTTTGGGCGAATGATGAACAATCTTCGTAAGTTTCGATTATTATTCCTACGTCCAGGATGAAATCAAGACACAGTGCATAATACCAGGTAAATGCAGTCTTATCGATATCCTCTTCAGCAAGGAATGACAGTAATTGCATCAAGTCGACTGCCTCGTGAACTCTTTTGGTTTTTATCTATGAGAAATTTAGATTAAAAATTTGTTTGCCTTTACAAAACTTTCAAAGAATTACCATGATTTGTACTAGGAGTGGAATTATGGACAGTTTCATTCGGGATAGATGAAGTGCTGCAGCAATTCGTAACACCTTAAAACCCACTATTAGTGATAGCCTCAATTCACCTCGTAATATTCTGTTTTTGAAAATCCCCCAAAAAATAGTAAATTTTATATGACGGTAATATGAATCTGATAAACTTTTATTACCTGTTATAAAAGATTGACATGTATACTTCTGCTGTTTTGACAATTTCCTCTACGTTTGTCCACCATCCTTTTGTTTTCATTATTTTCAATATGATTCTTTCTAATTTTTTGGACATGTTCAAATCACCTAATTCACGGTAAGTAGTAACCGCAGTTAAGTAAGATTCACATGTATCGATAAAGCTTGTTGAATATTCGAAACTTTTGTTTAAACTTTGAAGTGCTGCTAAGTTTGCTAATTTCCAATTTTCCTCTCTTCTATATAAATTAGAAAGACTTCTGAGCAGTGAGCAAGTTTGGCATATCGTTGCTGCTTTATCAGAATGCAATCTTCTGTAGTTTGGGTAATCACTGCATTCCCGTTGCAGCCACAGTTTCCAATTTTCATGTAAACTATTAAAGCACAGCAAAGGCTGTTCCATGGGAAATTTTATGCTGCGAAGATTTAAAGCTTGCAAATAGGATTCTTTGGCTTCTAAAAATTTGCCTAGCATCACATAAGCTTCGCCTAGGAAGGGATGTAATTTATAATTTAATAATTAAATCATAATAATAATTAATAAAATTAAATCTTATCAACCTATGAGTGACAGGATAATTTCTTTATTGCGAATCTTGTCTTTTATATTTAGATTTTTTAATTCTTGGTCCCTTGGTACAAACTGGAATTTCATTTAAATTGATTTGATTAATCGAAAGAAAGTATTTGTCAAAATTACCTAATTCACCTCATTTCTTTCATCAGTCTCTATCAATAATTTCAAAGCAAAGGCAGACTGTCCAGTAAATATCAGGCCTGCTTCATACTCTATCATAAATCTAATGAACTTGTTAGTGTCATCTAGAAATGGGAGAAAGCCAATTTGATTCTTTTAAAAATATATAAAAAAAATAAAAATCATACCTAAGTGCTTTGCGTGATAAAGGAGTTTCCAATAAATACAGTTTATAATGTAATTGCATTGACAATTGCGAAAATCGACAGATCCAAATAATTTCAATTGGGAATTTAAAGAAGGATCTGTACCAGTAGCACTTGGATATACAAGTCTTTTGTTTCTTGTAAAACAACATATTTTCCAGGAATTACGATTTTTACGTCTTTTAACATAAGTGACTGAAGAATATTCTGTGGACATTGCTGAAAAATCTAAAATATAAAATCCTTTTAGTATCCCATATAAAACAGTGAGCTCTGCTGTGGATACTGTACCAGTCATAGACATCCTTGGATGTACAATATGTTCAAGAGAGAGGAAAATAAAATTTCTTATTGGCTGTCCACAACTGATACAATAATTATGACTGGGCCAACTACCTTAAATAAAAATATCTTTAACAATACCATCTGGTTCTTGGTCCAGCACGGTAGGAAGGATACTAATTTTCCTAAGATCATGTTCCATATCTAAAAATTCTGTTCCCCCTACAGAAAAAAAACTTCTTTTCTGATATCTTTTTCTTTCCACATTGCTATTTGTAGATGCTGATTGTGTTCTGCCCAAGGAAATTTTGGGAGACATTTTTTCAATTGCCACTTTCTACAAAGAATAAGTATTATTAGTAATAAAATTGAAATATTTTTGAGAAATCTCTGTAATGCCTCACTAGTTTTTGCTGTTTCCCAGGAGTTTTGCAAAACGTCCCACTACCACAACCGCTACATTTCCTTGCATATTTCTCATAGAATTTCACTGCTTTTGTATGAAATTCCAAAAATTGGTGTGGCAAAATTTGCTGCAGAAGAATTTCACGAAACGCGTGCACTTTGAATTCCAAAAGCTTGCAGCGTGCATAATTTGGCACATTTTCTTCAGATTCGTTAACTGCAATTGTCATTGACAGAAGATCAAATGAATTCGTTCGACTGTTACAATTAATATGAAGGAATATATATTACAAGTAGGATGACATGCACAGAGTAACAAATGATGAGAATCAGAAAAAGTTAGTCTGTCTTCAAAATAGCAATATGGATCACCACCTGAAATATTCGGTCTTTGTATTGAGGCACATTCTAAAATTTGTATCCTTATTAATTCGGCAATGGCTGCAATAATAAGAAAAAAATGTAACAATTCAAATTTATTGCCTTTCAGGTAATTCTGTACCGCTGTTTGTATGCTGAACAGTGTAATTAAACATGACTGACTGCAACATGTTACGTGTGAATACATATCCCAACGTAGCAGCACACTTTAACAGTTCCTGTTCATAGGGATTGAGATTGGTATATACTTTTATCATTATATCTGAAAAGAGTATAATCAATAGATCAATACTAATCGATAATTAAGTAATCAAAAAGTCTACCATCAGCCTTTGATAAATTCCTAGGAACGTCATTATATTTTCTATTCAGTAAGCAAACGAAAACACGACCCTTATCTGTCAAGGGTGACGAAACTATTACTTCTTCTGGTAGGAAATCCTTAGGTTTTTTATTAATTAAACTGACAGGTGGAAAAGTTAATAATTTTTGACGCGCCTCTGCTGAACTCAAGTGAAGAAAATTCAGTGCCTTATTTTGAAGTACTAAAGTAACATATGCTTCGCACCACCCAGGAGTTTTGTCATTATGATTCTTCAAGTCTCTAAAAAGTAAAAAAATTGTCATTCTATTTCAATTTTTGTATTATTACATATTCATACTTTTCGAGTTTCTTGGGAATTGCCCTGACATTCATTAATTGACAAGCGAAGGCCACATTTTGTTTGGAGTCCCACTCGCTCAATGAACACTTGAATAATTTAGGATGGCCAATAATGTCTGATGAGACTTGTGATATTCCTGAATCAGATTCCAGTATTGTCATTGCCAAAACGATGTTGTCATTTGTCAAAGCTCTGCATATGTATTGCCACGACATGCGGTCTAAGAATTGTACGTTGTCCAGAAGAATACATTTTCTTTCGTTGAACTGAAATTAATAAAAGTGCAGTTGTCTATTATAGGTACACGACTACGAAGCATTAGGAGCAAAGGTATAGATTGTAGGTGGGGAGTAAGCTGTGGAATGTCAGACTATTGGTGGGAGAACGCTATTGCAGGCTGATAGAGAGAAGGCATCTGGATGAGCACTTAGGGAGCGTGCATTTAGCGAGAGGGTACTGTGCATTATTTTGAGCAGCTAAAAAGTTACCTTTCCCAAAATGCTGTCGAATATTTCCATTGTCTTGACGTGTCGGGACCAATCATTATCCGCACAGTATTCATCAGAAAGTTGAAAGTTCACACGCAGTAGAGTATTCAGATAGCAAAGAGAATTCTCAGGAACAATGGGAGCTAATTTTCGAATTAATACTCTTTCACGCTCTTGAATGGTATCACAGTCTGTCACACCGACGATCTAGAAAATGATTAGTAAATAAAATATTGAATTAGATTTTTATATCAATTAACGCCTTACTCACGTTCACGAGAATACGATAAATGACTGACAATGGTTTTTGCTCGTAGATCGCTTGTAACGATAGATTAATTGACATTAACCGTCGTGATCTGATAATTGCTGCATAAGCATCCAGAATTCTGGATTTGCCAGTTCTGCTTTTACCCTAAACAATGATTCTATTAAGAAATTTACTTTTTAATTACTGTCATTAATACCCACCCTGATTAATATTCCATAGTATAATCTATTAATCACTCCAATATCATCCAGAACGTCTAAAAATAATTCCAACTCTTGGAATCGACCCAGTATTGGATAATCATATTGTAAGTTTCCAGTATGCTCCATGATTTCAGATTTCCTATAATAAATCCGCAAATAATCATTCAATTAATGAATTAATTCTAAAAATCAAATATGACTCACAGTGGGTCATCGATGAATTGATAAATATGACATGAACCGTATCCTTTGAGTTCCTTAATTCCTTGAGAGATGAATTTACTTTTTGGCAATTTACTATGAAGAATAGTATCGAATTCGCATATCACCTATGAATCCATATTCTTAATTTAATTCCCATCTGTTATTTTACTATATAATTATTTACCTTGTCCGAATAACCAAACATTATCTTTGGTGCTTTTTCCACTGCTCCACCTAGTATCGCATACTGTTTTCTGACTGCGTGGCCAATGACTCCACAAAAAACCATTCCTGTATGAGAATAATGATTTTGTATGATAGTTAACAATTTTTCTAATTACATCATTACCGGTAGTTACACCTATGGATACAGTCTTTACTCCAGGTATAGATTTCAATGCTTTAAGCATTTTCATTGCTGAAGTTATGCCATTTTTACAATGATACTGTGTCTCATATCCTCTCAATCCAAAAACAATTAAAAAAAGAACATCTTTATCGAGCAAAGTCACTTTGCATCCCATATCATTAGGAATTATACTGTAATGAGAATCAATTAAGAGTATTAGAAATTCTCGCTCAGAACTCAGTTTAGAAAGATTTAACATATATATTTTTCATTATACCGATTAAGAGTCATAAAACACTCATCCAATAATGTTATCAATTCAAATATTGCACACTTTTCAGGAATCATGTTGATCGATACCACTGTAACTCTTCTAAGTTCTGACAAATTTTCCAACGGCTCATCCTTAGCTATCTGTAGAAACGAAATTGATAATTCTGCCATAAAAAATTCTTTATACTAAAATAATGATCACTTGTTGCAAAACTGGTTTCAGCATAAATGTCCTCAGATGAATTCCTAACTTCCTTCTGGTAGCTTCCGCCACAGAGATACGTCCTGAAAAGTCATTAAATAGAATAATAAATACTTCTTCGATATCGATACCCAACAAAATTGTAAAATCACCAGTAAATATTTCATATCCTATATCATGTTCTTCTACCGAAGAAAATCTCTTGGTAATATTAAGATTGTCTGATAACTTTCCACTTTCGTTAGACGTCACGCGACTTTCGAGAATGTCAGTTTGTCTTCTGCTCTCAAATGAAACGTCACTGTTATTCATTATGGACGGTTGTACATGAGGATCACGAATTCTCTCTCTGTGTCTCATTGGATGTTCAATTACACTGGCGATCTAAAGAAACAATAGATTATTTTTATTAATTCTTAAAAAAAGTATTTTATACCAAAAACAATGACCTTGACGTTGCACGAATCTTTTATTACATATTCGTAATTGCAGGGCGTACAATGATCCCAAGCACTGGATGCCAAAACTAGATCACCCGGTATACAAACTTTTTTAGCTTTGCGCGCTTCAATCAGCGGTGCTCCTCCTACGATAAAATGACGAGCCCTTTCATCTCCTATTACGGAAAACGTTATGTTTCCAGCGGATATTGACATTTTTCCTAAAAATAAAATTTTTGTATAAGATTTATATTGTATAATTAGAAAACTTTTTGGTTACCTCTCGACAATAACTTAACGTGACTTTTGGAAGATTGTAGTATCTCCTGTATATGTAATGCGCAAGTAATTGCTAAGTGAATTGTATTAAATACAAATTCGTACTTTCGTACTTTCCACATAGCCAGTAATCCATCAGCTAAATTAATTATATATAAATTTTGTTTATTTATGTTATCAGGAATGGGTAAGTGATAATATTGGTGTGACAAGGACCTGAGAATTTCAAAATATCTCCTTCAGAGGAATATATATTTTCAACGACAATATTTAGATAGGAATTCAGTATTGATGTAAGAACATAAGTCCCACCTTGGCCCATGTTACTGTATCTTTCGCAAAGAGCGGAAAATCCTAAAAAATCAATATAAAAAATTGATTTTCAATAAACATAAAAATTCATCCACTCACCGATATCCTCGATAAGCAACAAAACACCAAGAAATCTTCGAAGATCTTTTTTCGTCAGATCTATGGTGTATATAAGTTCGTCAGGGACCAGCGTGGCAATAATTCTAGTACGTTTATCGCGCAAATGTTTGTGCATAGCCTAAAAGAGGTAATTGGTCAAAATTCAAAAATAAATAAAGTTAACCGACTTTTTTCAGACTTGTCGCAGATTGGCATTGCTGCCTTTGAAGACTGGACCAAATAAATCTGGCGTCCAAGAAAGGTCATCTTTACTTTTCCTCCTGTCCATTTTCATTTGCAATGAAATGCCGGAGCTATTTTTTTTGCAGTTTTGACAATTTTCATCGATTTTCGACTGTCGTTTTTTTTCTGTTCCTATCAACATTGGATCAGGATTGGTCATGTATGATGCGTAATGATAAGATGGTTTTATTTTTTTATATATAAATAACTTATGTATTTCAGATTACATATAAGAGGGAATGTCAGTTATTACGTAGTCCTAAGCTATTACTACGCTATACATAACATAGGTAAATCCATTTGATTGGACTTGTCGTGACCTGCAGCCGATGATTTCGCATTAACAAAGCGAGTCGTGAGCCGAAGTGAAGGCAATAAACGATCAATAGATTGTCCGACGATCGATCATCGATCACGAATTCACAAGTAATACCGTCATTAAATTCATCCTCGAGGAATCATTAAAGTTGCATATCCAGCAAAGAAAAGAGGATCATAACGTTGGAGCTAGTGGCGCCATCTTCAAGTTTTGTCATTAAGAAAAATGAAACTTTAAAGAAATAAAAAAATTAAGCTTGAGATTTAAGAACGCGCGTAAAAGTTGTTCAAATTGAAAAACATAAAATTATTATTAAATTTCCAGAATGGCTGCTCGAGTCACAACTAAAATACGAATTTCGTGTTCGACATCCAGTGGAAAAGGAATAAGGAAGATTTCTTCAAGTATGAAAGATGGCGCCTGATCCTCACAGATTGCAAGAAAAAAGCGAGGAAGAGACAAAGTTATGATAAAGAAACGAAAAAAAGTATAATCGCCGAGCAAATTCCTGCCGGACGTTGTTGAAGACAAGTAAAAAAGCTAACGAACGAAAAGTGGACAAGGTAAAGAATTGAAAATTAAGGAAACGAAAAAAAAAAAGAAAATAATAATATTATAAATCCATCTTGACTCGAATAAATTGAAATCCGTCTAGCTAGGATCTTAAGATAGATTTATCTATTTGAAAATATACGTATTTAAATGGCTTCTATCCGGTAAGCTGTACAGGACGTTTCGAAGATACGCGATGGCATAGAAAAAGGCCTTTTTCCACACAAAAAGAAAAAGAAAAAAAAGAAAAAGAGAAATTCAGTGCACCTTCATCTTACATTATTTCAATATTTCATATACACACGCATTTCACGTACTCTCATTCTATTTCACTCTCTTAATCTCTCTCTCTTGATTACAAGCTCCTCAGAAATTTCCTTAGAAAAATATATTCTATAATAAGGATCTCGCGAATTTACTAATATATAATGGCATTTGTTCCAGGCCACAATGAATTAATACCGAACGTGGAAGAATGATCCGCTGATATTGAATCTCAATGAATTCGCGACGAACTCCGTCCGAGATAATGATAATCCAGAAGGACGTTCGGAATGTAACAGCCATATTGTGGATGATAGGCGTCGCGACGCAACTAGACGCCGTGCCGTGACGACCACAATCCCATAAGTCTTTTACTCTTAAATTGCACCCCGAGCTCAGAGGACGCTCTGAGCGTCCGCCCGGTGTTATTAATTGTTTCTTTTTTTTTCTTTATTTATTCTTCACAATGACTAGAATGCAGAGATTCCCTTCGTCCTTCTCTTCAAGAAACATTATTCTCTGACAAGAAAAAGAAAAATATAGAGCCTCGTCAATTGTAAACTATCTCGTGTTCCTCTTTGCTTGTATCTTTTCTATCTTTCTTCCGTCTTGTGACGCTTGCATCATTGTCACGTGCTCCAATTTTTACTTGACTATTTTGTTTTTTTCTATCTTACATCTTGCTGCCGTGCAATTGAGGAAATTAATATGCGAGCTTCGTACTGCAGAGATAAAGTGGCCGGGCGATGCCACCTTGTTCTCTGTGGGATTTTAAAGAATTTTTAAATATCGCGCCTAAAACTTGTAGATAAGTTTTTTCTTTTTTTTTTTTTATAAATGACTGTGTATCCTTAAATATAATTATTTATGTAACGGCACGTATGTACTTGAGCTGCTACTTGTTTGCTCTCTTTTTCTCTCTCTCTCTTTCTTTTGCTTGCTCAAAAGTTCATTTCGGTAAAATAAAATGAAAGAATAAGAAAATCAAAAATAATAATCCCTCATATTCTGAGTGTCAGCCATAAAGAAATTCGCAAAGATTTAAAACAGGACTCGAGTATCCAACGGACGCTAGTGGAAATCATCAGGAAATATAAAATGGAAGAAAACACTTCTGGTCCAGTTTAAGAAAAACTAAAAACAGACGCTTAATAGAGGCGTCGGTATCCCAGTTTCACTGGCGAGCCGCAAGACGCTCGTTGAATCCTGCAAAGTCCTTGTTGAAGTTCCATAAATATTTTTCAAGCAAGCAAGAGAAGGAGAGAGAGACAAAAAAAGAGAGCAACGAGAAAAGAAGAAGCTTATTTCGATTCGCCAGACGATATATATCCGGTATTCAAACTTTTTTTCTCGTTCGATTAACCTCGTGCATACGCCAAATCAGAAGTGACTCCAGGATGCGAGGAATAATGCGAATCTCATGAAGATGGATCTACATAAGGCGTCAACAAAATGGCGGACTCCATGTTCATAAAGAAACTCATTATAATGAATCCAGTTTACGAGTGCTTCGACCGAGCAATGTGCAAGAAGAAGGACACTTTATCAGTACACTGATGGCCGCACATATTACAGGTATACGGATTCTTATAGCCATGATAACCCATGTGAACTGTATACATGACAAGATTACCAAAAGCAATTTCACAATATTGACAGGTGAATTCGTTACTCATGCCAACGCTTATGAAGGACCTGTCGTCGGCAACCTGAACAGCTGGTGAACTCGCTAAAGGAGATTCCAAAGGATTCTCCATGTCTTCCTCGTGTTCTTCATCGGATTCATCTTCAACGACGCGACGATCCAGCTTTATTGCTCTTCCTTTGCGTCTACTGGTACCGGAAGCTCTTGGAGAATTGGTGGTTATCATCTGACTGATCGGTGGTTCCGGTTTACTCAGATCCAGCGGAGTTGTTCTAGTCTCGGGCTCAACATCCGGTTCTATTGTTGTCGACGTGGCAGTATCCTTTACGCTGTTCTTCACGTCATGCGTGACAGGTCCGTCTGCCAGTTCAAGATCTACCGGTGACGTCTTCTGACAATCTTGCTGACAGTCGTCGGAGAATCTTTCAGCACTCAGTGCTTTTGCGTATTCCAATAATACTGTGGATTTTAAATGTTCCAGTTGTTTCTCGCCATTCTCCTCAGGCAGTGCAAACTGATTTGGCAATGCAAAGCTACCGAATAATTGATTATACGGAAACGAAGGTACCAAGCCACTCTGTATGTGGCTCATGCCGTTTATTTGGATCATTGGATTCATTGGTCCAGTCGGATGTCGACTTACTGGCGAGACCTGAGGTGGTACCACTAACTGATTGGTGCCTAGCGGCGACTGTAGAGAGTTTGGCACCGCGTTAGTGACGCCAGTGTCTTCCTGTGTTTTTATTGGTTTCTGTTTAGGTCCCCTGCGCGTACCATAAATGTCTATTATGGGTAATGGATTGGGTGAGCCATCGGCATTCAGTACCATTGCCGGCTTGTGGGAGTATTTTCTAAGGTGAAGCTTCAGAGAGTGACAGTACTTGGTTGCGTAGGAACAATTGGCACATCTGTACTGGTAGACATTCGAATGGGACTTGAGATGGCTGTTTAACATAGATTTGTTAACGCAAGAGTACGAACACTTGTCGCACTTGAAAGGTTTCGAGCCAAAGTGATTCCTGAGATGGTACTCCAGATGATGCTTGTATTCCGTGACAAAAGGACACTTGGGACAGGTCAGCAGTTTCTCAGCCTTGATATGACCCCGGCTGTGCTCCCAAAATTCGAGTTTCGTTATGGCCACGAAGTTGCACTGTTTGCATCGAAAAGTCTTGACTTTTCCTTGGGAGTTTATACGTGGAACTCGCAGACCAGGTTCGTCGGCTTCCTCGGATTCATGCTCAGAACGGTCACCCTGAGTTGGGGATGATCCGCTGTTTTCTTCAGACTGTGTTGTCATTTGATTGAGTACTGACTTGGCAAAGTCCGGGGTCGTGCACTTTGTCGCACAGTGTGCAGTCAAGTGTTCGGAAAATTGATGCCTGAAACAGGCGGAATGTCAGGTTAACTCCATGAATCTTAAAGAGCGCCATTGGAATCGGTTGGTAGTTAATTCAATAATAATCTTTGACCCACCTATTTAACGTAGCGAAGGAGCAAACAGGGCATTGAAAAGTATCCTGACCAACTTCGCCGTCCTCGCTAGCTGGTTTCATGCTACTGGAAACGACGTCCATAGTCTGATCTTGCTGATGCGGAGACTCGTCCATACTCGTGATCCTGGTATACTCCAGGGGCGAGCCGCAAGTTTTGAACAGTCTCTGTGGACTGTACTCGAAGGTAGTGCACTGCATTGTATTGGAATCCTGGGAAGTGGCGCTACCGGGCGACAGACTGCAATTGGCAGTGGACGAAGACCTGCGACTTCTAGGGGATGCCGAGTTACTGGTATAGTGCCCTGGTGACACACCCGAGTCGTTGTTCTTATCCTCGGAAGGTTCTTCCTTCTGTCAAGGAAAACACAAAATGAACACGTGAGTATATTCAGTCCAAGTGTAGTAGAACGAAGTGCGTGGCGTTAACGGGTTCCCCCTTTGGGGATGATAGGGAAGGTAGAAAATAAGGGTGAGATCGCTGAGTGGGTGAAAGAGAATAGTGGCGGTCATTTTGGCTGGCTACGTAGGGGGAGAAAATACACAGAGCCTCGTATAGAGAGCGAGAAACGGTGGGATTTTCCTGAGAGGGAAAAAAGAGAAGAGGGGTTGTTGCTCGGTGCGATTCACTACTTTCTGTCCTATACTAGGGGCGGCGATTACTCACCACGATTCTATCGGCGATACCACCCCAGGCGGGCGTGGTTGTCGAATGGAGGGGATGACGTTGTTCCTCGACGATGGTGTGCTGCGGGGCTTGCTGCTGATGCTGCTGTCCAGGCGCCAGGACAAGAGGTTCCAGAGTATCCCAATTTCCTCTCATCTTGTTCCTGAGAATCAAGTTACACAGAACCTTAGTTCTTACCCTCATCGAATCCAGCGTCCAGGATATCAACGGTAAAACCACCTGGTGCGCACCTTGGACCCTACTCTGCCACGTTCAACATGTAAAGCCCAACCAATGCACGTGCGATGTACGAGACATTTTAATCCAAGGACGTGCTTATTAATAGCCAAAAGTAACAGTCTAGTTTTATTGCGTCGAACTACGTCGACAGTGGCGACCGGGTTGCAGCCTAGACAGTGTGATGCCATGTCGGGTACTTCTGCGCTCTCGGGTAGTGTATTCATTGGCAACCCAAGAGTGCGGGGGGTATGCAAAAGGGGTTTTTGCAAGGACCCTAATTCCTCGACTATTCTTTGAAAAAGGGTACCACCGACTGAATTGGCCACATTTTCTTGGCAAATCCAAACCGTAACCCGCTTCTTTGCCTGCTCGACTCCCTCCACTGTCTTGACTGCCTAACTGCTCGTCTTTTCCCCCCTTGCCGTTTTGACTCCTTCGGGTAGCCCGAACCGTCTTCTACTGTTGTCGCGAGGGTTGATTTATTCAAGTAGAGCAATACCGGTATGTATTATATATTTTCTACCCTAACTCGGGGAAAATTAGCTCTGGCTCAAGAATCCTCCGTTCTTATTGTCCAAAGTCGAAACTCAGTTTATTCCTGATGCCATAAATAAAACTGGAACTGCTGTATCTCAGTGTGACGACGCGGTTAAGGGATAGGACAGGAGTCAAGGACCGAAAATAAACAGCCCTTAACGGGTCTGGACGCAGTATGACAAACAGAAAGAGAGAGAGGGAGGGAGGGAAGTTTCAAATTTTTTTTTTCAAATTTAATTAACGCTCACGACTATCTGTCCAAAATATTCTGTACAGATCGTGGGGCTCGTTTTCTGGAATATTGTTCCTTCTTTTTATCGCCTTTTCAAAATTTTCCTATCCTCTTATCGCAGTGCTTTGGGCTGCACTTTGTTCTTGTCTTAGAGCATCCGTCACGCAGAAGGGAGTTTGGGCAGTGGGCAAACAGTGACGTTAAGGGTTGAAAGAAGCTGTTGCGAAAATAACAAACAGTACTGATTATCGGTAATCAATTATCATCTTTAGCTATTATCGACCGCTTAAAGTCCTCCCAAAGCGTGTCTACTTCTGTGATTACTCATCTTTCATATTTTTTTTTTTTTTTTTTTTTTTTTTTTTTTTTTTTTTTTTTTTTTTTTTTTTTTTTTTTTTTTTTTTCTTCACAGCTTTTATCCACTGTACACAGTCAGCCAACTACCAGAAAGCAACGAGTGGCAGATATACTTTTGTTTGTAGAAAGTGTTAAACAAACCAGGATCGAGGCGATTACGTTTCCCCGAAAATCGTCACGTACTTTGACTACGGTTATCGAGGATTTTGGTTTCCCTCCTCAAAGCTGCGAAGAGACCAGGAGCGAGGGACAGAAGATGGATAGAGACAAAAAAAAAGTACATCCAAAAATGAAAATTCAAGGAAAGCATATTTTAAAATATTTCGAAAATACCAAAGATCCCACGGTGAACCCTTTCGATTGCTATTCAAGAGAAAAAGGGTGAGGCTTAGTGGAGCTCAATCTTGCTTTCTCTCTTTTTATATATATATATATATATATATATATATATATATATATATCTTCCTTCTACCGGACACTAAAAAATTTTCTCGTTGCCTCTAAAGAAATTCAAAAGTCTTTCGGAGACAAACTATCTCATGTTAGATTGGCAAAAAAAAAAGGAGTAACATCCAGGGTCGACACGTATCAAAGTTTCGAAATAGTCAGATAGCAAGCAACAACAATAAATACCAAAGAAATCCGGCCTATCCGGTAGTATATTCGGTCGAACTCAAAATGTCTTTCTGGAAATAATAATTAAAGAGAGAAAGAAAGAAAGAAAAAAAGAGAGAGAGAACCGACTGTACAGAAGGTCGCAATAAAATCGATTCTGTTCGTCCATAGAACAATCGTACGATACACACGTTGAATCGTAGAAAGATAAGAAAGAAAAATCGTCTTCCAATCGAGTATATTAACTTTTAAATAATATCGAATCATTTTACTGTAAATTCGCTTAACTCTACTGTACTATGTCAAACGTGACGTCACTTCTCTCTCTCACTACTTCATTAATTCTCTTCGCCTCTTATTTCTCTCTTCTCCGCCACCCCAACATCTCCCCACAGCTTCTTCCCTCTCGCCCAACTCCCCCCCCCCCCCCCTCA